CACAGGTTCTGGTTGCTGGACGGGAGTGGGCTCATCCAACTTGTCGTGTGCCTCCTCGAAGGCCTTTTCTTGTGGCTGGGGTTTTTTCTTGCCCCGCTCCCACATGACTGGCACCGGTTGGGGCTGTTGAACCGGAGTGGGTTCAACCAGCTCATCATGCATTTCCTCGTACGTCTTTGGCTTCTCCTCGTATTCGTCCTGAACAGGTGCCGCCTGGGGCTGCACATATTGAGGTTGTTCCGGCTTCTTCCTACCACGATCCCACATCACAGGTTGTTGCTGCAGCAGCTGTTGCTCCTGCGTATCCTGACGCTCCTGTAGATGAAGCAACGAGGAGTCCTCCACCTGAATGAACTTTTGAGGCTCGCGTGGCTGACGCCAGCTAAAAGCCTCCTGCTGGGTGCGTTGGCTTATGATCTTCTGGTGCTCATACTGCTCTAGGCTCATCATCTGCGAGTCCTCGATCTGCGTGAACTGCTGGCGCTGGGCCTCCTCGATGAGGCTCTGCTGTTGCACTAACTTTTGTCTGTCGGTAGTCTGAGAGACTATCGTGTCCTCGACTGATGTCAGGGGCTGCAATTGTGGGCGCTGTTGTTGTTGGCGCCAATTGACAGCATGCTGTTCGCGTATCAATTTCTGGGCCTCCAGTTTCTCGCGCTCCGAAACATGCATAATATTCACATCCTCGGTGGTGATAAACTGCTGCTTATAAATGTTGGACTGATCTTCGTACTGCTGGAGTTCATCTCGACGCATAACCTTAGAGATCGAACCCTTGGAGCTCTCATCAATCATGACGTGTGTCTCTTCGGCTATACCAGTTTGATATTCTTCGGCGATGGCTTGCTGAGCCTGCAGGTGACGCAGCTCAACTTCCTCAATCTTGAACTTGTCGATCTGCTTGGTTACCTTCTGCACACTCTTCAGCTGCTGGCGCATTTCCTTCCAGGGAATGAGATCCTTGGCGTTTTGCTGCTGTGTGATAAGCTTATCGATCTGGTCAGTCATCTCCATAATCTCAACACTTTCCATGCTCTTTAACCGCTGAATTTCCTTGGTGCGCTGTACCTGTTCTACCTGAGCTTGCTGCGGTAGCTGCTCATCGGTTTCGATTTGACCCTCAAGGGGTCGCAGGTAGACCTCATCCAGATCAAATTTGTTGAGCTGTTGCTGAACACTCTCGACTGCCTTTAGTTTTTCGCGCATTGTTATCCAAGGAACTGCTTCCTTTTCGGTCTTCCCAGCAATGATCTGCTCCAGAGTAGCACCCAAACTCATGATACCCTGATCGCGCTCGGTTTTGATGGATTTCAGAACAACCTTAGCTGCTTCTAGTTTGGGAGTAGGCTTCTTTTTCTCAATGGGAGTAGCCTTTAAGCTAATTGTCTCCTCGGTCCAGGATTTAACCGGCTCGGGCTTGAAGCCGGGCAGAAAGACACCCTTATCCAAAGAACGTCCACGAGTGGGACGCGATGATTTACGCCACGGTATCACCTTGGTCGCAGGCTGCAGGGACTTGCTGCGCACTTTGGGTTTCTTCTGACGTGATCTTCCCTGGTGCTGACCCTGCCCGTTAACGCCCAAAAATTGACCAAACTGCTGGCCGGGTTGCTGGCCAGGTTGGAAAGCGTTGGGCGACTCGGGGGCACTGTCCTCCCGGCCAGAGGAAGAGGACTCATCCTCGGCGGAATCAATTGTTCGCAATTGAAAGGCCGAGATGCGTCGTTCTAAAAGTGATCAAGGGGAGGTTGCATTTAATATACCCATATACCCATAGCAAAAAGTAAGACTTATAGCTAAACACATCCAGAGTTCGAGTAGAGCAAGAAAACCTTTTAAGCTGGAACTACTTACCTATGGTTGGTTAGAAAATAATTGGTTAATACACAGGAAGAACATTTAATGAAAAGCTAAAAAAAAAGTCAATGAGTGTATGCAAAAATCGGAAAATATTTTTTAGTCCTTTAGTTCAAGAGCGTTGATTGAAATCTTAAATTATTTAATCTGACAACTCAAGGCGCATATAATTTTTAAGGTCGTTGAGATTTCAAGTGCACTCCTGTATCCACCACTTACCTGCGCTCCCCCATGCAAATGTTGATGATTCGTTTGAACGGTTCTTAAAAATAAATCATAGTACTTTGACATATGTGAACAATGAACTTGAATGTTTAAAATTAGTATGGTGAATATCAGAGCATACATTTTACACATAGAACGGTCTCGAAGAGGAAACCCAAAACCCTACACCTGAAAAAATGTGCGTTTGGGGACCACAAATCAAATTTGCCTGGCCGACAGCTCATCTGCGTTGACCGTGAATAACGCATAAATGGGATTGGGCCCTAGGTCAATACATATTTTTCATAATTGGCATTGATAAAAATAGGTGCGAGTAGTCAGAGTGAGGTCGTGGTTTATCTATGTTTTGTGATTCACTAATCGGGTGTGACGAATCCACTTGGGGATGATTAAAATTGCATTAGCCTGCACCTATTCTGGCACATTGTCATGACAGCAATTGGGCAAGTCGCAGCGAATAGTGACATTCGTTTGACTTGAACTCATCATCATCGTCTTTATAGGATAGGAGGGGGATTGGGACTAGGATTGTGGCCAGGCAAGTGCACAATTGAGAGCGAACAATTCAAATGCCAGTGTATACATTAAGGCCAAAAATAGATATCTGATTAGTGGCGGCTACGTCACCAGGTGGGGCTGCTCAGTTCGGCATCGGCAGAGCTCCTACAGATTTATGGGCGGGGTGTGTCCGCTTCGATATTCTCGGGGCCCATATAGACTGGCCATATAGGCAGAGCGCAGTGCGGCGCACTCCAACGATCTCATTCGTTTGTAGACAACAATCGGCCGCAGAACAGAACAGATCACAAGGTAGACAGTTCTTGGATGGGGCATATAGACGTATACCCCTGCATTGACATTACCTACCTGTATTTCCCGATTTTCTGGCGACATTTGGATGACAGGAAGCAAGCAACAGCGGTGCAATCAATAACAGCGATAGCAGCAGCTTTGTGGCAAGGAGAGGAGCATTTGGCAGTAGTTATCAAAAACAAGTTTCCAATCATTATGCATTTCGCTTGGATTTATTTATAGACGCGGTATTGGTTTTAAGTATTAAATACATGAGAGATACAATTAAACAACAAAAGAGTGTACGCGAGTGTTGGTCTAAGCCAAAATCATTTAAATGGAAACAAATCAATCAAAGTTCAAAGTCATCGTATTGTGGTCGAACGCAAAAACATATCGAGTAAACATAAACATGACAGATAATCGGGGTTCTAGATACAGTAGATAAGACTTAAAACGAAGGTCGCATGAGTTTTTATGATTAATTTTTTAGTAAAGCTTCTCGCCACAAAGGAAACATGTAACAAAAAAGTAGTCAACATATTGGCGGCATAAGCGGCAAATACTTTTGAGATTCGTTCGGTTTTTTTACACGAAAATGGATGATTGATTGGTGGTGAACAAGAGCGAAAGTGTGTGACAAACAAAGTATGGTAACGAAACGAATTAGTAAAAAGCGGTAATAAAAAATGAATTATAAAATCTCATGCAACATCACTACAAAATAAATAAAGTTCAATTAAATTAAATTCAATTAAAATAAACAATACAAGTTCATCATCATTTCAACATCGCCTATTATCAACATCATCGATTTACTGAAGGACTGGAGCGTACGACATCGGTTCGGTTGGTAAAAGTCAAGTATAGAATGGTATCTTAAAGCTTCCTATGGAACCCTTTCTAACATGGATTTCTTTTTCAGGCTGGGGACTACAGAGGGAAAACCATTGCTTAAGGACCGGAATCTGTTTCAACCTGGCAGCTATATATAAAACTAAGTGCAACCATGAATCACTGAGGCCCGAGGCTCGATGACTGAACAGCCGTAACTGATTAATCTAATTAAATTCGTTTCTGCACCATAAACAGAATCATCAATTCATGTTCTTCCCTAATGACCAAGTGTATGAGTCGCCCGACTAACATCGGTATATCTCTCATCTCTACCTGATCCACCTTATAGACAGCATTAGCAACAACAACAACAGGTAATTTATCATTCTATTCTTCTCTCTAGAACCTAAGAAACAAACCCCAAATATATTTATTTCGGTTTCGGTGTTTTCGTTTTATTGAAAGAAAATTGAAATAAATTTCAAGATTTACTTGAGAAAATACATGAATGTTTTTCATTGTAGCTGAAAGCCAGAAATCCAGACAGCACCGCCTGGCTAAAAATAGCGGAACGGATTTTTTAACGCTAATCTATTGGAAATTAGTTCTCGAAAGCCAAACATTCTCCAAAAAAGAAATTGAAAATAGAACAGCCGCTGGGCGTACATATGTCTCTATATGTCTGAGTAGGGTGGCAGCTGAAAGGCTTTCAATATTTTCAGTTTTCTGTTTTTCAGACCGAAGTCGCTGCTCGATTTGTGCTAGTTTTTGCGCACGTTCACATGGGGGCGAAGGAACGAAAATTGGAAAATGGGAAATGTGTATCTGGCAGATACAAGATACTCGCACCACTGACATCGCCACTGTGCGCTAGATGTGTCATCCATAATATTTTATGCTAATATTCAAATGAAAAATAAAACTTTCACGCTCGAGCGGAGGCGGGACAAATGTGCGTTTTGCACACGGCCCCAAAACTATCCATCCTACTCATAGATGAGGCACATAATATCTATATGTCTATAGGTATATTTTCGGACGGGCACTGAAGAATATATTATGTATGCTTAAAGTGGCCTGCTCTAGAGTACATAAGCTGCCTTATATTTATAACTCAACTCAAGGGGCTATATATCTCTATACATATTCTACATTTGGCTTTTGAGTCACTTCCACTTTCACTCAACTCGCTACAGAAATTTTTAAATTTTCAAATTTTGTTTAATGGCTGCTGCTATTGTTGCTTCTGCTGTCTTGGCCGTGCCAGAAAGAAAAATGGTCTAAAAATATTTATGTTGCAAAATACTTGTAATTATTTTTATTATTTTTCAATTAAAAATTGCTTTCATTTTTTTTTGGTTCTTTTCGGTTACGTTCTCGTGTTAGACATCTTTAAATTAAATGTTTTAGCTGCATCTCATTTTTTTGTTTTTGTTTGACATTTTGCAATGGTTAGTAAAAATAACTCGTTCGTTTGATAGTTTAGAAAAAAAATCCATGTTGAAAGTAGTTTCGACAGGTTCGCTTTAAAATATTCTTCACTCAAACTTTTACGACTAGTAGTTGATCATATATATAGGTAGGTTGAGGGGTAGTAGTAACTGTATGTAATACGTCAGTAACTCGGGATTAATAGTAAAAGTTCTTCACGGTCGTTGTTTTTGTTTTTGTTCTTTTCTTTTATCTTTTTTGAGCATTCTTTGGAGTTGGTTTGTTGATGTTGGTTGGTTTGTTTTGTTTGTTTGAACACGGTTCGCTTACGTTTGGTTTTCGCTTGGTTTCGAACTCTGGTTTCGGTTTTGGCTTAGTTTTAGTTTAATCCTTACTTTTAACAGTCAGTTTGGCTGAGGATTCAACCTGGCCGGTGGACGAGGTTACGCGTACAGTAAAGATGCCGGAATCCTCCTCGTAGGTGGTGCCAATCAGGAGCACAGCGCTGTTGCCATCGAAGATCATCTGGAAGTAGGGAAGGGGATTGTTAGCTTTAAGTCTATACTAAAATTTTAAGGTGTCAGAATAGATAAAATAGGATTAAACAAAGCTCGCCTGCAGAAGGAGCATATACCTCTGCCTTAAGCCGATAGCTTAGGAATCTTCTTAAATATAATCATTTGGTATCTCAACCCACCTGGAAATCTGGGGTTTCGGGAATCAGCTGACCCTCGCGGAACCACTGGACACTGGTGGCCTTCACCTTGCCGGTCACAGTCGTCTTGAACTGGGCGGGCATGCCCTCGGTAACGGAGACATCCTTGAGGGCGGTGATGGTGGGCGGGGCGTCCAGGTTCTCGATGGGACGGACCTTCAGCTGGGCGCTGGTCTGAATGCTGCCCAGCTTGTTCTCGGCCACGCACTTGTAGGTGCCCTCGTCCTCGGGGAAGGCCTCCGAGATGACCAGCTGGTAGTACTCGCCCTGGCGGCTCATCTGGAAGTAGCGCGATGGCTTTACGAAGTTTTCGCCTCGCATCCAGCGGGCGGTGGGGGTGGGCTTGCCATCCACTCGGCAGCGGAAGACCACTTTGCTGCCCTCCTCCACGGACTGGCTCTTCAGCTGCTCCACAATATGCGGTGCCTTCTCGCTGCCCGGAGTGGTTGGCTTCTCCGGCTTGGTGGGCGACTGGACAATGCAATCGCCATCGCAACGAGCCTCTCCGGCGGCATTGACGGCCACACACTCGTAGCGACCGGAATCCTCGGCGAAGGGTTCAATGATGAGCAGGGTATGAACACTGTCCTCCTCAAGCATCTTAAACTTGATGCTCGGCTGAATCTTCATGCCGTTCTTCAGCCAGTAAACGTCCAGGGGGCGGGTTCCCGTGACCTTGGCATCGAAGCGAGCCAGCTGTCCGGTGGCCACGGTGGTGCTCTGGATGGTGGTCACAAAGCTGGGAGGCTGAATGCCACCCTTTCCGGCACGACGACGCTCCTCGACCACGAGATTGGCACTGCACTTGGCGGTTCCTCCACGATTTTCGGCCACACACGAGAACACGGCAGAATCCTCCACGAACACCTGGCGGATAATCAGAATCGACTTGCCGCTAAAGGTGTGGATCTGCAAATCTGGCGAGTTCTGGATGGGGAAGCTTTCGCGGTACCATTTAACCGTGGGATTGGGCTCGCCATCGAATTCCACTTCGAACTTGGCCTGCTCGTTTTCAAAGACGCGGCAAGGTTGGATCTTCTTGGTGAAGACCGGAGCCTTGGCTGGCTTCACAGGTCCTTGGACCACACGCTCCTGAATGGTGCCCTTGTGCTCCACCTCTGTGGTTTCGGTGGCGGTGATCTTACGGGTAATCTCGAGGTCACCCTGGATCTCTTTCTGGACTTGCTGCTGCTTGTTCATGTGAACCTCGCGTCCATGGACAGAAGATTCGGAGGGTTCAGCGGTGCCCTTGGGTGGGGCAGCCTGCACCTGGGTGGTACTGGTCTTCTCTTGCCTATAGGAAGGGGGTTTTAATTGTATTCACACTGTACTGCTGCTTGACTACTCACAGATTTTCTTCGTACGACTGGGCCATTCCCTTGGCCTGAGAGCTGCTCACGACCTTCTCGCCGGGAATGGCGTACTGATGATTGTCCCTACGAAGGTTGGTCTCCTTTAGAAGCTGCTCAGTTTCCAGAGTCTGCAGCTTGTTGTAGTAATCTTCGCTCTTCTTGGCCTTGACATTTTGCTGCCAGTCAGGTGTTGGTGGTTTGTATTGCTTGGGCTTGAGGTGCTCCACTCCCTTCAGGGTATGTGAGCTTTGCTCGGAAAGAACCTGCTTACGCTCGTCGAATACCTTCTCCAGTTCGTTTTCCTGGCGCTCCTTCTGGTAGGCAGCTAGTTCGTAATCATACCAGGCTAAACAAGAATTCAAGAGATTATTCAGTGTCTCGCAGAATATATCTAAACAAAAATTCTTCATAAAGCCAGTTATAGCTCAATCACATGCACTTTCTGGATGATCTTGAAGCGTTAGAAAATAAATTCAACATGCAATAAGATCTTAAAAATTATTTACAACCGTCGACTTAGTAGAAATTATGATTAAAGAGTTAAGAACTTGGGAGGGTTTCCACAGAGGTTCACTAGCTCTTTTTGGGTTCTTTTCTTTGGAGGGGACAGCAAATGAGTAGAGACAGAGAGAGGGACAATGATCAGCTGGATGATAACCACAGTTTAGAACAGACGGAAAGTGCACACGCAAAACTACGTTATAACCATATTACCCCAGGTCCGGCAATACTTAGAAAGTCGCTCTTCTTGGTTTCCTCTGCGCGATTTCCTCTTCTGAAGTCTCTCGCTGACTGGAGTACTATAATCGATCTTTTTTGGGATTTTCAGGGATTTGGGAAGCATTTTGGGTTTTTGGTAATATTGTGCTTGTTGTCTATACTGTTTAAACTACTTGGAATGTGGCTATAGTAGTGCAAATAACGTGGGTACTACGGCTAGGTAAACTTTTGTGGCATGTTGTATGTTGGAATGTATATATTTACAATGAGTTTCTTTTTGTGATATAGCATGTGGTGTCCATATTTAGTTTGGTCAGCTAAAGTCTACTGCATTTTGAAAATTGTTAACGTTCTAATAGCTGTTATATAAGTAATTCTTCCCAGATTTTCTGGCTTGTGTTGGAAATAAAACTTACGGCGTGGCGAGTTCTTCAGCACATTACGATAATCATCCGAGCGGGCAACAACCTTCAGCTCAGTGCTGGCAATCGATTCGCCCACAGAGTTGCGAGCAATCACCTCTACCTTTCCAGTATCGTACTGACGAGTCTTCGGGACGTCCAGATGGAACATGCCATCGTTGGTCAGCTTGTAGCGGGAGCCCTGTAAGGCGTCACTATTTAGTTTCTAAATCTTTAAAAAGGACTCTTCAGAAAACTTACATGTACAACAGTGTGTCCATTGATCAGCCACATAACCCTGGGACGTGGGTGTCCGGTGACACGGACGCAGAATCTAGCTGAATCACCCTCCTCCACAGTCTGGGGTTCCAGTTTGCTCACAAAGACCGGCTTGGTTCTAGGCTTGGCGTCGGGATCAACCTCGTCGGGCACCCTGTGCGCAAGATCGAAAAATTAATGTAGCTAATGTGAATGCGAATGTAAGGGAGCATTTTTATACTACGGACAACATTTCGTCATTAAATGTAGTATCTTGAAAGCTTTAAACGGAAATTCCCTATTATCATAAGTTTGATACTTACACTTGCCATGAGGCTTCCATTTCACGGATGCGGTCAATGCTCTGCATGTGAGCTGGCAGCTGGGAGTCATAGACAATGCCGGGCTTGCCAGAAACCTTGATGAAGGCACGAGTTTCGTCCTTGCCATACAAGTTGGTGGCGCGGCACACGTACTCCCCACTGTCTTCGGGATAAACCCAGCCAAAGTTCATTGCCACATAACCGAAATCATAGATGGGCTGGAAGCGGTTCTCTGCAGGGAATTTAAATGTTTTAATAAAAGCTTGGAACGAAACACCATTCTTATAAAACTTACTGTGCAGCAAAGGCTTGCCATTGAAGAACCACTCGACCTTCATGTTGGGATCTCCCACAGGGGCCAACTGGCATTCGAACTTGGTCACGGCCATCTCGGTCAGGGTAAGCTGTTCCTTGATCTGGGTAACAAAACGAGGAGGCTGCTTGCGATCGGGATCGAAGAGATCATCCTCGGTCAAATGGACCTCGGAGGTATACTTCTTGATGGTGGCCTCCATTTGAGTAAGTGCATCTGAACGCTTCATGCCGCGAGGCACTTGGTTCTGCAGCAAGATGGTGGGCAGTTCTAAAGAAGAAATACATATAGAAGCAGAAGTTGATACTTGTACTTTCTAACTTACTCTTGCAAGACACTGTGGCCCTGGTGCGATCCTCGCCATGATTGTTGATTGCACGGCACACGTACTCTCCAGAGTCCTCTCCGTAGACATACAGAATATCCAGGGAAACGAATCCCATGTCGAAGATGTTCCTGTAACGGTGTCCGGAGGGCAGGGGCTTGCCATTGCGGTACCATTCCACGCGCAGGCTGGGGTCCGTCTTGGGTTCCACCTGGCACTCAAATCGCACGGCCTCTGCCTCATCGGCAGTCACAGAAGTAATCTGAGTGGTGAACTTCGGTGGTCCAAACTCCTCCTCAACCACCTTCGGGGCCTCTGGAATGCGTCCGCGCTCCAGTTCCTTCAACTTATCGGATGTCATGCCCTCGGGCAGTTGCGATTCATAGACAATATTGTGCTTGCCCTTGCAGGTGACCTTGGCGGTGGTGGTGGCAGTGCCCCACTTGTTGGTAGCCCGACAAGTATACTCTCCCGAGTCCCTGGCATAGATGTAGTCAACATCCAAGGCGATGAAGCCGAAGTCATTCAGCTGGTGGACCCTAGATCCGGTAGCCATGACATGACCATTGTAGAACCACTCAATGCGCATGGTTGGATCGCCCACAGGCTCCACGCGGCAGTCAAAGTGAATTGGACCACCTTCGGGCACATCTAGGTTGTCCTTTATGTCCTCGGTGAACTTGGGTGGGTTGGGCTGCTCGTCGTCGATCACAATCTCCTCACGCTTGTGCATGCTCTCCTCCAGTTTCTGCAGGCTCTCAGTGCCGGTGCGGAAGTTGGAGGGCAATTGTGGCTCCATGACGATGCCCTGGCGACCCTTGACCTGCAACTTGCAAGAGACTGTAGCCTCACCATGCTTGTTCGTAGCCTTGCAAGTGTACAATCCCGAATCGCGCTGATAGCAACCGGCGATTTCGAGGATCACGAATCCGAAATCGTTAATGGTCTTGATGCGGGAGCCAGCCCACAAGGCCTTTCCGTTGTGGAACCAATCCACACGCATCGACGGGTCGTTGATCGGCTGCAGGCGGCACTCAAAGTGGGCCAGAGCATTTTCACCAATAACCATGTCGAAGGGTGAGGTGATAAACTCTGGTGGCTTGCCAGTATCGTCATCCGGCACAAATTCGGTGCTGCGGGAGCCCAAGCCCTCCAATTCGGCGATGCGATCGATGGTTCCCTCCATGCCCTTGGGCAGCTGGGATTCCATGATGATGCTGCGCTTGCCCTGGATCTTCATCGATGCCGTGGTCACTGCCTCACCATACTCGTTGATGGCGCGGCAAGAGTACTCGCCGGAGTCCTCGGGATAGACAGGGGAAATCTCCAGGATGACGAAGCCGAAGTCGCAGAAAGTACGGAAACGAGATCCGGCCTTCAATGGACGTCCGTTCCAGTACCACTCGACCTTCAACTTGGGATCATCGGCCGGGGTGATCCTGGCCTCAAAGTGGGCATTCTCACCCTCGCGCAGATTGTCGATGTTCTCTAGCGGCACTGTGAAGACTGGAGCCTTGCCCTTTGTCTCTTCTGTGGTTTCTTCGCGAGTGCGCACCATGCTGTACTCCAGGTTGGCGATCTTCTCCAAACCACCTTCCATGCCTCGCGGCAGCTGGGAGTCCAGAATGAGGCTGGCCTTAGAGGCGCACTTAAGCGTGGCACGAGTAACATCCTCACCATACTTATTGTGAGCCCTGGCCTCGTATACTCCAGAGTTCTCCTCGTAGCAGTATAGGATGTCCAGAATGACAATTCCAAAGTCGTGGAAGGTGCGGAAACGGTGCCCATGCGGCAGTTTCTTGCCGTTGAAGTACCATTCCACCACCAGATCGGGATCTGTAATTGGAGTCAAACGCGCCTCAAAGTGAGCCGACTGTCCCTCCACCAGCTTGGTAACATCCACGATCTGGGTGATGAACTTGGGTGGCTCAGCAACCAGAGGAGCGGAGGTATCTCCCTGCTGTCCTTGTGGGCACTCCAGCTCCCTGATCCTCTGAAGCGAATCTGGCTGCAGGCTGTCATAGAAGACACCACCACGTCCTCCGCAATTGAGGGTGGTGCGAGTAAAGTCCTCGCCGTACTTGTTCCACGCCCTGCATACGTACTCTCCACTGTCATGATCCTGCAGATAGGAAATGTCCAAGACTACATATCCGAAATCGGACACGGTCTTGATGCGGTTTGAGTGACGCATCAGCTTGCCGTTGTGATACCACTCCACCTTCAGCTCCGGATCGTTGACAGGGATCAGAGTGCACTCGAAGTGGGCAGACTGACCGTCCTTCAGGCCCTGCAGCGGCTGGATGTGGGAGGTGAATCGCGGCTTTTGGCCCCTCGGTTTGTCCACGCACTCCAGGTTGCAGCTGATCTCAGCGGTTCCATGCTTGTTGGTAGCGCGGCAAGTGTAGGTGCCGGTGTCCTCGATCTTGGTGCCAAGAACCTCCAGAGCCACTGTGCCGAATGCGTAGATGGTACGCACACGGTGGCTGGCTTCCAAAACCTTGCTGTTGTAGAACCACTCGATGACCATGCTCTGGTCGCCAACGGGAATGAGATTGGCTTCAAAGTGAGCCAGTTCACCCTCACCAATGTCTGCGATGTTGACAAACTCGGTGGTGAAGCGTGGTGGGATTCCTAGATCCGGTTGCTCTGGCTTGGAGCCGTCCTTGCGGAGAGAGTCTTCCAGGTCCTGGATCTGTTCCAAGCCCTCAGCTCCCTTCGGGTGCTGCGTAGAATCGATGATGTTCTCCTTGCTCGAACAGAAGATGGTGGTCGAGGTGAAGGCCTCGCCAGCCTTGTTGTACGCTTTGCAGGTGTAGATGCCCTGATCGCGAGCATAAACCTCGATCATGTCCATGGTGACGAAACCAAATTCGCTGGTCATCTTGAAACGAGAGCCATGCTGCAGCATCTTGCCGTTGAAGTACCACTCGATGAACAAGTTGGGGTCCTCCTTGGGCTCCACGTTGGCCTCCAAATGGATGGGTTGGGCCTCCGACAGGTGGAATTCGGCCTGCAGTGGCTTGGTCCATACTGGTGGTGGATATTGGGTCTCAGGCTTGGCGGTCTTGCTGGTATAGCGATTGGCCAGCTCCTCCTCAGTTTCCTGAACAGCCTCCAGACCGGCCTCACCCTGTGGATGCTGGGTGTCCAGGAACATGGTCTTGCCACCGGTGCACTTAAGGGTGCCCGAGGTGGTAGCCGATCCCTTGCTGTTGGTGGCCTTGCAGGTGTAAACACCGCTGTTCTCAGCATAGGAGTTGGTCAAATCCAAAGCGCAGTATCCAAAGTCGTAGATGGACTTGAACTTGGCAGCGGCCTGTAGTGGCTGACCGTTGTAGAACCACTCGATAGACATGGTGGGATCGCGAGCCGGCTCCACATTGCACTCGAAGCGCACGTTGTCGCTCTCTTTGCACTCGATGTTGTTCAAATGAGTGATGAACACGGGAGTTTCGTATGTCGGCTCTGGAGCCTCGGGACGTCCCTCCTTGGGCGCCTCCAGCTCTCCAATGCGAGGTAGCGAATCCGGATGTAGGGACTCGGCGTGCAGCCAGTGACGATCCTCGATCTTGAGGGAGGAAGTCGAAACAGCTTCACCGACCTGGTTGGTGGCCTTGCAGGTGTAAATAGCCGAGTCATCCGAACGCAATCCATTGATGGACAGAGTGACCAGTCCGAAGTCAAAGGTGCTGCGGATGCGGGAGCCAGTGGTCAGGGAAATACCATTCTTGAACCACTCAATGCGGAGGTTGGGATCCGCACGAGGCTCCACCTGGGCTTCCAGAAGGACGTGCTGACCCTCATGCAGCTTGTCGTAGCTCTGCAGATGGGTAGTGAACACCGGAGCCTGCTGTGGTGTCGAATCCACAAACATTTCTGGCACACGGTTCATAGCAGCCTCCTTGAGACGAATAGCCTCCCAGGACTCCGGGATCAAAGGCTGACCATCGATGTTGGACTTCGTCTTCACCTTCATGGCGGTGGAGGACACAGCCTCACCAGCAGCGTTATAGGCACGGCACATGTAAACACCGGCATCCTCGGGCACCACAGCGGTAATGTCCAAAGTGACAAAGCCAAAGTCGTGAGTGGTGCGCAGACGAGAGCCCATCTGGAGCTCCACACCGTTGATGAACCATTCGAACTTAAGCGAAGGATCTCCCACAGGCACGACTCGTGCTTCGAAGTGGGCATGAGTTCCCTCCCACAATTCCGAAGGCCCAGTGAGCAGTTGAGTGAAGATCGGCTTCTCAAACAGGCGCTCTGGCTCGCTGGGACGCGGAGCCACTGGTTTCTCTAACTGGTGGATGCGGCTGATGCTGTCCGGGTGCTGGGTATCCATCTGGATGCTGGCCTCGGACACGACACGCATAGAAGCGGTGGTCACAGCCTCTCCCAAAGGATTGACTGCGCGGCACATGTATACGCCCTCATCTTCCTTGCGGATGTGCGAAATATCGAGCGAGACAAAGCCAAAGTCGTGCTGCTTGGTGATGCGGGAACTGTCCTCGATGATCTTCTCGTTGCGGTACCACTCCACCTTCAAGTTTGGATCTCCCACGGGAATCAAGCGCGCCTCGAAGTGAGCCGTCTGGTGCTCATTGATCCTATCGATGTTCTGAAGTGGTTGAGTGAACACCGGGCGCTGGCGAGTGCCAGGAGTCTCAGGCTCCTGGCGCTGATGTGGCGCCATCGATTCCAGCTTGCGGATCTTCTCCAGACCCTCAGGATGCTGGGTATCCGAGATGATGGTACCACGCGGAATAACGCGCAGATTGGTCGACGACACAGCCTGACCCAAAGCGTTAACAGCACGCACGGAATATTCTCCGGCGTCCTCGGCCACAGCATGAGTGATGTCCAAAGATACGTATCCAAAATCGAAGGTGATATGGAAGCGAGAAGCCGAAGGCAAAGGCTTACCATTATGATAGAACTCGATGCGCAAGTTGGGATCGTGAACTGGAGCGACCTGAGCCTCAAAGTGAGCGGTTTGTCCTTCATAGATCTCAGTCGAGCCGCGAAGCTCGGCGGTGAAATGGGGAGGGCTGATCGGAGTATCTCCAACCTCGGTACGGGAGTTCGGAACCTTCGACTCCAGCTTCTGGATCTTCTCCAGGGCATCGGGATGCTGGGTATCCAGGATCATGCTGCGGCGGTTCAAAACGCGCACATTGCAGGTATTTACAGCCTCACCCAGCTGGTTGGTGGCCTTGCAGATGTAGGTGCCGGTATCCTCGCCATAGACGTACAGGATGTCCAAGGCAACGTAGCCAAAGTCATGGGTGGTGCGGTAACGATGACCTGTAGGCAATTGCTTGCCGTTGCAGAACCATTCGATCTTAAGGTTGGGATCGTTGATCGGTTCCACTCGGCACTCCAAGTGGGCGTGTTCGCCCTCCTTCAGGTGTTCCAGGTTGCTCAGCGGGGTAAGGAAAATGGGCTTCTGTCCCTTCTCCTCCACCACTGGTTTAGTGGGAGGAGCATAGTTCTCCAGCTGGCGAATCTTCTCCAAACGCTGAGCATCCAAAGTGTCCAGGTCGAGCGTCTTGTTTGCTGTTAGTGATTGAAAGGGGATTAGTTAATTATAAAAGAGGCTTAAAATTCTTTGTACTACCTGTTACGTTTACAGCACAAGTCGTGACAGCTTCTCCAATGGCGTTCTTGGCCTTGCACATGTAGGTGCCGGTGTCCTCGGCATGGGCATACAGAATGTCTAGCGCCACGAAGCCAAAATCGTAGGTGGTCTTGAAGCGGTGGCCCGTCTGTATCGGTGTACCGTTGCAGTACCATTCCACCTTCATGGTGGGATCATTCACAGGGATCAAAGTGGCCTCCAGATGGACGGGAGTTCCCTCATTGACCTTGGCATTACGCAGTGGCCGCCCGAATTGAGGACGTTCTGCATGGAACTGCTCCTCGTCGGTCTTCCTCTGGAAACGCGAAGTATCCTCCAGATGCTGGATCTTGGTCAAAGCCTCCTCGTGCTGCGTCTCATGGATGATAGACGAACGCGAAGTCACGTTCAGAGCAATCGAGTTAACTGCCTCACCCAGGTTGTTGGTCACACGGCAAGTGTACTCGCCGCTATCCTCCGCGTAGACAGTCAGGATGTCCAGAGCGGCGAATCCAAAGTCGTACGTGGTACGGAAACGATGACCAGTGCTCAGGGGCTTTCCGTTGTGGAACCACTCCACCTTGAGATTGGGATCTGGATAGGGTTCAATGCGGCACTCGTAGTGTGCGCTCTGACCCTCAACCAGATTGCTGGGTCCAATCAGCTTGGTTACAAACACCGGAGCGGTGGTCACCGTGTACTCCTCCTCCTCCCTGCGCTGATACCTGCTATGATCCTCCAGCTGGTGGATCTTGTGCATGGCGGCCTCGTGCTGGGTCTCCAGCTGAATGGACGTCTTCGATTGCACAATGAGCGAGGCGGAGGTGACAGCCTGCCCCAGCTCGTTGACAGCACGGCAGGTGTAGGTGCCGGAGTCCTCGGGATTTACATACTTCATGTTGAGAGCCACGTAACCAAAGTCGTGCATGGTGGTAGTGCGGTTCGAAGCCTCAATGGGTTGACCATTACGCAGCCACTCCACCTTCAAGTTGGGATCTCCCACTGGAATCAGACGAGCCTCGAAGTGCACCGCCTGGTTCTCAGCCACTCGGACATCCCTCACCGGCATGGTGAATACAGGCGCCTGTGACACGAACTCATCCTGAACGCTGATGCGCTGACGCTTGGAGCCATCCTCCAAGTGCTGCAAACGTGGCAGAGCGGTCTCATGCTGCGACTCCAGGTAGATGGACTTCTTGGTGTGTACGACTGCCACAGCGGAGGTAATTGCTTCACCGACGGCATTGAACGCACGGCAGGTGTAGGTACCGGCATCCTCAGGCAGAGTGGACATAATATCCAAAGCCACAAAACCGAAGTTGTTGGTCTCAGTGAAGCGAGATCCAGACTTCAGTGGCAGATTGTTGTGGTACCACTCAACACGCATCGAAGGATCCGATACGGGAATCAGGCGGCACTCAAAGTGGGCCCTCTGGTTCTCCTTGATCTCAACGTTCTTTAGGGAGGTGGTGAACACCGGAGCCTGCTTGGTGCTCTCATCGATCTCCTCCCGACGGGTGTACCTCGTGCGATCTTCCAGGTAGTGGATCTGCTCCAAACCGGCCTCGTTCTGGGTGACAGTTACGATCTGCTCACCGCTGCGGCACTGCAGCTCCACCTGGGTTTCATCGGAGCCGATCAAGTTAACGGCCCTGCAAGTGTAGACACCCGAATCCTCGGCAATCAAATGGACAATGTCCAAGGCCACGTAGCCGAAATCGTGGATGGGACGGAAGCGATGACCTACAGTGATGGGACGGCCGTTCTTGAACCACTCCACCTTCAGGTTGGGATCGGTGACCGGTTCGATCTTGCACTCGAAGTGGGCGTGACCACCCTCACGGGTGTTGGTCAAGCTCTTCGGATGGGTGAGGAAGCGCGGACGAATGTTGACCACCTCGTCGACGAACTCGCTGCGGCGATGACGGGTCGAGTCCTCCAAGTACTGGATCTTCTGCAGACCCGACTCGTTCTGCGTCTCCAAGATCAGATCGTTCTTGGCGATAATGCGCACGGAACAGGAGGTGACTGCCTCGCCCAGTTGGTTTCTGGCCTGGCAGGTGTAGACACCCGAATCGATGGCGTAGCAGCCAAGCAGGTCCAAGGCTACGTAATCGAATTCGTAAGCGGGACGGAAGCGGTGGCCTGTCTTCACAGGTTTTCCATTTACGAACCACTCGATGCGCATGCTGGGATCTCCCACGGGCTGCAGGCGGCACTCCAAGTGCACATTGGTGCCCTCGATGGTTTCGATGTTGTGCAGACCCCTGGTGAACTGGGGCGCCTGCATGATGGTGATGTCCTCCTCCTGGTGATGGCGACGGCGAGAGTCCTCGAGCAGTTGGATCTGCTCCAGCGATTGTTCGTTCTGAGTCTCAGTCACAACATCCGTGTGATCGATCACACGCACGCAGGCTGAGGTGTGGGCCGTTCCCAAGTGGTTGGTGGCCCTCACGGTGTACTCCCCGGAATCGGCGGCCGTGGCCTTGATGATGTCCAGAGCCACGAAGCCAAAGTCGTAGTAGGTGCGGAAACGGGAACCCACGGTAACGGGGCGACCATTATGGAACCACTCGACGCGCATGGTGGGATCACCCATCGGCTCCAAACGGCACTCCAGATGGATGTTCTTGCCATCGTGGATGGGTTTGGGATCGCTCAATGGGGTGACAAACACCGGCTTGGACTTGGAGATCTCCTCGATGTCGTACTGAGGCTCCACGAAAGGCTTGTTCTCCAAGTTCTGGGTCTTCTCGTACAGGCCGCGGTGCATGCTAGATGTGTCGATACTGGAACGAGCTATAAACAAATAGGATTAGCTCTGATATCATAAATTCCTTAAAACCATGCTATACTTACTTTCCACTATCATCGTTGCTTGCTGCTGAGCTTCACCTAGCTTGTTCCTGGCCACCACGAGGTAGACGCCAGCATCTTCGGCGCGCACCTGGGAAATGTCCAGGGCGACGTAGCCGAAGTCGTAGTAGGTCTGGATGCGATTGGCGGCGGTGATGGAGCGACCGTTATGGTACCACTCGATCACCAGACCCAAGTCGCTTTGGGGCTCAACACGGGCCTCGAAGTGAGCCCGCTGGCCCTCGAGGATCTTGGTGGTGCCCTTCAGGGGACCGAGGAAACGGGGAGCCGTGGTGACGTAGGTCTCCTCCTCCTCGCGACGTCCGTAGCGCGATGAGTCCTCCAGATGCTGGATCTTCTGCAGACCACCCGGGTGCTGTGTCTCCGAGACAATTTCGTTCTTGGAGATCACCGTCAGCTGGGCCACGGTGGTGTCCTGACCCATGGCATTGTAGGCACGGCAGGTGTAGGTGCCGGCATCGTAGATGGTCAGCTGCTTGATGGTCAGAGCCACATAGCCAAAGTTGTGGTACGTGGTGATCCTGGAACTGGCCTCCAGGGGCTGACCATCCTTCAGCCACTCCACGCGCATGGTCGAGTCCCCGATGGGTTCGAGTCGCGCCTCAAAGTGCGCATGCGCGTGTTCGCGCAGATCCAACTGGTTCTGGATGGGAGTCTTGAACTGCGGTGGGGCAATTGCCTCTGCGGCCTCCTGGACATGGCGACGCTGCTGGGACTTGCGGTAGTCCTCCAGTTCCTCCACCTTCTCGATGTAACGCTGCTGCTCCGGAATACCCAGATCAGCAGTGACCTGGGAACGTGAGTGGACACGAATCGAGGATTGACTGATGGCCTCTCCAATGCGATTCACCGCCCGCACCGTGTAGGTGCCTGCGTCTTCGGCTCTCAGGTGCAAGATGTTCAGGGAGACGTAACCGAAGTTGAAGATGGCGGTGATGCGGGAGCTGGCCGTGATGGGCAGCCCGTCCTTGTACCACTCCACCCGCATGGAAGGATCGTTTACCGGGGTCACCTGGGCCTCGAAGTGCACGTTCTTGCCCTCCTCGAACTCGCCGAGATCGCGGAGTTGGCGGATGAACTGCGGCGCCTGGTTTAGCTGCTCATCGACGCTCTCCGTGCGCTGGTAGCGGGAGTAGTCCTCCAGCTGGTTGATGTACTGCAGACTGTTAGGGTTCTGCGACGACTGCTCGATGGAGGGGCGCTGCACCACGGACAGAATAGCCCGGGACTCGGCCACCCCACTGGCGTTGCTCACGCGGCACATGTACTCCCCGGAGTCGTGGCCCATGATGCTCAGAAGATCCAGGGCAATGAATCCGAACTTGAAGACGGATGTGGCGCGGGCACCTGCAAATAGAAAGCCATAAGCTATCTCCCCAAATTATCTTGATAATCTTCAACTTACTGGCTGCCAGCGGACGTCCATTGAGGTACCACTCGACGACCATGGTGGGATCGCCAACAGGTTCGATGCGAGCCTCCATGTGGACGCGGCCACCTTCGGTCTGCTGCACATTCTGCAGCGGGATGATGAACTGGGGCGGCGGATAGACGCGATCCTCCTCACCAGGACGCAGATGGGGCTTGGCGCGCTCCACATGGCGCAGGTAGATGATTTCGGGGCCAGGAATGGGTCTGAATAAAAGATAATTAAATGAGTTAGGTTCCAAAATGATCAAGGCTACACTTAGGAAAAAATCAAGATATCTTCGTAAATATAAACTGAGGAGTACTTGCTTCTTGATTTAAAGAACGATTCTTCTCGAATAAAAGAGAAGACAAATTCTCAAATTACTACAACTTGATCTTGTTTTTTTTCCGTATTTCTATGGGTGTAACTTAAAAACTCACTCTGGCTCGATGACTTTCGTTGGTCTCGGGAGATTGAGACGACGCTGCTCGTAACTTGGTTGTTCCCTGGGAACCTCGACATACAGCCTGGCCCTATTGGCCGTGGATCCAGCGATGTTCTGGGCGGTGCACTGGTACCATCCGGCGTCGCTGGCACTGACGCGCGGAATCTCCAGGCAGGTGGCCCCACCGTCGATGCCCACGAAGCGCTCGGCGGTGGACGAGATCTGGACGCCGTCCTTCTGCCAGGTGATCCGCGGCTGGGGAGTTCCAATGGCATTGGCACTCATGGTGATCGGCTCACCCTCGCGCACAGTCATGGTGCTGAAGCGTTGAACAAATTGTGGTGCGACAACCTGCTCCTTCTCCAGCACATTCAACTGCGCCTCGATGGCCACCTCACCGGCCTTGTTGCGGGCCAGACACTGGACAGCTCCGGCATCCAAGCGGGTCACGTTGGTGATCATCAGTGAGTGGCTGCCGGATTCGTTGACCAGAATCTTGTGCGAGGCATCGTCGCGCACTTGGCGGCCGTTGATCAGCCAGAAGACCTCGGGGTAGGGATTGCCGGTCACGCGGCAATCAAACCTGGTCATGCGACCCTCGGTGACCTCGCGATCTCCGAAAGCCTTCACAAAGGACGGGGGCAATGCCTTGCCGGCCTCCAGTTGCTCGGCCATCACATCCACGGGCTTCGGTTCGTAGGCGGTCTCCGCGGCGGGTTCCACGGCCAACACGGCGGATGAAACCACACAGCCCTGCAGATTCTCGGCAAGCAGGGTGTAGTGACCGCCATCGCGAGCCGTGGCGTTCTTCACACGGAGCGTGGCCACGCCACTCGAGTAGGAGATCTCGTACTTCTGCGAGGCCACCAGACGCTGGCCATTGTGGAACCAGGTCAGCCTTGGCTTCGGGTTGGAACCCACGCGTGCGGTGAACACGGCATCGGATCCCTCGATCAGCTTGGAGCTGCGCGGCTTCTGCGAGATCTGCGGCGCCTGGGCAGGACCCTGGTTGCGGTCCAGCTCCTGGGAGAGCTGGGAGTCCTGCTCGTAGCCAGATCGCCGGGTGATGGCCTCGCGGAAGGAGACCTCACGCAGCAATCGGTACTCGAAGGTGTCCACACGGAACTCCTCCTCGATGGAGGTGTACGAATAGCCATTCGAGTAGATGTTCTTCTCCAGATTCTGGATGGGCTGCAGGGCCGGCATCGGAGCTCCCTCCGGCTGGATGTAGACGCTGCAGATGGCCTCGCCGTACTGGTTCCTGGCCGTGCACGTGTACTCGCCCTCGTCCCCGGGTCCGATCTGGTTGATCAGCAGGGACACGTCGCCGGTGGCCTCGTTGTAGCTCATCCGGAACTTCTGCGACTCGAGAAGGGGTGCGCCTTTCCGGGTCCAGGTCACGAATGGCTTCGGGTTGCCACGCAGGCGACCCTCGAAGAGGGCGTTGCCGCCCTGGGCGAAGCGAGCGTTCTTGAAGATCTGCTCGAAGACTGGCGGCGAGATGTCGCCCTGGGCATACACGTGTGTCAGCGAGGGGGGCACGTAGGCGCCTCCGATGCTGCCACCATGATGTTGTTGCACTGCAAGATCAATGGTTGGAAAACATTCTCATTAAGATCACTCAGTTGTGGAAGCAGGCGAGGGAAATGATTGCGAATGCAGCATTAGCTTTAATTAAATTTACCTTGAGTTCTATTATAATCAAAACAAAAATCGGCAAGTAAAGAACCAAATCGACTCTTAATAGTCAAGTTAATTATCATTTTGAACTATTTTAATTTTGAACAATTTTTATTTAATGTTTATTACTATTGCGTTTTGTATTAAAATATAAAATTAATAAATTTATTATGTAGTTATGAAAATTGGTGAACGAATATAAGAATATTTATCTTTCCCGTTAATGCATCTAAATTACTTTATGTATAGGCTAACCAAAATATTGAAGTGACAGCTCTCCCAAAGCTAACGACATTCTTCTTTACATTGCTAAATTAAGAAAATCTGGTTCTTAGAACTCTAAATTTATTAATTTTTGCAAATGACTTGAATTCTAAAACCGGAAAAAGAAATTTTAAGATAAATTATTTTAAGTTTATGTCCTAGGAAATTAGTTTGAATAAGTTTACCATAGGCTGATATGTAAAACCCATTAAGAAGTTAAACTAAAATTCACTATCTTGAAGTCATTCATAATCTTCATGTTCTATTCATGAACTATACCAAAAAGTTTATTTACTTTTGATGCGTATATTTAGTTGGCACACGTACCAAACTATTTATACTTGTAATCACCCAAAAGTAAACACCTCTAAATAAATATCTATATTCGTTTCGGCACCTGTATATATAATATATATATATGCATTTGTTTATCATTTGAATCTCTTGAACTGTGTCATTAACGTTAAGTAGATATAGGTTGTCGACTTTCAACACAGCTGATCGGAAAAACTGCGTAATGTAAACAAATGTGAATATCAGCTGACGGCTCTCTTTCTTTTATCCTCTTTCACCTCTCCTTCTGACTTTTCTCTCATTAGCTTCGGGTTTTCATCTTCGGGAAATCGTCTTCGTGTTTTAAGTATAAGAGAAAGCCAAACCCTTATATTCAATTCTCTCTGACACCTTGCACTCGCCATCGTGGGAAAATGTAAACAAATTTCGGGGAGTACGAACTCTTATACGATTTATATATAGTATCGGAATATGTATGTCAGTGCAGTCGTGGGAGATGAATAGATAATATTATAAATAGACCCACATTTCGGCTGTGCTCATCAATTAAGATTTAAATGATGAAACATAAGTTGACACATGAATATATATTGGAAAATGTATATCAGTACAGTTTTCAGAGCATTAGGGGGTGGAATTTATTTTTGATTTTTGAAAATTTCAACAGTGACACATGCGAGTATATATCAGATAGAAAATAACAAAAGCTAATGTGTTTAATTATGTGTCTAAAGCCCCCTTTGATTTTTAATTTTCCTAGTTATATCCATACCTGCTGGCTCAAGGTGGATTAATCATAGAAATAAAGCAGATTGTCTGAATTATGAACCAAGTGCAATAAACAAATGTGGGGCTATATTTATTTCTCTAGAATACATTTTGTATATTTGAATTAGTCATTTTCCGATATTCTTTTCCTGTTTATGTTAAAATTGTGTAATACAGATTTTGAAAGCATTTCGGACATTGATTAATTATGGGGAATGTTGGAAATGGGTTGCTTCTATAGATTTGGATTGTATTATTGATTGGGCGTCTAAGTAGATATTAAATACAATGAAAATCAAAGTGTTTTTTCTAGGAAAGGTGAAATGTTTATGCACAACTCTAATAAATAGGTAGATCGAATGACTGAATGACACCAAATCAATTGCTTAAGTTTAAAATGTTTGTGGGTACGGCAACTTCAGACGATATTGAATGAGCATATTGAATTCAGCATAAAAAAATATTATATTGGGTAATTTACACAGGTGCAACAGAAATCTCTGGAGTCAAATGTTGACTTTAGTTTCGGAGAACTTATATTCGATATATAAATATCAGTTCATTTTTATTGTATAAGACATTTTGAAACCAACCGAACAAACCACTTGGGTTACAAATCAGTTGAAAGCGATCAGTTCTAAATTTTTTTTGTAAGTTTTATATCGAGTATTAGATCTTTAAAAATTAGATACTACAGTCAATTTTCCCTTACTCGAATCACTATCTGCCACCGAAACAGTTCGAGTTACGTAGACTTTGAGCTACAGAATACAATAAATGAGCACTTATGCATTTAAGATAATACAACTGTAGTTCGACTTATAAAAAATTTGAGTTAAGGAAGTTCGAAAATGAACAGTATTATTCTGTTTTCTTAATTGGATTCTGATCTCAGTCTTAATATAATTTTCGAAAATAATGCTAAAAAGCTTTTATTGTAGAGAGCTTTTCGCAGACATTAAATTTTGAAAGAAAACACTTGGTCCTCTTTTGACCCTTAGTGTATTCCATCTTAAATATTTTACAAAAAATAATGGAATATGTGTTCTAATTTTAAAAAGTTGGTTAACCACATTCAAGATCTTATTTCTGTATAGGAGTATTTTCTTGATGATTTGTATGATTCAGAATATATCTGTGACTTTTGATAGAGGTTTTTTGATTCTAGCGAGCAAGCTTTTATGATTTCAAGGCCATTTCAGTGAAGCAGCAAGCAGAATGATGGAAAGCTTTGTCCTGGATCCTTCGGCCAACCAGCGGAAATTGCTTGGGGACAGTGGGGATTCTAAATCCACGGTGTGAATCCCACTGAGCCTCGCAAACTTCCCCCGAGATCGGCCGCCCTTCGGACACAGGAACATCCAAGGACACGGGTGACTAGGACGAGATGGAGGACTGACCTTGCCGCTGGGTGGTGAATTGGCTGCGCTGGACGTGCTGCTCGGTGCGGCTAATCCTTTGCTCCTGGTGCTGCTCCTGGCTGGAGTGGGAGTACTCCTGGGTGGAGTACTGCTGCACCTGCTGCTGTTGCTGCTGGTTTTGCTGCTGGTACGGGTTCGGATTTTGTCGTTGCATTTTGCTGCGTTATATATCACTATATATCATTTAAAATGACAACCAAATCGTTGCAGAATGAACTGCACTGTAGAATTGAACACCTCGCGATCACTCTTTCTTTGATTTGCTTCTTCACTTGATATACTTCTATATATATTTATCTCTCTTTGGTCGCTTCTTTAAATTGCTGAAATAAAAACCATATTTGTTCAAGGACTTTCACTTTAATTAGGCAACGGAAAATTCACAACACTTGGCTTATTTATCACTGCCATTTTGGCCAACATTTATATTCATTTTGTGGTTTTTGTATCTTTGATTTACTTTCATGTTTGCCTGTCACACATTTTGTTTAATGGCTTTGAATTTTCTTTATGCGTTATGCCAGTAGATATAAATCAGGCGAGATCGGAGATCTTAGCATGACGTTCATATCACCCATCCTTCTTCATATTCATTTTCATATTCTTTGCCTGTGAGGCATTTCCAACTATTTTTAGCCTCGAGAATATTTCACTGCGACACACAGATACGCACTCACACACACTCCCTCTCACACACACAACACACACACTCAGTGAAACACAGTCGGTGGTAGCTTCTTATTTTTCACGGGGCTATTAATAAACTTTTTTCTGGTTTCTCCTATAGGAAAACCTTGCATTGGCCCAATGATCTCTGTTGAAGTGTTTTCACAATTTTCCTAGCGCTATCCTGGCCGTTCCAGCGGGTAATCCTTGCCAGGATCAGCCAGGATAATGCACATTCACACACATGGCAGAGGGAGCGCATATACGTGATCTTTTGATATATGCAGGTTCCAATATATATATAGATCGCTTGATATCTGTTTGCACACGATTTCACAGTCCATTCGTTGAATTGGGTGCGGACCCACGAAGAACCGATCCAATACGATCCGAATCGGAATCCGAAACGAAGCACCCGATCGGGTGATATTTTTAGATATTTAGCGCACTGAAAAATTCTTTCGGCATTTTTCTCGAAGTGGTTTCGTAACCAGAGAAAATTTTCATGAACACTTTTCCATTCACTATTCCTTCAGGATTTTCACATTTTTCACACTTTAGCTTGATCCTTACTCGAAATTGCGTTATCCTTTCGACGTTTTATATATATTTGCGTGCGTGCGGGACTCTAGGCGAACGAAATGGCTGCGAACGTATACATATATCTGTACCGTGTGGTGCGTTTAGATATAGATATATGTATGTTCTTTTAAAAAATATCTATTTTCAAACTGTTTCAAGTCATAATCCCCGAGACTGAAACCAAGACGTCGATCGTTTGTGAGGTGCGAGCGAAGAATGACAAAATCTCGCGGAGAATGCGATCAAGTAGCTGTGCCTGCACAGCCGAACTTCGCCCGAATCCACACGATTGCAAACGATCTCCCACCGAGAGAGAGGTGGAGAGTTCGGCGAGTGAAGATCTTGCTCCACATGAGATATTTTTGCATTTTCCTCGGGACCCATCATGTGGTTGTTGCTGTTGTGGGAAAATACTCTGAGAGTGTTGAATGCACTACACATCACTGTGGGGCATATAGGTTCTTGGGGTCAATAATGGGCCAGCATTTATATATTAGGTGCTTATCCTAGAACTCAAGAATTCGCGGTTTAAATTTTCAAAATAAAGTCAATCATTAAAATAAATATGGTTTCTTGTGTGTGAATTTTCTGTTTTGTTTTAATATTTAAAAATTACTTATAATATCAAAGAGCATCTTTATGTCGTGTATATCTCGACAACTCCATGCTGCTTTTCCCAATGGCATTTCGATCAAAATCAAATTGCTGGGAGTCTTTTGGCCCGGCCATTCGATAGTTTGATAAACATTTGCCCCAGGAGACTCGACAATTTGCCTTGGATCGCCAAAAAGAGAGAAAGATTCCTCCGGGGAGTCTCTATAGTCTCCCGCTGCTGCTCATTGACTCTCTCGTTGGGGATTTCGTAAAGTGTTCGGGTTTTGAGTAAGTTGGCTAAAAATATATGGCGATTTATTTTTGACACGTATTTTTCAACATTGTGTGCACGAAAACGAACAACAAGAAGACATCCTACCGAAATTCTAGATACTGTGAGAGACAAATGCATACACACGGCACAGATCCGTATCTATTGATTCCAGCTAGAGATTCGTTCCTTATGTTGCCCTCTATTCTACTCCAAAAACCAGGAGGAAATGTCCATCACAGTTGAAATTGTACAAATAAATAGGAGATCCCAGTTGCAATCAAATCTTGGAATAATAATTTGCACAATATAATTAAAGGCTTTGGGGGATTTGGTCTAGATTGCTCTTCCTTCGTGTTTTTTTCACATTTTCCACATCATTTATTTTGTTTGTCTAAAATTAAAACCACATAGATGTATAGAAATGTATAAAATTTGGCTCGTCCGCCCGTTTGATACATATAACTTGATTATTCATTTTGTCTCTTAATCATCAGCATAGAGATAGATGTGTGTTTCAGTGACCAATTGGCGAAAAACTGTCGCAACTTTCTATTTCTTTTTAGCCATTTCAGAAAATCTCAAATACAAATTGCACCTAAAACGACGAGTTGGTTTTGGCCTTTTATGGCTAGGAGTTGCCCCAAGGCAGCCACTATATCGCTGTATACGGCAACCTGGTTTGCAATGGTCATGCAATATTGTTTTTTATTGTGCACAAATTAATTGTTAACATGGCCAGCAGCACTATAGTAGTAGTAATGGTAGCACAGCAACTCAGTAACAGAATCATTAAATTACAGACTCGCCGATGTAGATTCTAGGCAGCCAGGCGCAGCGACGGCAAAGTTTCGACTGTCACCGACAAGGTACAAATGTATCTACAACCATTAGAGTGGCTCGGGCAGAGATAAGCCGAGAAACAGGCAACACGCACCGCGGCTAGCTTTCTTCTGGCTGAAATATCCACTAAAACAACAACAGGAGTAACAGTTAGCCGGTTCTGCAAGGCAGATTGCAAAGACAGTTTGCGTTTTTGTTAGCGATGCGCTACGAAAATGAATAGTATGCACTGAGAAAAATTCAGTTAATTTCATGGCCGATCAAATATTTGTACATGATCCATTTTAAATTAATTTGAAATGGCATTGGGCATAACAAACAAAAATAAGTTATATAATGATTTTATTTTTTTTTAAAGATAAGTCCACACACTGCGGGCCTAAAATTCCCAATCAGTTCAAGCGGTGACTGAATATTCGATTAGTAATGAATTTATATATGTGATAGTTGTAAATTGTTAGCCAAAGTTCAAATTACATTAAAAATACATTTTGCAATTTTATAACAAAAATATTAACAATAAACATAATATACTTTAAAATATTCGAAGTGAATAACTATACACTATATATATATAGTTATACATAGATAAATTCTTAAAATGCTAAAATATCTGTGGATCTTGTCGGCTTGATCTTAGCCCAAAATTTTTCCAAGTGCACAGCTTTTCCAAGCAACCATTCGCTTGACAGCTGTCCGTAAGATTAACAGCACTTATCTGGCCAGGCTGAGGCTGTATCTGAATCTGTATCTTATCTCGCAGATGCTCTGTGCAAAAATATTCGCCCAATTATGTCACTGCCAGAGAATGTGCCAACAAACACAACACGTATACAAGAAAACATTTCACTTGTCTTTTAATTAGTATTATTAATGGTTTAGTACATATAATAAGGCAACTCTGTAGGTTTAGTTCATTTTAGTTTTGCTCAAAAATTAGTTTGGCTTCTCCCAGCTCTCGAACTCGGGCGATGCATTCAATTTACTGCAAACAAGAAAAAGAATCCAAGATCAATCAACGATCAGATACAGACAAGATTGACAGAATGGAACAAACAGATGCTGGATGAGTTGACACTTGAGTTGGAAGCGGGCAAAACATGCAACATGCAACAGGCAGCGAGAATGATGGATAAATATGGATAAATATAGTATCTTTGGAAGAATGCCACCCCCCAAGCCGCTGAGCTGGCGACCCCAAGCCAAGCCGAGCCCATCTTGAAGTTATAAATACACTACAATACTTCTTTATTTTTTACCCAGATGTAATGAGTCGCGTAAGCAGATCTGCATTGCCAACGACTCGTTTTGGCATCGAATTTCACGACCATTGCAGCCAGCCTCAATCTCAATCTGAATCCCAATCCCAAGTCCCAGTCCCGGTCTTGGGCCCCTCCATTCAGCAAAACCATAAAACCGAAACGAAACGTCGTCAACTACGATGTTGCGGCGACTGCGCCCCAAGAGCACTGCATGCCAAGCGGCAATTTAGGTATAAAATGTCCAAATGTGGTCGACTTAAGCCCACAAAAAGGGTATACCAACTATCTAGGAATCTAATTTTTGTAAGTTCTAGACTAGGAAAAGTTGCCTTTTTAAAATCTTTGTTTAGAATGGCTGTTATATTAAGTTATACAGACACACAGACCTAGTCTGGTAATTCAAAAAAAAAAACAGAAGAATTTTTTTAAATATTGTATTTCCTGCGGATGTTATTCTTTGTGAAAGAAAATCTTGAGTAAGCATTTTGATAAATTCTGAGTAACTTTCAACTGATCTTTAGCCCCAAAATGCTCTTAATTGTCATTAAAATATATAATTTCCAAAATTAAAAGAGTATCCCAGAGTCGACTCTTCCTAATCAATTTCTAACTCTTCTTCAGCCTTTTCATATCAATTGTTTATAAAATTAGACACACGAGTCGCAGTCAAAGTCTCCACCTCCCAGCGCCACTGGTGAACCTCCCTTTCTGGTAAATGAAAGTTGCAGTGTGGTGCAGAGCGGTGGCTGTAATCTATATTTAGTGATTTTACATGCGGTACCTCAAAGATATTCGAAATATGTGTGTATGGATAGCGTGACATGGCAAATGGATGCGAGAGATTGAGATTGAGAGATCGCGACTGCCCATTTTGTAGTTAGCAATTTTCCAGATCGCTTGAGGATCGAATTGAGGCATTTGGCCGATGATTAATTATGGATTTTGTTATGGAAACAACATTTAATGTAAGCCAAACGAAAAATGCCAATAAAATTGTGGAATTTGTTTACCTGTTTGCTCGCGTAGCTGCGGCTCCTGGCTAAAATCCGAAATAGACACGGTCTTGGTGCTGACGTAGCTGATGGACTCGATGGTGGTCTCCCACTTCTGGAACGTGTTGATGGTGTCGCTCCGCAGAGCCCGACTCGACTGGGAATGATGATTGTTGCTCCTCAGAGGCGTCGAGGAGCGCAGCGACATGGTCGATGTGGCCGAGCCCATGGAGGAGCTGGCCGGCGAACTGGTCGATGTGGAGGAGAACGAGGCTGATTTGCGCAAAGGCGTTTTATTGGAGCTATTTTCCAGGGGCTGTTCCGAGGCCTCCGGCGCCGGTTCCTCTTCGGTTATTAGCAGGCTATCCGTTTGGGTGCCTTGATCTGCAGAAGATTACACGAAAAAAAATTAAAAGTTTAAATTAGTATGAATAAGTCGGTCATCGTATATAGAAACCTTTAACGACCAACACCAAAAGTATGCAAGAAACTTGATTTATACTATAAGCACTATGAAGTTTTCAAAGATCTATAGAAACCACATATTTTCCTGTTTACATATGGTATTAATTATAGATATTTAACAAAATATAAAACCTCCATTGATTTTCCTAGCATTCCTTTAAAAATAATATTAGTTTCTTTCTGTGCAGTCCTCACTGCGAGTTTTGGCGAATTAGAAACGCGGAAATGATTGGAATCTTCAGATTTTATAGCTGCACTGCTGCGTTTTTATGTTCCTGCTCAATTAGCTGAAAACAATTAAATAGTAGCGCCTTTCTGGCAATTAGCGGAATTCGTGTTTATGCTAAAACTTGGCCGCGATTTTCAGCGGAATAGAAATGAAATCCCTGCACTGTATTTTCAACACACCAAATTGTCTATTGTCTGCGTTGTTCGCCGTTTTGTTTGCTAATTTACAGCGTGCGTATAAATAATCAAGTTGCCAAGAATCTTTTCGCCCCGAAAAGAGTGACTGACTTGGACAGGGTCATCAACGCGTGGCGGTAGCACGGATGTTTTGGGATCCCATTCCTAGGAACCAAACCCATTGCCATTCCTCAGTTGAGGCTGCCTGTCATCGGGGATTATGCAACTGAATTTCGCGGCTCTTTCAAGGCGCCAGTCTCTGAGTTTGTTGCGCCCAATTAAATTAAATCTATGCATATAGACATTATAAATATTTTGATGTTTGCACAAATGCTGGGCGAACTGAAGTGCTAAATGCTTCTGGTTCTATCCAAACATCTGCGCAGTTCTGGGCCAATTCCTTTAGTTCTCGAACTGCTGCTGGTTTATTACATTCTTCTGCTGGCCGTGGGTGTGAGGAAAACAATTTTACGAGCCTCCCAACTACTTTATAGTATCGAATTCGAATGCCTTTGGCTCTTATCCAGTTTATAAACATATATATTCGGCTAAAGTATCTATAGATTGTCGCGGCAGCCCAAAAATTTTACCGAAACCAAAGCGGAAATAGTCTTATTAAAATTTATATGTGGCAAGTGCGCCGGTCATTCAGAATTATCTGCCAGAAAATATTAATTATATAAAACAAATATCTATATTTCAGCAGTACGGCGCAGTTATCTTAGGGATATACTCAGTAAATAGCTCATTAAGTCTCCTATGATCTTAAAGACCCTAAATTATTCTGCATTAATCAGAAGTGCGACCACGCCTTTGCCATGTTGACCAATCCAATATAATAAACCACTCAACTGGATCCCACAGAAAGACCCATCTAATGGATCACCAAATTGTTTCCTCATCCTCAGAGATCTGAACAAAACAAAGAAAAAATCTAAGAAATATGAACGAATGCTCAAAGTGGGAAAGGAAAATTTGTGTGTTGTGTGTGGTTTGTGACTTGTTGCGCTGAGTTCATTTGCTATTTTGAGAAAATTACCCAATTAATTTTGAAAAACACTGGGAGCAGGGAAAAAACCATAATGCGAATGTTTGTATAGCTGGTGGAAAAGACTCATCACAAAAAAATGTAGATGGGACACTTTGGTGGTCAAACTGTAGACCATATTCTGGCATTCGGTGCAGAGAATCCAGGCGATTTGAAATCGTATTCAAAAAAGCGTTAATGTTTGGCTTTGGGTATTGGAATCTGGTGAAATAACATTTACCATTTCGCGCTGGCAAAACATTTGCCACACGATACACAGACATTGTGTTTGCTCTAAAGCGAGTGAAATTTTGCGAATGTGCCAAGCACACAAAAAAGAAAAATGTTCTACGAAAAAGAAAAAGAAATAGATATACTAAACAAAACGGACACGGCCCGAATATTTCGGATTCGCATTGAGGAACGCCACACGCGAAATGTTTTTCATATTTTTGCATTGAATTTATATTTTGACATAGTTTCATGATATATATCTCAGCGTTTTATCGGTGCGGGAAGCAATTTTATGAATCATTAAGGTGCAATATCGGGCCATATGCTCGCACTCAAAATCCGATTTCAATGAAATTACCACGCCGTTATATTTTCGTAAACGATGCACTAAGCACTGGCCATGATGCTGCAAATGACTCAGAGTACTTGCATTTGGCCTGTGAGTGGGATCTAATTTGTTTCTTGGACCGCTGCCTAATGACTAGAACACTTTGGCCAGGCACTAAGCACACACATTTAGAATTGGCAGATTGGCAGGCGGGGACCTTGAACCACCCACAAATCCCCAGCCAACCACTCGACCACCCACCCACCAGCGACTAATCATCGACAGAAGTGTGTCATATGTCCCAAAGTAAGTGGGAAAGTCAGGCCAAGAGATGTGCCAATAATCTGGGTTATGCTGAGGAATGTGTATCCCTTAAGAATAGGATTTAAATTTGAATTGTAGGTATAGTAAAATAGTCCCCTGTTTAAATATTTACTTTTGAGATACAAAAACAATTCATTTTCTTAAAGAAGATCTAATACATATTAAAAGTATACAACTTAACCCAAAATGCATCAGCATTGACGATATGATGCTTAAAAAAATACATAAAATATAATTTGATTGATTATTTTTTCCACTACAAAATGTTGGATTATGAAAACTTAAATAAAACTGACATGATAACTTTTGACTTTAGAGGTTTAGAAAGTGTGAATACGAATATAACACCTAAATAATATTTCAATATCAAGAAAAGCCCATAAAAGTTTGAAAAACTGTTTGAATTTAATTGACCTCTGCTACCAAAAAAGTTTGTCTACTTTCAGTGATTTATTCTAGTAGTTTGGCAACTCTGCCGGTGATTTGGGTTCGGTGTCAGTGTCAAGGACTCTCTAAGGCCTACATACCGGGCATATGTGTACCCAATGCCTTGACAGCCGAGAGTGTTTATGTCTGGCCTGTCCGAGTTTCCTCGCTGCCCCTTTGTTTCTTGAAAATTGTTCGCATTTTGCGCGTTTTACTCGCCGTTGATTCTTGGCAAGCGATCGCCACAAAAAGAACATGCCAAGAAAATTAGATAAATAAACATTGCCGAAAGGCAAATAAATCATTTTTGTGCAGCAAAGCGAAACTTAGTCGAACCGTCAACCGCCCACCCACATTTTATTCCACACATATCCAAACATTTGTTCTACCGTTGCCTCTAAATTTTTTGAATCATTTTCTGACCTGATTTTGAAAGTAGTTTTTTGGCCTAGTTTAAATATTTATACGGCAATGAGTAATGGAAAGCAAATGACTGAAATTAATTGGTAGACTTAGTGCTCAGCGTGAAAAATGGGACTTTAAAATTCTGTATTTCATTCAGAAAATTAGATTGAAAACTTTTCCCGAAAAAGCAAGAAAATGTGTGCTAAGAGAATCATTAATCTTGAGATCAAAGATAAACGAAATTAATGTCAAAACCAATATGAAAATTATTTTACAAAGATCTGAGGGATCGGTTATAATGTAAACATACTATATGCAAAGAGAGATTAATCAGTCTTTTTTCAATATATTTTCTAAGAAAATCTTAACCATATGGCTTTTAATTATAAATTAAAAACCAAAAATTTTTAGATATTCAAGATTAGCGATCGCTGGGCGCCATCTAGCGCCTAAACGACTCGAAAGCTTTTTCGAATAAGCGATTTTAGCTTTTTCGAACAAATTGCTAGAATTATCACATAGAGAGCGCCACTTATTAAGCTTTTCACGATCAGCTGTGTAAGGAAAACCCGGAAAATTCATTAGGTAGCCCATAAAAAACACTTTCCTCCTTCGATTTAATATTTGTTTATTTCATTTTCGACAAAAACACAAGTAATACTATAATCCTTTGTTGTATGCATGTATAATGGGTATTTTGGCTGAATGTTTTTCTAAAATTCCATCAGCCCAGAAAACAATAGGGCATAAGATAAGCGACGCAGGCACAGAAAATACATACACACAATAAGGCGAAACTTTGGCATTGAACAAATCATAAAGCAAATTATAATAATAGTTGCATTTAAACAAGCTTAGTATCTAAATCCGCGGTTTGTGCTCGAAACGGTCAAATTTCCGCTGGTGGTGGCCGCTCCCAAAGGATTCATGGCGGTGCAGGCGTAGTTGCCGTTGTCGTCTGCCGGATTCCGAACCATTCCAAAGGATGCCGAGAATTCCAGGAGGAAACGAGGAAGAGAGAAGGTAGAACGATTAATGAGCTGCCCCGATTTGATGATACACAGTGCGAAATTGGGTGTACTAGTAAGGCCTAGATTATCTTGATTAAAGCTTCATTTTAGATTATCTACTGATTTGTATATTTATATTAATTTTCATGGTAAATATATACCATATCTATTTGAAAACTAATTCAACATTCAATTTATTTTAAAATTTTAAGGTATAAAGAATTTTTGAAAGCTTTTTTTTGATAAACTGTTTTTTAAAGAATAAACCTCTTTAATACGAGTCTAAAGTTTCTTGTAATTGTAATATATCCTAATAAATCATATCATATCACGATAAGATAAGTATATATTTCAAAGTCCAATAAAATACAATCCAATTACAATTTTAATGTTTAGGATAGTGATTTATATTAGATATGTTTGAAGAAAGCAAGGATTAGATAAAGAATACTTCTAAAAAATCGGTAAAAGTGATAAGTAAGAAGTGCTTATTTTCGAAAACACAAAGTAAATCCATTTTTATTTCTAGATTTTTTTAATAATAAAAAAGTTCTCCAATACAGCCCCCAATTTCGCACTGTGCAGATACTCGGTCGACCTGCCTGTCCGCAGTACTTACCCGGATAGGCCTGCGGCAGAGTCAGCCGGCACACGCCGTTCCGGTACTCGATGCAATGCCGGCTGCCCGGCTCCAAGTGACCGCCGTTGTGCGTCCAGTTGACCTGCGGCTGCGGATGCGCCTGCACAATGCACTCGAAGCGCGCCGTTCCGCCCACTCCGACTGCGATGTCTTTCAGCGGCTGTCCGAGGTGGAGATGGTGATGGAGATGGATCGGATCGGGGAGAGAATTACGGGTTTCAGTACTCGGGGTCGGACACGTGGTTCTTGGGTTAATGACTCGGGCTTACCGTTATGAATAATGGCTGCCTTTGTGCCAGCTCATCGCGACTCAGATGCGCATTGACGGGTTCCGTATTGGGCAGTTCCGGCACTGGAGTGGTGTGGGTAAAACCATTAGAATCTCTGGCTCAGCGTTTTCAAAGCGCATCCATTAGTGGGATTAGCACGCGGCAGGCACGGAACACAAACACTTAGAAGTACGTTTCACTTTAGGGTTTAAACACGAAGAACGCAAACAACAAACTGGTCATGCAAAAACAAGGCAGCGAGCTGGATTTTTCGGTTAGCATGCTTTTCGACTTTTGGGGTTATAACAACAAAAGGTCCTGCTTGTTTACACACTAAATAGTACTGGCGATGACGATTTTTGGGGTTAATCACAAGGGCGAAAGACCACGAATGCCGCATATTGGCTCAAAAGACAAAAACTTTCAACATCCATTTGGAACGTCTTTTTCAGACTTTATTCACTTGTACCTTTTAACTCTTTCTTTAATATTGGATATAAATTGGTATAACCTTTTCGGTCAATTTATAGGCAAGATATAAGCCCAATAAAAAGTATCAAAAGGTTAGTGAAAGCAATATACAAATTCTCTCGGGATTTGATACTAATTGAGATTGTAGTTCAAGTTTTTTTCATGTGGTAAATTTCCAGTTTATATCTTTTGTGTTTTTTTGTTTTAATATACCAAGCGACAACCGTGATCACAACATAAACTTGTCCTAGACTAATTGACAACATCGATAGCGATTGTGATAGCGTAAGCCTGATTGATGGCTCTCATCTGGTGACAGCCTTCTGGACTTTGAGTGCTTCAATACCTGTGCGGATCATCTGATCCGGAGGCAGTCGAGGTGCCTGGGCATGGAGGCGATCCAGGTGGATATCGAGGTTGTGGCAACTGGGCAGGCTATAGCGCTTCTGGCTGTTGACTGCAGTTCGAGGGGCCATCGGCCTGGAAGTCGAATAGTTCCTGGCCTGACTCCTCCGCTGCACCTCGTTGTCGGAACTGTATCCTTGAGCGGATCTCTCGTGCTGCACGGGAATTACCAGCTCATTTCCGGGCGGAAGTTTCAGTGGATACGGAGAGTGACGTCCGTTTGGGATTGGCTGGGCATTTTGGCTGTTGCCACTGCTGTTCCACTGGCTACTGACGAATTTGTGACCCTCGCCGGGAAACAGGATGCCAAACTCATAGCCGAAGTCGTATTTGAAATATATTAAACCGGTATTGGGGTCGACGCATTTGGTTCCTGATTACAGTTTACAGACAAACATATACGATAAGGGTTTTTCTTGATGGGTTTGATTGTGGATTATTAGCGTTTCGATATAAAAGATAACTTTAATTAACCCTGAGCTTATGAAGGCATTTTTGTGTATGTCAAATAAAAAGGTAACGACTTCTGGATGATAACGAACTGATCACAGATGAGAAACTTATAACTAAACATAAAAAATAAGGGTCTCGATTATATATAACTCATTAGATTAAACAAATTATACAAATAATAATTTTTGAATGGGTAAAGATTAGTACAGATCGTATTTGAACAATGAAAATAAAAGGTAGTTTAAATAATAATAATAAAGGATTAGTGTTGTATAAAATAACGAACTTTTTAATAAGATATTTTCAAATTAATTTATAATTCAACCTGATAAGGGTGATCTCAAGATGATAACGGATTAGTACTGGGTATGTCCGGTATGACAAACGAATGCAAATTTCTCAAACCAATTCAACCGAATTCTCAATTTTCAAATTTAAAATCTCAAAATACCAATTCAAATGAGGGGAGCTGGCTCCAAATCTCTACTGCGGGCTTAGTGCGAGGATTGGATGGATTGGACTTACCATATTGGGAGACGCGCGATTCATCCCGGAAGGCCTGAGGTTGCTGGCTGCTGCCCTCGCTGGGAGCCCTCTTGAAACCCGGTCGGATGCCTATTCCATTCGATGCCGAGCTCCTTACATCCCTGCTTACTTCATCGACGAACTGATGGGACTTCTGGAGGAAGGTGGAGCCCATTCGTCGGCCCTGATTCTCGGCCTGCTGCTGGAGGGAACTGTAACCATATCGGGGCAGAGTTCCGGCCCTATCAATCTGATCCATGGACTGCTGCTGCTGTTGCTGTTGCTGTTGCTGCTGTTGCCTCATGGTGGAGTTCCTGTTCAGGGATTGAGTGCGATGCTGGGTGGTCACTGTACTTCCTCCGCGCTGCTCCTTCTTCAGGGTATTGATATCCACGTGGATTTTGCTGGGCATCTCGGGACCCCGATCGAATTCCATGGGTGATAGGACCCTCTCGTAGGTTCTTGGCAGGCTACAGGATCGACTGCCTCCTTGGGGCGGGGCCACTCGCCTGAAGCCCTTGGTCAAACCATCGCCATAGGGTGACCACAGAGGTTGGATGCGTGCTCCCTCAATCTCACTCTCGTAATCACTCTCCCGGAATTCCCCAGGCACAAACTTAGTGGGCGTGGCTGGAGGTGGCAGATGGGACTGCCTCGAGGGAGTACGACTTGTGGCGGGACTGTAGGGGAAGTGTTCCTGCACGATCTGCTGATCCCTCTGCTCCTGCGGACTATCAAAGTGGATTATCCTCTTGGTCTGCTGCATGTTCACCACACGCTGCGAACTCTCCGTGGACTCGTGCATCTGCATCACGTTCTTGGTCTCGGTGGCCACCTTGGCCAGGTGCATCGGAGCTCCAGCAACAGCATTGTAGTACATGGTCGGACGGGCGGTGGCCTGTGGTTGCTGCTGCTGTTGGGTTGCCGCTATGAACTTGGCCGCTACTGGTTTGGGCTTGAAAACAGGCTGACTTTGATGCTGGTTCTGCGTGAACTTGGACTGCTTGGAGCTGCTCTCCGTCTTGATCTCATGGCGTATCTCCTTGCCAATCGGTTCGAACTTGGGCCTGGCATACTCCTGGGGAGAAGGCTCAAATTCCATGGGCGAGGGAGTAATCACCACCACCGGGGACTTGTGGCCATTGGTGGCTAGGTTTGTGCGCGGAGTGGGTGTAGGTGGGAAGACCACTCGATAGCCCTTGATCTCGGCATCGGATTCATTAGCCCGAGACACGGAACGGAAGCGTTCGTCAATCTCACTGCTGTAGTCACTAAACTCCGCCGCCGGGGTCTTCCTTTGGGCAGGAATGGGACTGGGATAGGTTACCACCTGGGGTGGTGGTGCTACTGCCGTCGAGGAGAACTTGGTTTCCTTATGGGAGGAGCTGCTGCTGCTCTGCATGTTGTGGGAGTAGTTACTGGTCATACTCGAAGAGGTGTACTTGTAGTCCTAAAGAGATAATGCATAGTGTTATTAAAGTGTTACTTTGAATAAGGAAGACACAAAGGATAATGTGAGTTAACGAACGGGTTTAGATAACAGGCAAATCAGTTAGGGTTATAGGGTAGGGTAAATGAAGCATCAATCAAATGAACGAACAGGAGATCTTGTCACTTTAAGGTTTTAAGAGCGAATGCTAAATGTTTATGATAATCAAGGAGCTTAGTGATTAATTGGTGAGTTTCTCTTGGGGCTTGGGTGTTAGCCAGTTAGCTAGTACGAACAACAACGACACAGATGCTATTTGCTGGTGTAAGGGGGAGCCCCCAGTGCTAGCAACAACGACAATGAACGACAACACAGATAGACACACAGAGAGAAAGATCTAATGCGAACCTTCGCCTCCTGGCTGCTAAAATTCGATTGAGATGGTGGCACCACCTGGGGTTGCACCTGTGGTTGTGGCTTCGGGGTAAAGTAAATAGGTGCCGGTGGTTCGGGCTGCAACTTGGGCAATGCATTTCCCAACGAGGATGATGACTTGGTTTCGTAATAACTTGACTCCGACTTGCGATAGCTCGAATGCTCCTCTGTATCAGCCGTATATCCACTGGACTTAAAGGAAGTCTCCATGGAGGTCTGTTGGGGTTGAATGCGGTTTCCGGGCTCCACATCCGATTCACTGCCACTGTACTTGTACCGATCACTCTCGTAATCGCTTTCGTAGACTCCCAATCGGGTGGGTATAACAGGAGGCGGTGGTCTAAAGGTGGAACCACCCAAGGGCTTGGGCTGAGCCGATGGTACAGTGGCTGGAGTCAGGGTGGGCACCGAGTGGGGCAGGACTTTACTGGGTCCCTGGATCAGGTTCTGTTCCAACTTCTGTTCCATGCTCTCCACCAAGGAACGACGACGTGTCTCCTCCACCTTGGGAGCAAAGCAAATCTCTGGTGGTGTCCCTGGTTCCAGTTCCACATTCACAAGGTGAGTTGCTGGAGCTGTTGTAGCGGGTATGCTCTTCACTATCTGATTCACCAGGAAGGGTGCATTTAGCTCTTTCGTTGGCGTTGGTGTGGCCAGCTTGGAGATCACTGTTTTCTCTGACTTCTGCTCTACATCGCTGGTGTAACCAGTCACCCCAGTGGGTGTCCATAGCCTCGACATGGCCACTCCTTCGGCAGAGGGTTTGGGTGAGGGTGAGCGAGGATTCTGCTGGGCAGGCGTGGCCAGCACTGCTGCAGGTCGCACAATTGGTTGTCCATACTCCACCTTCACCTCCTTGGTCGTTGTGGTTTCGTGCTGCACCGTCTGGAGGCCCAGAGGTGGCGGGAAGACTGGTACACCACCCTGTGGTGGAGGCTCCTTGGGTTGCACCTCCGAAAGTATCTTGATCTTCTCGGTGATTAGTGGCACCTTTGGTTCGATCCTTTCGATTTTCGGCGAGTAACAGAACTCCGGGGCATCTCCTGGTATCAGGTTGAGAGTCCTTAGTTCCTCCGCCAGGGATTGCGCCTGCGGTTGTCTCACCACCGTCTCCAGGGGCTTGAAAGTCAGTGGGTTTGGACGCTGGATGACGGTCTCCTCATCGATCTTCTTGAAGTAGTCAAACGAGGATGAGGTGGTGCTCGACTTGTGCTCGCTCTGCTCGTATCTGGTGCTCGTCAGCGTCTGCGGTGGTTGCTGCTGTTGGCCAAAGGTGGTGGCCACCACTGGTGTACAGGGTTTGGGTGGCACTGGTGGTGGGGCTTTGGTGGTGTTGACGGTGGGCTGTATCTGATCTGGCTGATCCATGCTGGCAGTGGCAGTGTTCGAGGTGATGGTGATAGTATCGTTTGTGGTTGGTGTCTTGGGTCGCGAGGTCAGCTCCGGCAGATCCAGATAGTTCGATTTGTGCTCTAGACGCATGGTTGCCTCGGTGGTGCAACGATGCTCAGTGATCACTTTCGACTCGGACAAACCGTGGAGATCATTGGCACTGGTCACATCGGTCTGACTGCTCTGGAACGACTGTTGGTTTTCGCCGTTCTGACTTTGATTCTGATTCTAAATCGTTTTCAGTGTATTTTTGTGGGATGATGGAGTAGGTGGTGTGGTAAACCCGTGGAATGAGCAAAGCGAAACGAAAGAACGAACGACGTTGATATCATGAGAGGAGAAAATTCACAAAAGTTTGGTTTATTATATTGATCGATATTAAAGTATAAGTTAACAGAGTCGAAAAAGAAGAGATAGAATAGATCAGAGTAGATTGAAAGAGTTGTATAGGTGAATCGTGGAGGATAATGCATAGTAGTCGGTGGTTAGATATTGAGCACATGCACACTTACTTCGGTTTTGAAATCGCTGGATGGGACCACAGGGGCCACGGGACCCGTCTCATAGACAATGGTCTTGACCACCTCCTGCATGCGTTCCGGTGAGGGTTCCAAGATGGCACAGTCGGCTATGCTCTTGGCCTCGCCTCCTGCATTTGTGGCACGCACCATGTACTTTCCGGAATCCGAAGTTTGCGCTAAAGAAAGGATAATTAATAATTTACAGAATGTAAAATAAATTACATATACTATTAAATGTGTTTTTATTTGTTTATGAAAGGCTAACAAATAGTTTCAATCGTCAGTTAGTTAGGATGTTGATATATGGCGATATTAAATTTATTTTTATATATTCTTTTATAATGTGCACGACTGCACTGCACAGATTTGCGCGTTGAAAGTAAAACAAGCAATTAAATCTTATATAAACATTTTTTAGGACCCAAAGACTTTGCATGAGATGTTTGCAAAAACATTTTAGTGGTGATGTTCGATAAAATAAACATTGCAAAAATGTGGGTTGAATAAACAAATTGCTTGTTTTGCCATTTGGTTGTCATTTTCTTTCTACTTTGCCAATCTCGAATGAAAATTCGAAAGTAAAATTTCTAAATACCCAACATATGTGTATTCTAAATCGGAAGTTTAATATACAGAAGTTCATATTTACCCTTTTCGATTATAAGCCTGTAAGAGTTTCCTTGGGCCAGCAGGCGATGTTCAGAGATCCCAGCGTCCTTTAAGGGTTTATCGTCCTTCAGCCAGGTGACCGTGGGTTCGGGCAGCCCGGTGACCTCCACCTCCATGGTCAGCTTCTCGCCCTTCTTGCTGACCTGAGCCTGCAGTCGTCGGCCAAACACAGGCGGGAATATGGTCTCTATGTATTTCAAAGAAAAGAATACCAAACAATAAGCATTAACATATGTATGCCTTTGTGTGTCATTGCAACAGATTTCTTGCTAAATAATTTACTTGAACAGCCGTCCCAATAATCGGCCATAATGAATAATTCGTTTAGACAGCCGACAGGCAGTAAAAATAATCTGAAACACACATTGCAGGCAGCAGCGACAAATCTGCAAACGGCCCGAGTAAATAAACGATCTCGGTCTTCAACGCGATTTACATAATAATAATTGCAGACATTATCCCACAGCCCCAGCCCCAATCCACAGCCATATCCACATCCCGTTGAACAACCACCCCCACGGCTGCCAGTGAATATTTATAAATTTTTGTAAGAAAATCTTTTGCATTGGCCAAGAGATTCTCCCTCACCCGGGCACATCAGCCAACAGAAAAGATTGAAATATAAACAAGAACAATATAGCCGAGAATCTTCATCATCATCCTCCAACAACCCCGTCGACGACCACTAAAAACTCATCAATATTCTGGGGAGCGTTCACGGCATTGACGTTTGAAGATCTATTGGCGCTCCGGTCCCCTCTACCCTCGACAATGACACTTTAATGCTCTCCGCTGATTGATGTGGACAGAACAAACGCCAACATATGATATAGGGTCTAAAGGCAGGGGAACATGGGTATGTGGTTTTTTAGATTTGTGAACACTTTTTGCCAGGTTATTTAGTTCATTTAATTCTGGGAAATCGATTTCCTAAACAAAATAGTTTGGGGTGGTCGTAATTGGATAGCTTAAATTAGGTCGCAGACAGCCTAATTTTGGGCGCCATTAAATAATTAACATTTAACATTTCCGTTTTTGCTAGATTGTATTTATGTCTTAAGAAAATGTGTTTGAAATAAATGGGTCAAGGTTTTTAAAGTTATAAAACTATTTTGAGTTCGCCAACAAAATATTTCTCATTACCAGTAAGATATAAAATTTAATGAACTGGAGATATTTTTAAAATTCCTACTTCAAACTTGAATTTAAGCCATTGGAAACCTACCATATTATATTTATGATCCCCTTATGAATAAAATATCGAATACTCACTTTTAACAACCAAATCCGCTGTGCTGGTGGACTGACCCACTGTATTGGAGGCAGTCACCGCATATCGTCCCGCATCGGCCACGCCCACCTGTTTGAGTTCGATGGTCACGCGATTGCACTTGTTGGAGATCTTGGTGTGGGCATCCTCGAACAGTTGACCTCCGTTCTTCTCCACCTTGATCTCGGGCGAGGGAAAGCCATCGTAAATGGCCTCCATGCTGACATCGGCACCCTGGTCCACAATCTTTCCGCTGAGGGGAGTGGTGAACCTCGGAGCGATTTCCCTCCTGAGGCGCGTGGGTGAGTCTGGTATGGCCACGGTGGATTGTCCATTGGGTGCACTGGATTGGATAAAGCTGAAGGACTTCTGCTGCACACTGGGACTGCTCATCTCCTTGCTCTTGTGCAGCTCTTCGTAGTGGTGACTCTCCACGATCTCGGGTCTTTGCTGGCCAAGTTGCTTGAGGGATTGGTCAATGTGGGCGGAGGAGTGATGCACCTCGGTTTGCGGGGTATTTCCCTCATAGGAATTAACCTGCGAAGTGGAGGTGGTGGTAAAGGTTTGCTTTTTGATCGTCACCCTCGAAGATTCAGTATTGTGCTCCTGGCTCACTGTTTGAACATCACTAGAGGCGGGCAGACCACTTCCCAAGATATTCAAGAAGGCCACACAGGTGGCCTTTCCTGCCTCATTCTCCGCCACACAACTGATCTTGCCCACGGCATCGTGGGTTAACTTTTGGATGGTTAACACCTGACGTTCTCCACTTGTAGAGACCAGGAAATTGTGACCATGAACGGGTTGGTCGTTGAAGAACCAGTGGACCTTTGGTGTGGGCTTGCCCTTGACAATGCACTCGAACTTGATCACCTCATCGATTTCACCTTGTTTGTCGCTAAATAGTTCCTTAAATTCGGGACACTGATGACGGTCTAAGATTTCCACTGAGGATTGACTACTCCTACGATTCTCGGGAGCATTCACGGATTTCACTATGAGATGCGAAAAGCACTTGGCGTCTCCCGCTGGATTGGTGACCTTCACAGTATAAACGCCCTTGTCATCGCAACTCACATTGTTCAGGATGAGTTTGAAGAGGCCTAGTTCCGAGTCGGATTGGGTGGTGATCCTTTGGTCTAACTGAAGTTCCTTGTTGGTCAGGAACCACTGGGCAGTCAGGGGTTGGTCACCACTGGCCTGGACTTCTAGGACTACTTGCTCACCCTCGTCAGCCAAAACATCAGAGAGAAGTCTTTCGAACTTGGGCAGAGCATCCTTGGGCAGGGATTGCCTCTCCGCCTGAGCCCGAGTTGCAGGTTCCGCCTGATTCAAAGGAGTGACCTTGAGTTCACAACTACTGGATGCTTCTCCCGCCGAATTGATGGCCACCACTTTGTAGTGACCTGCGTCTTCTTGGTAGACCTCTTGGATAATCAGGGAACACCTATCACCTTGGAAAAGCAACTGAACATCGGCGGACTCCTTAACAGGTCGCTCGTTGTGATACCAGATGACCTCGGGCTCCGGCTGACCCACAATAACGCAGTCCAGCCTCACGGGCTTGCCCTCGAAAATGGAGACATCCTTGAGGGGCAGGTGGACGGCTGGCTTGATGGGCTCTATGTCGCTGGCCATCTCGGAATCGGAGGTCTCGTTGGGCAGGCGACCCTTCACTATCACGTTGCAACTGGTATAGGCCTCGCCAGCTAGGTTCTTGGCGCTCAGGACGTAGGATCCGGCGTCGTTGGGATAAGCCTGCGGGATTATCAGCGTTACGCGGCCGTATTCGTACTGAAAGTGCAGAGAGAAAATCACGAAAAGTCTAGTCAGTTTGGGTTTCGGAATTCACCACACCCCGAAAAACGATGGTGGATTTTGAATGCTTTCGGCTCGATCTAGTTTTGTGTGCTCTCTTTTTTTGCAATTAAATTTTCCTTCTTTTTTACACCGATTTAAATCTTATTTACGAGTGTGAGTGTCTATGTCTGCGGATGAGGCACATCCGGCGGTCTGGAGGGGCAAACCAAAAACACTTTGTTTATTTTCGCACAACAAATGATCTTTGTTTTGCCCCAAATTGCAGGAAGCACCCGAGTTCAGGTGTTCAACGCTTCAATGGAGAACAATCAGAGATATTTCTCCTCTAATTGAAATGGTTTAATTCATCAAATAAAAGTGAGATCATGTTGTATCAAACAAGCGACGACAGGGCAATTAAAAGTGCGGCCAATGAAATCATTTCTTAATTTTTTCATATTTTCTCCTGATTTCTTTTTTTGCCAAATGAAAATGAAAATCTGCAAATATATATAGGCAGATTTGTGTACACAATGTTGGCGCCCACAATAAACAAATTGCCTGGCCTGACTGTGGTGAATTGGATTCGCTATGGTCGCATGGCTCGTTGCACGGAGGAGCTGCCAAAAAATGCAGCTATTAGATATTATATGGCATATAGCCGTCTGCCCAACTTATGCATCGCACTATCTGTCCGCGAAGTGCGTTGGCGTGTTTTCAAAACGATCGCCTTGAATTCTGTTTGACCAACGATCATATTTTTTCGGGAAAGAGGGGAAATGCGTGACTGACGTCAGTCAAATGATTTCTTCCGAATTATGGAACTACGAGATTGCTGAGTCTGAACCGCACAAGCAACGCCCACCGCAAAAAATGTATAATTCTCTCTGGTTTTTCCAGCCAAAGATCTTCATGGGGTATATACAAAGTTGCTGTGTATATGGAAATGGTCAATCGCCAGACAGTTGGGGGAATTATACTGGGTGGTATTTGTTTACCCTTCGCATGGGGAGAAAGTCGACGGAAATCTTTGGGGGTTTCCTTTCAAAAACCAAATTAAATTAACATATTTATGCTGATTTTTCTACTACATAGAGATTTTTTCAATAGTTTTAAAGTGGAAACACAAAAAGCATGTTTTGCCAAATATTTGAACATTTTTTGTTTAATGGTTGAAACATTTTAGACGTTTGGCTAATTGCTTGCAAATTCTTAAACAACGATATGTCAACACTTTGTCTTTTCTTTATAATTTACGCATCCCAAAAGGAGACAAAATATTGACCAAAAAGATGAAGAGTCAAATCATTCGCAGAAAATTTTATAAATAAATTTCTTGAATTACGATCGATTGTCAAATATATGCACTGAAAGTTATTTCCAGTATAAATTATATTTTAAGATATTATTCCCCTTCTAATTAAACAGACGTCGAACTCACCTTGGAATCGCGGGGCTGGAAGGGTTTGCCGTTGTGCAGCCAATAGACTTCTGGCCTAGGAATTCCACTCACAATGGCCTCCAGTTTGATCTTCTGACCCACTCGAGCCATGGCATTCGAGAGGGGAACCTTGAAGCTGGGCAATTCAGTCGGTTCCAAAGCTGAAATGAGAGAACCAATAAATAATATATATATTCTATTATTCACTAAGTTTAGGTACATCTTTCAAACAGACTACATCCATTAAAAATTGGAAAAATTAAAAATGTATTTATAAAATGCGATCCACTTACGTTCCACAATGAGAGAAGCGGAACAGTGTTCAATTCCCGCGGGATTCGAGGCGCTGCAAGTGTAAACCGCATCATCCTCCAAGAAGACCTCCTCGAACTTCAAAGTAGCTTCGCCATTATTGTAGCTGATTACATAATCCGGCGAATCATCGATGCACTTGTCGTTCTTGAACCACTGAACCGTGGGCAAAGGAACTCCAGCCACCACACAAGCGAACTGGAAGGAACTGCCCTCGGTGGCCTTGCCGCTCTCCAGGAACCTTAGGATCCTGGGTGGTACCAACTGAACTTCGGCGGCATTTTCCCGGACGGCTAAAGTGGCATTGGTATCGCAAGTTCCCACCAGATTCGAGGCACGGCAACTGAAACGGGCTGAGTCGGCGGCAAAGGTTTCCTCGATCACCAGCCTGCAGATTCCCTTGTCGAAGGTGGTTTTATAATCGGAGTTATTCTGGATACTAATGCCATCCTTGAACCACTCGACAGAGGGCTCTGGAGTACCCGTGACCTCGCATTCGAGGACCAATCGATCTCCTTCGCGAGCAACTGCATCTTTCAGAGGACGAATAAAAAGCGGTGAGGCGTAGCGCAGTTCCGTGAAAATGGAGTTCACCTGGATGTCCTTGCGGATGTTTTCGGTCACCAGCCGCTGTTGGTCAACCTGATCGCGAAGGGTCTGGAGCCTGTTGATTTCCTCCCGCTGGATGCGGGCCTCCTCTTCTCGCTTCGAACGGGACTCGTTTTCCCTGCGGAATCGTTCCTCCTCCTCCCTGCGGATGCGGATCTCCTCATCCCTCTTGCTCTGCAGACGCACTTCTTCTTCCCGGCGGGCAATCTCCCTGAGGGATTGGATCCGCAACTCCTCCTCCCTGGCAGCCTGTTCCCTGGCCAGTTGCTCTCGCGTGGCCTGCTCCCGAATGGCCTGCAATCTGGACTCCTCTTCCCGGACAGCCTGCTCCCTTAGAGCCAACTCCCTGGCCGCCAGTTCCCTTTGAGCCTGCTCGATGGCCGCCTGCTGGCGCTGGTTTTCCAGGCGGGACTGCTCCTCCCTGAACAACCTCTCCTTGGCCTCCGCCTCCCGCAGAGCCTTCTCCCTTTCAGCCTGCTCCCGGGCCTCCCGTTCCCTCTGCTCCTTCTGGCGCTGCTCCTGCTTCAGCCGCTCCTGCACCACATTGATGTCCATCTTCAGCTTGATGAAGGACTGGAAGATGTTCATCACATCGTTGTACAGGGACGAGACCTTGTTCATGTCGTGGGCACATTGCGAGGCACTATCCAACTTGGAACGCAAGGCAGCCTCCCTGCTGGTCACATAGTTCTCGATGTCATTCACCAAGTTGCCGGCCTCCACGGAATCTCGGAGGTAGGGAACCTTGTTGGAGACGCTGGTGTAGAAGTAGCTAATCTCACGGTACTCCGCGTCGATCTGGGGAATGTTAATGGGTTATTAATATTTAAGGAACATTTTTGGATTCTTAGAGTTATATATAGACTTTTTAAAACGTTCATAATAGGCACGGATTATTAAAATACAGTAAATGAAAAAATCAGTGAAAACATTTTTATGCAAAAGATTTAGTTCTATTAAGGAATATTAATAAAAGAAAAAATCAGTAACCAAATTTTTAGTGCTGAAGATGTACTGCTTTTATTAGAAAATACTTTTAAAACCGACAACATTTTAGGAATAAATTATAAACAGTTTTTATGTCTTGAACTTGTAACACAGAAAATGTAAATATTACTCAACAAAATCGTAAAAGTCTCTTACTTACAGTCCCTGTTAAAACATAATTCATGGGACTTTAATTACCCACCTTTTCGACCACCTCGAAGAACTCGGTTGCCTGGTTGAGGCTCTTTCGTTTCTGCTTCACTTGATCCTTGAAGCCCTGCCACTTGTCGTTGAGTTTGCGCAGTTCGTCCTTGACGTACCGCTCGCTCTCGGGATTGCTTATCAAAAGCTGTTGGCTCGTGGACTCCGTAAACTTCTCGATCCGCTTCTCGAGCAGCTATACGATGTGGGTGGAACGGAAAAGAGACGTGGTAATCTTTAGAGACAGCCAACAAATATACATATATCGCCAGCAAATTAACCCATTAGGCAGCAACTAAAACGCAGTGTGTCTAGGCAGAATGCAGTCAAGCGGGAATATATTCTTTTACACAGACGAAAAATTGTAGAGGCTTTCTGAATAATAAATAAGGTTCTTATGACTTGCAAAATATGAATGAAAATTGGTATGACTAATTTATATCTTTAATTAATGAGCATACTATCAATGTAATAAAAAACTATAATATGGACAACTGATTAAAAACGATCTTATATTTTTTCTCCGTGCATATCCATCTCCACCCGCTTTTTGGCTTAGCTGGTCATAAAAATCGGAACGCCAGAAGCAATTTATAACAGCAAATGCCCAACAGCAAATAGAAGTGCATTAAAAAGCGGTCTGAATGTGTTTCTGTTTCGGTTTGCTGTATCCGTATCTCTGAGTAGTATTTCATGTATTCGGCCCAGAGTTTTTAATTACAAACTAACGACAGCTGCCGCTGTCTGTCTAAATCGCCCATCGTCCGCCGTTGACAGCGACAACATTTTGAAAGTTGCGATATTTTCGAAATGTCATCCCGGCAGTGCGTCGTTTCGTTTCCCATTTGGAAATTTGATGAATGTTCTGGGGCTGCCAGTTGGATGTAGTGTTTGGATGTGACCACCCAAAAGGGTAAGCGGGAAGTGATGCAAAAATATAAAGACCATGCAGGGATCGATCCGGTCTCTATCTATATATCTACTTTATGGATGTGGTCTATGGTCTATATATCCATGACTGTGGCTACCTCGATCGTGTGGGCTGTTTGGCCCCAGCGTCGCTGATGGCGCGTTGATTTCAATTGCCTGGGCATTGAACACTAGAATGGGATTAGATCATTCAATAATTTTAAACCCATCAAAAGTCAACGCGAAATCTATCAGGAGAAATCTGTTCTGAGTCGTGTGGTGTCATCATTAAAGAAAATATGTAAATTTGCTCTCGAATAAATTTGTTTGCATATGGAAAATAAATTTTTAGTTTACGAGTTGTACCAGATTGTATCGATGTATAAAAAAATATAATGTTTAATATAACTATGACCTAAAATCATATATTTCCAAAAGGCATGAAGTAACTATGTAGCTCGGGTCCTGGGATATAAACACTCTATTATATCTCTATCTCAGTTGTATTTTTATTAGTTTACTCTAAAGTTCCTAACTGCTTAGCAATTCTCTTTTAGCTCATCCTCCTTTTATGTATAGAACTTCTAAAGATCTGCTTTAGATTCCAGTCACTGTCAATCGACAATCCACAGATTCCCTGCATTGCATCGCTTCGTAGCCAAATGTTTACCAAATTTAAATAAATAGTGCCGTGGATCGCCCGATGCGAGCGGTCCTAACCCACCTCAATAGACCAATCGTCGGGAGTTCACTCACCTCTATGGTCCGTTCAAAGTACTCGAACGCCAGCGACGTGGTCTTGGCCGCCGCCAGACTGTCGACGCTCTGGTTGTTGATCTCGTGCAGCTGCTGGCTCACGCTGTCCAGGCTGCGATCGATGTCCTCCAGGTCGGAGCGGAACTGCTCGATCTTCTCCAGGCGCTCCAGCGACGACATGCGGGCACTGCTGTTTGACTCGAAGTGCAGGCGCAGGTTCTCGAGCAGCTTCAGAATGCGATCGGTGTCGATTTCGCGGGCTCCCGGCGGTTCCAGTACTCGCACCCGATCGATCAGCAGTTCGGATTGTGTGATTAGCGATCTAAATTTATCCATGCACTGATCGCGGAATTTCTCGTGCTCCGCGATGCTGCGATCTGCGCCGGAAGCGGGTTCCTTCTGCTGCCTGGCGAAGTAGTCGTCGATCTCGCGGCGCAACTGCACTATGTTCTCCAGAAACTGCACCACACTCTCGACCAGAGTGCGGTAGTCGTACTTGATGCCATCCAGCTTGGCCTTCAGCATGCGCAGGTTGTTGATCACCTGCTCGATCTTGGCCAGCGACGGCTGATCCTTCGTCTGGATGCTGAGGGTCGTCTGGATGCGCTGCTGGATCTCATCCTGGGCCCTCTCGATGTCCTGGGTCACGTGGGTCAGCTTCTCGCGGGTGCTGATCAGCAGCTGCTTGGAGTCCACGCTCTGGGAGGTGAATACGGGATATAACTGGGTGTCCACCTGGGTGCTCTTGGCCACGGTCTAGAAAGGGCATCGAAATAAACTAGGATTATTGGAGGTTCAAGTACTATCTTTAAAGTTCTATCTTTCTGTTTAGCAGTATCCTTATTTAAAATAAGGAAATGGGTCTATATTTACAAATATCCAAGTACTTCTTATAGAGCTATAACACTCTACTAATTAATTGAAAACTCCTTTGATCTAAAGTCTTTAAAGCTGGGACAATCCATAAATCTAAAATCTCTCAAAATCTAATTGGCATATGTCTGTACTTGAAATTCGCTCAAAATGCATTTCAAACAAACCTCTTCAAGGAAATGCGAAAATCTAAATATATTTGTATTTTACTCTATAAGATCCCGACCAGACGCAATTAAATTCAGAGATCCCGATGCCCGCACTCACCTCCTCGTTGTCGCTCATGACTTTCTCGAGTAGGTATTCGACTTCTCGCTTCTCCGCAATGCTCGTTGTCCAATTCTCCAAACTGCTCGTCACGTCGACCTGCCGCTTACTGAAGTCGTTCAGCGTCTCTTGCACCGCCTGTGCCGAGGATTTGGTCTCGAGATATGGATCCACAATCTGCGCAGCGCGCCGTTAAAAATAGCATGGAAAATAGATGATTTTTATTTTTATTTCCATTTGATTTTGGTCGTCTTTTGCTGTATTTTAGTTCGGTTTTTTCTGCTGTGTCGCGCGAGCAAGGAAGGGAATTATTTTCCGAGAAAAGGCGGCGCGTGGCACGCTTCTGTGACTGACTGTGGCCAGGGTCTGCTGCCTTCTGCCACTTCTATTCGAGTCCAGGCCAGGCAGATCCGACCGACCCGACCAGCCAGCCACATACAACCTATCTATAGCCCGGCAGCGCAAATTGCTTTCTTTATTTATGGACTCAACTCGAGTCGACTCGAGTCGAGCCAACAACTCTCGACGCACAAAACTCGCAGCAGAATCTCCGCGAAGAGCAAAATTTCTAATTTCAAAAATTTCTTTTGCGCCTGTTTGGCCGCATCTTCCCGGTTTTATGTTCACGTATGGGGCGAAATGACGTTGTCGTTTTGAGTACATGTTTATGGCTAACCAAATCATATTGTTTATAATTTATAGGCCCTGAGCGGGCTGGCGAAAAATAAAAGGAGTGCTGGGAGTTGAAAACTGGAATACACTTGCGATTTTAAATCGCAATTTTAAAAGAAAGTCTTGATAAAGTCTTTGAGCTATCGGAAAGTGGTCTTTAAATCACTTATAAGTGTGTCCAAAAGTATGCAATGGAAAAATGAAAGTAGTATCCATAAAGAATCCATCGCGGTATATTGTTGCATACTTTTCGGTATAGTTTTCAATTGTTTTCAAAGCTCTAGTAATTTCTCTAGCATTTTCTTATTTTGCAGTTGAATAAGTTATACAGAATATAATTAGGAAAGTCACTAGTAATAAGACACCTTTAAAATTAATTTCTCAACTCATTAAAGGCATTTCTCATACTGTAGATGACTTAGATATCCCAGTTCTCCAACACCCACCCTTAGCCAGAATGCCCTATCCGGCCAAACTTTTTCGCGATTGCTTGTGCGGCGTCAGCAAAATGCTTCTGGGAGCTGATGGACAGCGTGCAAATGCGCCAGCTGTCAGCAGTTAGTTGTTCCAAAAGCAAAGTTTGCGAGCATAGATGAAGCATAAACATGGTGCAGCATGCATAACCAAACAGTGCCGCCCTGACATTAGAGAATTCCTCAAAACTTAGATTAAATAACTTATGTATGGAACTAGCTAGCGGGAAGTATGGTGGTACAAGTAGTTCGCTCCCCCGATACAGACTTTCAAGTTGATGAATCGCTGTCCTCGGGACTTCAGTTCGCCGAAGGTGGCCGCAATGCCCGTCCAAGTGGCCTGGAGGAATTGCAGCTTGTGCTCGTCGGGAGTTTGTTGCAGTTGGCGCTGCATGTTGTCCAGCTGGCTGGAAAACTCGTTGGCCAGCTCAAAGAAGTCAATCAGCAGGGATACATAATCCACTCGCTTGAGAACCAGGTCCTTCAGTTCGATCCAGTGCTTGTGCAGCGACTCCGCCTTTGAGTCCACATCGTAGCGCTCTTGGGGACTCAGGGACTCCAGATGGACCTTGATGGACTCCAGCAGCAGGTTGATCAGCTCGCCTTTTATCTACGGGTAAACAAGGGTATCGTTGTCATTAACTTCGAAATCACCTTTGATATTTGCATATACTTCTTAATAATGTAAGATTTTTCAAAAATTTATTAGTTTCGTTAGGAATGGAAGCCATAAAGTAATAAATGTATATTATAGGAAGCGCGGACTCACCTGAATCGAAGAACATATGTAAAGAAATTCTTTATAACGCATTTTGGTGATATAATTTGTTTACCAGACATTTTTGTATAAAGATTTTCCTTTCATAGGTAGTTTGATTCAAGCCTTAAGTAACAAAAGTATTGAATTTAATGGCATGTAACTTTTTTGGCGTTATTTTATCCAATATTGAAATGATTGTTAGAGGCGTTACTTTATCTATTTTAAAATATTTGCTTATGCAAATAAATGACTTTTACTATCTCTACCATCCCTGCGTTATTTAATATTTTTGTAAGGATAATTTAGACCCACACACCTCCAAATCCTGCATGAGTTCATGGTGCTGTAACAGGAACTGTTTGGCCTGCTGCAGATTTCTGCCCATGTCAACGATCTGCTGCAGTTGCAGTTGGCCGGAGGCTCTTAGCCAGGCCAAAAGCTCGTTGTGATGGGTCAGGAATTCACTCAAGGCCCGCTGCACCTTCTGCTGATCCTCGCTGCTGTTGGCGCAGATCCCCTGGATATAAACCTTCCGGTTCTCCAGCTCATCCAGAACTCTCTTCACTCCCAGAGTCTCCGGCTGAGTCCTGCCCACTTCGTCGAGGATGCCGTAACCCAAGCGCAGAGGTTCCTCGGTGAAGCTGCGGACATCTCGATCCACCTTGGAATACATGGCATAGCTCTCCGGGGAATGAGGTGGCAGTTTCACGCTCGTGAGCTCCAGTTCCAATTTTTCAAGGACACTTAAAGTGTGCTCGGCCTTGGCGAAGAACTCCCGGGATTGATGGAGCCAGTGCTCCCTCTGATCAACCAGATCCAGGTGCTCCGTGCAGCCACTTAATACCGCATAGGCACGAGCACATGCCTCGTCCTCGGTGAAGTGACCAGCGGACTGCACCTTCTCCTTGGCCCGAGTGATCTTGAGAGCTCGATCCCGGAGGATCAGAGCCTGTTGCTTCCACTCCCTGTACTTGATGAGCATTTCGTTGGCCGTGTGCTCACACTCTCCCAAACTGTACATGGTGTTCAGCTCCATCCTGGCCTGTTGGAGAGCTGCCTCCAGATCTACCAGTTCCCTACCCAGCAAAGCCAATGCCAGGCACTGTTCCATCTGGGTCTTCCTCGTCTGCCAGGCCAGTTCCAGGGAGTTCCTCCGATCGTGCAGGGCCTCCAGCCACTGCTGAACCTGGTGAACCGCCCTCGTGGCATCTCGTTTGATGTGCTCCGGTCTTGTGTCCAGGGTCTCCAGCTTCTCCAGCTCCTCCAGCTGGGCTAGCAGTTCGTTGCCATCCTTCAGAGCGGCCATCACTCCGGTGAGCATGTCTATCCTCAGTTGCTTGAATCTGTTGAGGAACTCCTGGACACGTGGCACATCCGGCGGATGGAGGGTCTCCTCGCAGGCCAATTCCAGTTGGTCCATTTTTCGGAAGCACTGCGTCATCTTGTCGTGGAACTGTGTGCAGAGGATCAGCAGGTGTTGACGGTCCTGTAGGAGGTTTAGGATGTCCTGCCAGATGATGTTCAAGGTGTCGGCCATGGCATTGACCAGTTCGGAGCTGATCCGCTTGCTGGCCAGCAGCTTGTCTGCCTTTTGGACGAACTCATCCATGGGTCCTGGCAGGCTCTGAAAGAAATATTTTAGAGGGTATTAAAGGGGTTTCTCTTCGAAGATTTGCTTGCACTCACCTGTAGATTGCGGAGGGTCTCATCGTGCTCCCTTTGCATGCGCACCGATTCATCCAGGTTCTCGCCAAGAGCTGTGATCTTTGGCTCCAGTTCCACCACTTTGATGTAGATCTTCTCCGGACTCTGAAAGATTTAAAGATTTTATTATAGGATGATTGATGGCTTGAGTTTTTAAAGATGATTTCTCAGTGATGTGATAATATAGGGGTTTTTTGGGAAAATAAATATTTTTAAACGATCTTTTATTCGTTTATCCCTCAATTTATTTTTAATTCAGTACTGTGGTACGCATTTCTAATTTTTTAAGAATTAGAAGTTCAGAATATTGACTAGATATTTTGTATATCTGTTTCACATGTATTTGATGCTTGAGTACATTATAATTTTAATGAGCTTTTAACTAACTCACGTTCGCTTGAAGATCTATTTGATATTTTGACTTTCCCCTACAACTTCACTTAAATGGTTTATCTATCAAGCAACATTTATTTTCCTTGTAAATACTAACAGCAAGATCGATTAGTTATTGAATATTTCTAGATCACCCACATTCCGTTTCGTTATTTTCGCATTTCCCAGGGATATCGCATAGGACCCGAGCAATTCGAAGGGTCCGCGGCATTCTTCGGCCTGTCCCCAAATCCGTTCCAGTCACGTTCCTCCTGGGCTGCCGAGTTCCTGGGATCCCAGCGGCTGGCTGCATTCCCATTCATGCGGCTCGCAGTTGACATCGGAGGCCAGGAGAGACGTGTGCGATGATCTCGAGCGGCGGGGGAACAGCAAACCTGCTCCCGAACCACAATATCTAGCTTCTAATTTTGGTAGCACCACCAGAAGCTGCCTCCGAAGAAGCCGAAGTAGCAGAAGTAGCAGAAGTGGCACCACAACCTCAGCTCTGTTTGATTGCAATGAAGGTCAGCATCGGCTGTTTATGGTAATGGCATCCGTTAGCTTTTCCTGTTGGGATGAGCATGTGTCGATGGAGCTGGAGCTGGAGGCGAGGAAAAGTGCCACATGCCAAGGCGAACCATGGAGAACTCTGAAGTCTGATGGTTCACAAACGGCTTCTTCTTGGTTGCCACTGGTTGGGTTTTATGTTTAGGGAAAGCTGCGTGGGCGTTAATTTGTTAAACGAAAATGTTTTGGGCAAGGTACAGTCGAACCTCGGTAAATGCAAAGGCCCTTATTGTAAAGTTACCGAAGAAATAAGATCGATAAAAGCTTATAACAATCATTAGGAGCAAAAATATATTATAAAGTTGGAATTATATAAATCTCTCCAACTTTATATATATAAGTTAAATCATTTTTGTTGCTTTTCATGTTGTCCTATATACCCCAAAATAGTTTTTGCCGCAGAAGTTTCACTGTAGATTTCCAATTTAGTAGCTCTAAGGGTTTCGAGCCAGATCTGCAACTGCCATTAATCAATTACAATACAAATTAATAACCCGGCTATTAAATAAAATTGTGTGCCCCACTGGCGGCGATGTAAAGCGATAAAAAAACCAGTCGAAGTCACTGACTCAATGCGACGTGAGTGAGTTTTCAATACACATGTGTGCATACGCCAATGATTCTCGAAAATCTGAATAAATTTTAAAGTGTAACGGGCTGCGGGAGTGGGGAGTAATCACGTCGCCTAACTGAAATATGAACCATAAATGGCATGACATCACTATAAACAGGCCGACCATAACTAAGCTTATGTACATACGTATATAGCATAAAATAAACCATTATGCATATGGACGGGCGCCTCACTATTACCCCTCCCCACGAACATACGTCACTCATTGCGAAACTGAATCGTATTTCAAGTGGCTCACAAACACGCACCGAGCCGTTAAGATTCGTAATATGCATTTGGACATTTAGAAGCGTCTTCGCTTGGCATTAGTGTGGAGGTCCGAATGGCGGAAGTACTCCAAGATCGTGGCCAAGTGGGAGTGGGAGGATTTGTGTTCGCTTCATACCCCACTCCAACCCAAAGACCCGGCAAAGACGGCGATGATATAATGCCAAAAGCCCCATCGGCGGTTCAAAAACAATAACACCCAGGCAAGGAATGCAGGGTGAGAAAGATGAACATTGAAATACCCTTGCCTATATAATACTTATAATCATAGTAATACAAAACTAAACAAGTGTATTTAAATTATATAGAACACCTACATAGTTTTAACCATTGTCACAGGCTTTATCAAAATATATTAATCACACCTTGACAATTTTTATGGAACATTACTATATTGATCATAGTTTTTCCATATTTTACAGAGTATAATAAGTATAATCGATACTGTCTTTTCTATATTTAGACCACCTTCCCTGAATTTCATTGCATATCTTATAGTTTCCTAAACTAAAGTACATAACAATTTCAGATCTTATAATTTAATGATCTTGAAGGAAATATCAAATATGGTAGTTCAATGTATATCATTTTTTTTTCTGAACAATTTCCTAGCTTAACAATATTTCATTAAACGAATGATAATTTCTGTATTTCTAATGCTCTAATTGCCCAAATATTACAATACCCTTTAAAAGGGTAGAATGAGATCTACTAAAGCCGGATAGAATGATCTGCAGGAGAAGGATGACGAAGAGGGCCTACAATCGTCCACTTTGAGGCGCTTAGCGTGAAACACGTTTTTGGCTTTTAAATTAATACTTTGCGGCAGCGGATAGAACACGATTTCGATATGAAATTACCTTGATGCTGTTGCCGTTGTTGTTTTTGCTGCTGCTATCGTTTTGTGTGAAATCATTGCGAATTTTTATAGAGCGCCGGACTGAACCGCTCTTTCATTAGGGCCATTGGCTACGTATACGTAATCCCGAATAACGATCGCCGATTTAATTGGGAATCGCAATTTGCGGAGGCGTTGGCTTGAGTTACCTGATTTATTTTACCAGATTGCCAGATGAAAGGTGTTGTTATAGCATCCTTTTCGAGATAAATTACATAAAATGTTGGAGTTTGCTTACAAATTGCTTAAGAACTTTATTCTAGGATGACAAGTTAATCATAGGAGTTTGAATGAGACTTACAAGAACAATTGAAAATATTATAAGAACTAAAAAATTGTTCATGATTCATCCTATACCATTAATCCAATTTTTCTTACAACATTGTATGTTAAATTTATCAATCTCTTTTTTCCTAATTACATTCTAATCGAAAAATTTGGTTCACTTTTTTCGAAAAGTTCACCAACCAGCCTTGACCCAAAATCCAAATCCACTCATCTGCCCATTAATATGCAATTTAGGTACATTTTCGCATCACATGTTTGTCTTTTTGCGACAATTTCATTTTGTGGCTGTGCGAGTGCTCCAATAAAGGTGAGCTAATTGAATACAAATTGAAATTGGCTAATTAAAGCGACATAAATCAAAAGCCCGTGTGCATGTATGTTTTGCTCCTGATCAAACATAGGCCACAGGGGCCATAAAAAGTTTGTATAAACATACCAATAAAAAAACCGCATCAATATTCGTGTGTGTGAGCCATTTGATAGAGAGCAAACAGCATTAATGTATTCTACAAATATACCCATATGCAAATGAATTTACTGAATTTACCTTTTTTTGTGTGGATAGCACGCTCTGACGCGTTTGCTCTGTGCCTCCATTAAACTTAACTTGATTTTGTCATAAAATAAAAAATACAAAATAAACGGCAAAAAGCATTCTGCTATTTTGTTATTGTTCATTTAGCAGAGGTTTTGCTTTTCGCCTCGATCATCAGCAACCGCCCGAGTGATGTCAGACTTTTGGGTTCTATAAATACCCATCGAACATAAAACAATTTTCAGGTTTTTGTTTGTAGGTCGCACTTTCCCAGGCCAACCGAAAAAATTATGAGTACACGTATTGGGCAATCTTGTTGCTGCCATCGAATGCAATTTAAATTTCAATTTAATTCGCAGCCAACAAAAAGATAATTTCTATAATTGTTTCTACAAATTGTTGGCCACGACTCGCGACTCGCATCTCCCATCTGCAACATCTGCAGCAGCAGCAGCAGCATCCCAGCAGCAACATCGGTTGCTGTTGCAGTTGCAGCAGCAACATCAGCAGGAGTCGCCTGCATTGCGCGACTTTCATTGAACGTTTATCGGCGACTATCAGTTGCCATGTAAACATGCAATATATTTCGCGTCTCTAACTCGAAAACCGCCGAGCCGTCGCTTCCACTCCGGTAATTACAGCAGCTGGATGCTCTACAGTGGACCCCCGGAAAGCGGAAATTACAGGGTATTTGTTAAGCAACTATCCCGTGAAATTGGTTATGTATGTTGAGATTGTGTGTATGCAAGAATTTTCCATTTAACATGGCGATTAAAAGCGATAATGGGATAATAAATGGTTCAAAAGAAAGCTCTTGAACAAATTTGTATTATATTATCATTGTTGATCCTGGCCTAAAATTTAAATAAGGTGTGATCAATATATTAAATCGGCCTTACAGCATACATGTTATAGTGGTTTTTGATTGTCTACACTATCAGTTTTTTATTCCATTTATAATGAGATTCATATTTATTTTTAATACAAACCTATGAGAAATATTTTCAATCATTAAAATGTCTTGTAAAATACGACAGTTTTAATAGAAATTAAATAAATTGGGTCTTAATATAACATTTTCCGTTCAGATTTTTAAACAGTATTTTGGAGCGGGGACTGTATATTTTGGCGTGGCAAATTTATGCCCGACTGGTCTGCTCCTCCTTCTTTTCTTTATATTTTCTTGTATTACATTTTCCAAGACCGCTTTCCTCGCTTATCAATCAGTGCGTGCCAAACTGTTTTGTCAGTTGCGCTAAGTAGCAGCTGCATTAAATCCACCGATAGACAGCATATCCCCAGCCGGCTTTCGAGTGGATCCCCAAACCCATCCCCAGCCCCATCCGATCCTCAAAACCATATCTGAATCCCGAACCCAAAGACAAACTCAAAAGGCAAAGAGACAGGCGACTGCGTCTGCGCATAGAATACATTATTTTTAGCGCTCGAAAACGCTGACGACACTCACCGCCAGCTCTTGGTGTTGGATACTGTCAGTTAGTGCTGGAATTTTCAATTACTGATAAGATTTACGGCCTATTCCCCGTGACACGCCATCGGATGGATGAAGAAGTGGCCCCGTCGAAATCACTGCCTGAAATTATTTGCGTATGCCAGCTTTGGGCGTGGATTTAAGTCTTCTTTTTATGGCTGTATTTACTTAGATCAAAACATCATATAAAATTTAGGGGCCAATAACAATAATGAATGGAGCTTGCATAAAGTCTGGGAGTAGAATTGTATTGTTGATGAATTGGATGTGTGGGAAGTCTTCATGTAAAAATTCTCTAATGAATTTACAATTTCAATCAGGTATTGTGAAAACAAGGAGGTAACATAGTTGATGGCGCTGGCAAATATTGTGTGTATTATGGTGCCAACAAAAAAGCAAATATACAAATTTTGAATAAGTCTTTTAAGTCACGACATTTTACTAATGACCAGTGACTCATTCTCAACATTGATTAATCGAAGAGTATTTTTTAGGACCTGAGCAACCTAGAAAGTGACAACCACGCCCTTGCTGTTTGCCGCGAGCCGAAAAACCATAAATCCCAGTGACAAATCACTATCACGTGACTGGGTGGCAGATCTGAAGTCACAGTTTCTGCAAAAAGCGATCCCTCGGATCTTTGCGAGTCTTTGGAGAGCGGGCGGAATGCGCAGCTTTTCATGCGTAAATTTATGTGCCTGCCAAGCGTCGTAAACATTTCTTTCTTTTGAGCCTTGGTGCGGCTTTCTATCGCCCGTCTCTTTCGCCGCGCCTGGTGCCATCTCTTTCCCCCATTAGACAGTGCGCAGCTGCAGCGTTTCACCCACGCCAAAAGGCCCAAGGCAATGGCACATAACTCGTACAGTGCCGGGCATAAGTACATGCTCATATGTCTGGCCGATTTATGAGTGAAAAGCTGCGATTTTACAAATGAAACTGCCATAAATTCAATTAGAGTTTTCTGCGGCTGGCGCCTTTTCGTGTGCAAATCAGAGCAAATCTCGAACCAAGATCTGAAATCAGAAATCTAAAATCCAAAATCCAGGTCGCCAGTCGCGCCCCAATTGCTTCATTATGGCCAAACCAAAGACCCAAATTAGTTTCGCGCATTAGATTCAATTAAAAGAGATCTTCAGCATTCGCGGCACGCTTCACGTTTACACGGAAATCTATTTATTTAGAGAGTGACTCTAGCTAAACAAATGTGTAAATCTTCTGCCTTTGAAGTTTCTCTTTCCAGTTTATTTCAGCCTTTTAATTGCCTTGAAGTTAATTTTTCATTTCAGAGCCAGCAGAACACACACATAAAACGATACATTTTGTAACCAGGCCCAAACCATTCCCCCCACATTTCAAACACTTGTAAATATTTTCGTGTTGCATCAACCAACAAACATTGTAATCGAAATTTGCGTCAGAGCCAAAACCGAATCATCCATTGAGATTGATGCCCGGATGGCCAAGAAGTTGGATGGTCTGGTCTGGGATAATTACCTCTGGGTGGGGCCCAATACCAACGAGTTGATAGTTTTTTCGAGAGGGGCAGATATGTAAATCATGCCAGGGCGATTTTAGTACAAGATGAGCTAGGTTGCCCATGGAGATAAAGTTCCAATTAAACGCTTTGCTGACAGACAATGTGTTTTGGGCAATCCCTGGCCTTTGTGGATCTTACCACATGTCTTGAGCATTGCTTTCAACGGAACATCTTTCAACTATTTTTCACAGGCAAATAAATGTCATTCAAGTAGTCACCACAAAATCGCATTGTGCCACGAAAAACTTTGCAGATATTCATATTCCCTGCCAGCACTTAACATTCAAAGTCTTAATAACTCAACTTTGATTTGCAGTTGGAGTTGGGGCACTGAGAAAAAACATATATTACTATAATAATAAAAAAAATATGTCAATTTAAAAAAAATGTCATACTCAAAAGTCTGTTATTAAACATGGTTATAATTTAAAAAGCATATCAAAAAATTTTTTCTAACAAGATCTTAAATCAAATATTATAAGCCGATTTTTTATAGTGCCTAGAAAAACTAACTGGAAGAATTGTCTGTTGCTTGTTTCGAAAAACAAACCCTGAAAGGAAGGAAACTTTTGACATATTTGCATAGTTTTAAGCACACAGCCGGGGGATGAAGAGGGTTCTGCTGCCAACTTATTGTTTCTTTAATCTTATGCTAAAGCACAAAGTTGAAGGGACTTCCGCTGCCCATTTCCCCCCTTGAGAAAAAATTTCGCCCACCGCCCACGTGGAATTTATAACAATAATACCGTGCTGAGCTCATCGAACATTTTTTAGCTCATACATTTGTTTCGTTCTTTCTGTGTTTTTGTTATACATCTGCTGGCGTTTACTGTGGAATATCGTGTATTTATTTGTACTCTTTTGTTGTTCTTATTTCAGCTTTTTTTGGCTCTGTTCAGTTGCTAATTTGTTTACCTGAGAGAACCTGTGAGAGAAATCGAATCGGCGCTCTTGTTTATTTTCAACAGCATTTTTGGGACCAGTTCGAGAATAACAACAAAAACAAGGACAGGTAAGCAACATTTTAGTTTTTCGATCCAGAAAATCAATTTGTTTCCAAGCAGGCCAGCGGAAACTTGAAGAAATCTGTGTATTTTTGGGGTCGCTGAGTTTTTGATTCATGGAAATACGAGCATGTATTAAAAACAGAAACGTGTTGAAAGGCTCGCAAGTAGAATGTTTTTGCATAATTTCCAGAATCGAGAAGTGGGGGTGAAAAGTGGTAAATCAAATTAAATGTTTAACACATGGAGGCCCGTGAGTCTCGAATGGCAAATGAAGCAAAAATTATTATTCCGGTGGGGAGAGAAAAAATTGGCACAAAGTGGCACGCCGAAATTTCAATGGTCCGCTGGTTGAATGAACAGAAAAGTTGGGGCAAAAAAGGGGTAAATTCCCCTCACCCCAAAAACCATATAACCGATGCTCTGCCTATAATTATTGAATGTTCGCTTTGTTTTTTTCGTTTCAGGGCATGAAACTTGTAGCGCTTCATCAGAAATGTTTCTCAATCTCAAGTTCAAGTCGCAGCTTCAAGTTCGAATCAGTTGGTAGGGGGGCAAAAAGGGGGCTTTTCTGCAGAGAAGACCCAAATAAAGTTTCTCTCTTAAGAAACCGATTCGGGCAGCCAGAAATGAAACCCAGACAGGTAGCAGCTGCGCCTAATTGTCGAAAGTATCTGGCAGATACATTTCTTTTTGTCACGTTTAGTTGGCTTTTTGTGTCTTGTATCTTGTTCTGATGTCAGACAACCTTGAACCTTTTTGTGGCGCTTTTCAAATATTTATAACCGCTATCGACAACTTTTGCTTTCGTTCCTCGGAGTGCTAATTGGCGCGGAAATTGTTGGAAGCCGGTTTAAAGTTTAAACAATCGAAAAGTGTAAACCAGTTTTGGGCATTAGAAGCCCATGAATTTTTCAGTGCTAAAGTCACATAGTTTTGCCATAGATATCAAAGGGGGCACATAATTTGATGAAGGTAATGTCTATTGGACAATTATAGGAATTTATCAATTAAGGTCGGAAATCTCTGTATTTAATAAATAAAGGCAGGGCCAGAGGCTGGTAAATGATGTAATGTTCGTATGTTATCTTGAAGTCAATTGATTGATCGATGTATTGATAACAAACTGAGATAATATATCTTGTGAACTATGATAATGTCATGTAATATCACAGTCTTCCATAAAAAATATGTTATTCGAAATATTAAATAACACCTATGTTTTCAGTTCAACTATGTCATAATTGTTTATTACAGACAAGATTATGTCGTCATTCAAATGATTATCTCATTTGCCTTGGCGAAAGGTCAATTTGTATTTGACAGATCTAATTGATCTACAGATTTTATATGGCTTGATGAAAAGTATAATTTGATTCTAGTGAAATAATAGGCTATCTAATTATAATAGGATAGCTTTATTTAACTCAATCATATCATTCCCAAAACAATATAAATGTCAACCTGAACCATGTTTTTAGCCAAAACTACCCTCTAACGAAGTGATTCCTAGTTTGCTAAGATTTATGATTTATTCAAGATCTCCCAGTGGCATGTCCCAAATCTCTTTCCAAGTCCTCCCAGATCGCCTTCCGCATAAATTTTCGCGCACTTCAAGAGCTTTCTCCGAACACTTCTCCCGTATCTAGATAAATGTTTCTTCATGTTTGTTTCCCATTTCTTGGCCTTTTTTCCTGGTGTGTGTTTTGTTTGGTGTCGTTTTTAGTTTTACTTTATTTTTTGGTTTTTTTTTGGCTTTTTGCAGAATACAAGAGTACAACTCACTTGTAGGAGCGCTATCACCAGCTGGATGGGTCCGCAGCGGACGACAACGGTGCCGATGGTGGTGGCTCTGAGGGAGGTGGATGGTGTGGAGTGGGTGGTGCCCGATCCAATGCCCGTTCCCGCACCCGTTCCCGTGGACATGGCTGTGGACATGGCCTGACTTGGAGTCGGCGACGATGATGACATTGTTGCTGAATAATTGAAGGCGTCTAGCTGGGACTGCTGAGATTGCTGCGACTGCTGCGTCTGGAGCTGGATGCTCTGCGGCTGGCGGGGATTGGGGTTCGAGGAGGAGGCGACCGAGTAGAGCGAAGACATCGATGAGTCTAGGGCTTGGCGGCGTTCCATGGTTGCTTTTCTTTCTTATTTTCTACCAACTTTCGAGAATTGAGTGCTTGTAGTTTTGTGTGTTTTGCGTGGGCGTTTATAATCTCTGTCGTTTAGTTTTACTCGTATTTTGTTTGGTTTATTTCCCCTGCTTATTTCGCGTGTTTTGCATTTTGAACTCTGCTTGAAAGTGGAACTATTAGATTGAGACACTCGCGTTGGGTTTTAATTTATGGGGTTAGTTATTGTAGTCAGGGGATTCGTTTCGATTTCGTTGCGAACGCTATCAACGCCGGCGATCGTCTGAGAACCTCTGCGAATCGGTAGATTTTCGAATCGTAGAATTCTTTTTGCCCGCCGCGATGACTATGACTTCATACTCGTGCTCTCCCTGTCGCTCTAACGTCTGTTTATTATGGTATAGTGGCTATATATATAAAGCTATACAGCCGAGAGAATCGTGTGTACTTTTTGCATATTGAGCCTGAGAAAATTGCCTTTGATGCGTGTGCTAGTCTCGTTGTAGACCCCTCTACCTCTCTCTCTTTCCTGAAAAATCCCAAAGACAATGCTCGATTCGCGTTTATTTTTAAAACAACAAACTATTGAGTAATTTTCGCGATGCTAAACTGTTGTTCTAGCCCAGATACTCAGATACTACAGACACTATATAGCATATAGCATCTAGCATCTAGCCAGAGATAAAGCGCACGGATGTGCGTCAGATCTGTAACATGTGCCAATTGCATTGGCAGGAGTCGTCAGTCAGTCCGTCATCTTTCATGGATTCTACAATATATTTTTGAATACATTACGCATACGTCGTGTGCACCCAGCTGCCTCTATTAGGTAATTTTTGGTATTTCTCCCAATTTTTAATAGTCGCCGCCGTCGCTGGCGTAATGTAAACTATTTTAATTGTACTTTGCGCTGGCTAAAAATAAAACAGCGCACAAAAAAATTGGGAAGAGCAAGTTCCCTTTTATAAAAGTTTACAGTAGCACAATTGAGGAAATGCTTGCCATCCATATGTTGTTGTCCAAAAAAAAATATAAATGAAAAAGGAAAATTGTTGATTGAAATTTTGTGGGGCGTGAACCGTTATGCCTTTTCAATAGCAAAGAAAAGTGCACATGACTCAAAAGAAAATCGCTTTTCAATGTATCAAGTCACCGAAAATTAAAAAAAAAATATTTATTTGCTTGCATTTTGTGTCGAATTCTATTTGTAAAGCATTTTGTTTTGTATTTGAGGGTCGTCACAAAACTGAACATTTGACAACAACAATAAATTTAGCACACTTTGTTGATTTCATCTTCAGACGAGCGAGCACAAAAAAACTAGCGCCAAGCGTTTTTGAATGTCAAAAATGTTCTGGCTAAATTATGGCTGATTATTTTAGTTTTTTTTCTTTTTTGAAGTGCAAAATTTATTGTTTTCTTCCTCGTTTTTTGTCTAACTTAATAAACATAGATATGTTTTTATTCGCACATTATTCAAGCGCAGGAGAAGCGGAAAACTAAAACGCGCGCGCCGCTTTACAAACAGCCGAACAACCGAACGCCGCGAACTTCGAACAAGACTGACCAAAGATCCGAAGACTGAAGACCGGAGACCGAAGACTGCGCAGATTCTACGGGCAGCAGCAGATGAGAAAGAGAAGAGCGTTCAGCCTAGGAATTTTAACCGATTCGCTCAGTTTATATAGGAAAGTTCTCTTTTTCGCTGATCTCTTGACTCTCGTTAAGCTCAGTTTTGAAAAAGCCGGCTTAAATTTTGAGAAGAGAGTCTAGGAAAGAGAGGGGTATGTAGGGTAAAAGGGAAGGGAAGTCGAGGGGCTTCAGGGGAGACGACATAAATAAACAAGTGCTCTTGGCATTCGTGGCGTCGTTAATTCATGATTTCAATTTTTAATGCCCTGCGCCCGGCTTTTCAACAATTACAATACCAACGAAAGGTATGGGGCGATATAAAGGGAGATTGAGAAAATAAGAAACGAGAGCTTGTACCCTGTAAACTCGGGTATTATTATTATTATAAATATAAGTAAGTAAGGTATATCAAGAAAAGTATTTTTTCCCAATAACACCAAAATTCACTCAGCAAAATTAAAAATTGTATAATTTTTTTTAGAAAGGTAAAATGAATTTCTTTGGGGTAAAGATATATTTTACTACTAGATATTATAAGATCTTATAAATTTTTTTTCAGTTTCTTACAATATGTATACCATTGTCTCATATACCCCATATAGGAAAGGGTACTCCAAACCACAATATATTCAAGTGCAGCTTTGGTACTTTAATAACAGAGTGAAGAGAGGAAGAGCAAAATAACAACACCAGAACAGCAAAAGAAACCAGACGGTATCGTGTCTTAATAGGAGGCAAACTGACCGCCCGCATTTAAATCCCCTCACCACCCATGATACGATACTCTATCCCTCAATTTATGAAGTATTTTTCACCCAAAATGCGTGTCTTGAAGCCTGACTTTGGCTCTGGATTCCAACTTCGTGCAATATCCATCGCATGCAACCAATACCATCCAGTTGAAAGTTATTATTTTTCGCTATCATCGTTTCGGACTTATCAAATTATTCTTTCAGCGCCATCACATCACGGAATCTGGTCGAATGGCATGAAAAGAATCTCACAGATATTTGGTCTTTCTGGATGATCAGCTTGTTAAGTATAAGTTCTTTTCACTCACTCACCACAGTCGGAACATTTTATTTATATGTTTTTAATTGAGATTAATGAGCCACTTGAGTGAGGAGCTCACAAAATGAAAACCACCCCTCTTAACCCCAATTCCCCTCTTTGCCCACTGACAGTTCACATTTCAGATAATTGAAATCACTTGAGGACCACTTGTTAAATGTTTAGGGAAAGGGCCACCCACAGAGGCAAATTTAAAAAAATTATGTAGGGTGAAAAAAGTCCACAAGAGCACTCAGGGGTTAAGTGCAGATGATGGCAATGACTTTTCTCGATTCCAGCCTAAGGTTATGCAATGTTTTTCTGGAATTTTGTAAGATTAATTTTACACTTGCCTTCTACTTACTTTTGAACTTAACATTAGTAATTAAATTATGTATCTGAAAACTTAAAAAGTTATTGACAAAATTATATATGATTAGCTTTATTTTTGGGGTAAAATATTTTCCAATATTAATTGCACTATATTTTGTGACTGTGTGGGGAGAAATGGTTATCAATAAATATTAAACATACAATTAATGGCATAAATTTCGACTGGCTGTGACAGAATTAAATTTCATATTATAAATTGTTGATGTATATTTTATATAAGCATTTTGGAATTCTCTAATTTTGCAAGGCTTAAACTAAATTTGAACTAAGAAAATAAATATTGTAGTTACTAGTTATAAAAGCTTGGAAAAAATAAAACGGAACAGTTATAAAATACTTAAAATAGTTTTCGCAGGCAATTTAGTATCGTTTTTAGGCGAAAATAAAACAGTGAACTAGCATGCAAAGTAAATTAGCAAACAAAACAAAACAGAGGAAAACTTTTAGCTCATGGGCCAAAATAAGTTTTCAGGAAAACATCAAAAATAATATGCCAACTAATTAATGGCAAGAATGTCGAGCATCGGCAGAGAAGCAAATGGCGCGGGTTATTTGGGCGGGTAATCATTGAGTTCATCTTTCAGGTGGGACAGGTGGGCCAGATCTTTCAGGTCATCCAGACCTCCTAGAGAAATCCCTTGATCGTTTGTTTCGTTATGTTCTCGTAGTATTTACTGCGTCGCCACGACGTCGGCGGTTTCGATTCGTTGGGGTTAGTTGAAGCCGGAGCGGTGTTATCAGCGGATAGGTAGCTCACCTCCGGCGTGTGGGCATTGGGAATCCTGGGGGTCATCTCCGTCGTGATCCCCGTGGCCAAGCTGAATCCCTCCACCTCACTGTCCGATTCGATGGCCTGGGGCAAGGGTAGTGGCAGGAGCAAGTGCTGCTGCTCCTCGTCGTCTGGAGTGGGCGTCACACTCTGACTATGCAGCTCTGCCACACCCACCACACTATCCTGATCCTCACTCTTCACCCTCTGCTGGTGGGCGGAGAAGTAACTCAGTTCGGAGCTATCGAAGGACATGTTCACCGGGGAGGTCGGCAGTTCGGGTATCTCAAAGGTGCTCAGCGTGGAGTCATCCGCCTCATCGAAGGAGTTCTTGGCCGATCCTATGTAGGAGCTAGTGCGTCCCGAGGCCGTTTGGAAGGAGGAGGAGTGCGAGTTGGGCGTGAAGTTGCCCTCGGAGGCGGTGGCGAAGGATTCGTCCTCGGTGGAGCGGGAATGCCAGTCCTAGGGGAAATTTAAGTAGCATATAATAGATGGCGACATTAAAAATATTAATAACGACAAAAAGTAATAGGTTTCATCCTTAAACTTACCTCGATGCTTCCCAGTTTTTTGATGCCATGTCCTGCGGTGCCGTTGGTGATTCCATTGCTGGCTGCTCCCTCCTGCTGCTGGACATCCCGGATGACTGCGTCCAGGGACTCGGCCACCTCGGCAATGGCTCCCAGTTTGTGCGAGATGGCGGCGCAGGCCAGTTCGTTGCTCCCCGTGGGCACCACCTGCACAGTGGCTGGCGGGGATTCTGCGGGCACCTCGCTGCCAGCACTGCTGGTTCTTCCACTGTCATGGAGTGGACTTGGACTGGAGTCCAGGGGCAGTTCATCGGCCACGACACTGAAATCACCAGAAAGACGGGGGTTATCGGGGGCTCCGGAATCCACAGAGGCAGTGCGTGAATGCGAGGGCGTTTCATTATCGGTATAGTCGCTGTGTGGATACGTTTCACTATCGTTGCGGATAAGGGCCTTGATCTTGTCCAGACTTTTGAGTGGTGGCCCAGAATCCACCTCATCCTCCTCCTCTTCTTCAGTTTCCTCTGGTATGATATCTCTTTCTATAGAGGCCTTGGCTATTTTGGTCTTGACACTCGAAGTGCTGGCCGTCTCATCGTCATCATCATCCTCGTAATCCTCATCTTCACCTTGGGTATCCTCACTACTCACTTCCGGTAGTTTACTAGCCTCATCTATGGCCTCCAAAAGTCGGCTGAGATCGCTAGAGGAATCACTTAAGACCTCATGGGGATTTCCCGCCAAATCCTCCTCTTCGGCTGCCAAGGGAGCAGAGGTATTAGTCAGATTCTGGTCTCCATTTGGGAATTTATTTTCACTTTCCTCCACTGGAGGCTCAACCTCATTGGGCGGTTCATCCACCACAATGCTGGGTACTTCCAGCCTCGGGGTAACCTCCTGCTCCACGTCCTCGTCTCCCTTTGATTTGGCAAACAAATTACGAAATCTGGCAAACATTTTGAGCTTTTTCAAGTAAGTTGTCTGGTTGGCGCCTCCCTTTTTTTTTGGCTTTCGGGGGACTGGGGAACAATTAGTTTGACGTAAGACGCTATAACACGCTTTTGGCTAGTGGCCAGTTGAAGGGAGCTATGTCTCTCTGATAATTGTAGATTCAATTATTCACTGTGCCGGGATTAGCAACTATTTCTCGGGGAAACCGAGAGTGGCAACCATGAAGACACTTCTATATTTAACACCTTCCTATCACAATGCTCCCCACTTTGACCCACTTGTCACGCACGTTCTCCAGGAAATTCACTCTTTATCGCGCATACACTATATATATATTCTTTCTGAGTGTTCCATTAATTTGACAAACTGACAGTTGTCTTGAAATTTCCCGCTCCGAACCGAGGAACCAATTCGAAAGAGGACCGAACGACGAACCGCACTGGACCACGCACTGAAATAGACTAATTGGATTTGGACGCCGACTCTTAGGCGGAATGATCTTCTATATAGCATAGTTCTTTTATTTTATTTTAATATTTTTTGTGCTCTTTTTCGGATTTTGGGTGGTGGAACTTTTCGAGTGCGTCGCGGCCGCTTGACATTTGTTTCATTCTGTCAAAAATTATTTTTGGTTGCCTGCGGTTACTTGGGAATTACTGTGCGGTTTGATGGGCATTAAAAGTGTTGTGCTATAATCTTTTACAAATTGGAATAAACATGTTCAATTTTATGGAGACATTTAGTAGGCGTCTTCTATCATAAAATATGATGGAAGGTAAATTAAGTCCACAACAATATTGTATATATTTTTTTTTATATATTTATGTTTTCCTTTTTAATTTTTAAAGCGTATTGGCCAGTTGCCTTCCTGTTTAGTACGTTTCAATTCCCATTTATCATTTCTTTTAGTTTTATTTCTAGCAACTTGTTAGTTCTTTGCTCTTTTCGTTGTTGTTTGTGCTTAGTTAATTTGCTGCGAACTCGTGTGATTTGAGTGAAAATCTTTCTCATGCTTTAGTTGATATGCAAAACGTTTTGCGGTTTTTTTTGTCTGAGTTCTATGCGTTGAGCATAATGAAGTAGCCGCCGATATAAGGTTGAAGTCCAGGCACTCACGCAACTGCAGGGGTATTATAGAATATAATTCACTTGAACTCACCTCTTTCCTGTCAGCGCATCCAAGACGAAGGGCTCTTTGAGCCGCTTCTTCAGCAGTCTTCCCAACCTGACCATTCTTCCCACTTCGACCAGGAGTTGCTCCCTGGCCACCAGATGGCGCTGCAATCGTGGAGGCATTTCTCCCAGTGGAGATAGCTCCGATTCGATTTCTCCCTCAGCATCGCTACTTATGCCACTGCTACTGCGATTGTGCTGCTGTCTTTGTTGCTGCTGCAGTTGGGCGGATAGTTCCTGGGTCAAAAGGGGACGAAGTTCCCTCAGCTGGCGGTAGTAGGCCTCCACACTGCGATGGAAAACGGCGGAGACCCGCAGTCTGGTCATCTGCTCCTGGGCCACGGACTGCAGGCTGTGCCACGTGTGCTGCAGTTCATCACTGATCAAACTCTGGCCGGGATTGGATTGCGACCTAGATCCCGATGGATCCATGTTGCAGCAGAGACGCAGAGTTTGGGAAGCCTCCAGCAACTGGCAGCCATAGTGGTAGATGCTCTATGAAGGGAAGATAAAGAAAAAGGGCATTAGAAAGTATCGATACGCAAGGAAAGAAATAATAAATAATTCTAAAGAACATAATTGTTAATATATTTATAGGTTTTAAGATATTAAAAAAAAAAACAATTTATATCTCAACTAACAAAATTGTTACATTTTAAGAACAACAATAAATGCAATTCTTCAGTACTTTAATAATGGCTTAATAATTTTATGGTGATGGGCCAGCTGGAAAACTAGATTGGCAACCTTGTATCAACGCAAAGAGGCCTTGGTTTTCCGCCAGAAAACTCGACTGGCACTTGGTAACTTTTCGGTCACTCTGCCGTTAGCCAAACTGGCTCTCCCTTTCTCCGTCTCGCACTCGGATGGACTCCCTCCACCTTATTTCCCCCAAAATAAGTCCAAGAGAGGGGAAAACTCACCCGGCCGGTTTCCTCGAACCCCTGCAGCTCGTCCTTCTGCAGCTGGATCTCGTGGATGTTGCAGCCGACATGGGAGTGGCAGCGCAGCAAGACGGCATACAGCTCCTGCAGCCAGTCCCGCGCCCTCCGCGCGTCCTCCTCGTAGGCGTGGATGTGGGTCACCTGCTCCAAGGTGAGCCGCTGCAGCGCCATCCGATGTCCGCACACCTGACGCCGCCGCCTGCTCTCGTCGATCTGCCGCCGCAGCTGGGCGATCTCGGGGCTGTAGTCCAGCTGGAGGTCGCGACCCAGAGCGTCTTTCACCGGCATCGCCAGCATGTCGCTCAGCTTTTCACCTTCACGCACAAGATCGCGCTCGACGTGGCCTGCGAATGTTAGATACATTGTATGAGAGAGAGATCGATTGGATATACACAAATGGTTTAGAGATCGGTTAGATTTAGGAAATGTACCAACGAATAAATGCACTTCTTTAGTTCGAGTTTGAAAAGATCTTTAAGTGAAAAAAATCAATTTTTTTAATAATTTTTGGATGATTATATTATGATTTAATATATAAATATGGTATGACTTAAGATCGCCTGGGTTCCATGCTTACAGTTCGGTGCATGCTCGATTTTTATAAAAATTTAAAAGCGTGGCAATTGTATTCGAAATATTATTTGTCATACCTATGATAATTATCAGAGCAATTTTAACATACTTTTGTCAAGGTTCGATGGCTATAGCTTTAGTTGGGACAACAAAGTTTTATACAATTTTCATTCAAATCGCGAAAGCGTGACTTTTGCGTAACAAAACAGATATTTTACATTTTTAAGTATTTTTAAAACTCACCCATCATTTCCTGGTTGTTCTTGAGCTGCATGAGTAGCTGCTCCGCCTCGGGCCAATCGAGCGCTCGGCTGTCAACCTCCACCACATGGTTTCCAGTGGTCAAAAGTTCCTCAAATTGCTCGAGGAGACGGTGGAACCTCAGGGCGGTCATCAGGACATTCCTTCGTCGCTCCAACCTCTTAGCAAAGGAGCGACACACAAACTGCATGAAATCCCGCTGCGAGAGGAGATCCTGGCACAGTTCAATGTCCTTGGGAGATGCCTGCCTCTCCCCGGCGAATCTCTCGATCTTGTAGAGCAACTCAGCATAGCAACCGTAGGTTTCCCGGCACTCCATTTCCAGTTGATCGTGGGCTGATCGCAGGGCCTCACTTCCCCGGACATCGCCGGCAATGCTCCTTTGGCGGCTAAGTAGCTGCTCCGCCTGCTGCAGGATCCAGTTGGTGACGAAGGACACCCCCTCCTCCAAAGTGCTGAGCTCACGTGCCTCCCTCAGGGATCGCAGCAACTCCAGCCAGGCAGTCCGAATGGCTGTCTGTTTCTTCTCGATCTCATTCAATCGCAATTCGATGCGGGCACGTTCACACACGAGATCCGGGGGCAGGAGGGGCTTCTGCTGCTGCGGGGGAACAGCAGTGGCGGAGTGGACGGGAATTGGAGGGGGGCTCGCAGGGGACTCCGAGGCAGGTGCGACCGCTTGTGGCGGCGGTGAATGCGTCTCGTAGACCTCGTTGAAGCGGGCCAAGATCGCGTTACCTGCACAATGCCCAACATGCAATAGAGTCGAAGAGAAAAGGGAAAGGGGTTGAGAAATGTACACTGACAAAAAATTATTGGGACAAATACCATTAATATACTTCAAACACTGCTCTAAATGAAAATTTCATTCGCCCCTATTTTAAAATTAGTATACTCGTAACGAAACATTTTTAAATAAAGGCAAATTTCTAGATAAAAGTGTTTTTCTACAAATGTTGAAAAAATCTCGACTAATTGAAATCTAAAAGCTCATTTCTAACAGTCAAGAAAAAAAATTATAATAAAATGAAATTGTCCCGAACATGTTTTTTATTTTAATAGAACTATGTAGGTATTCTTTCAAGTTTATAAGCAATTATATCAGTATAAAGGTTCCTCTTATTTTTTACTAAACATTTAAAATTCCTTATTTTTTTCACTGTGTATTTAGGGCTTTCTTTGCGGGGGAATCGGATCTATGGCCATTCACACATCCACAAAAGTGAAATCTCATTCCCGGAGAGGCTTTAAATCCGAGTCTGGCTCTGTGGACTGTGGCATGTGCCACCATTTCGTTGCGCATCACAGACTTTTGTGGCTTTAAGTGAAAGGTCACGTTTGTCGTTGTTGCCAAACCCACGCACTCGAATGAGAATTCGACCGAATTTGAAGTCGTTGCTCAGAAATTGAAGTGTGAACACTGTTAAACACGGTTTGCTCAGGGCACAATGATCTCAAACCGCAAACGATTCTCGAAAATAACTTAATGAAGCCAGAAAAGTATTTGATTCTTATTCCTTAAAAACTGGTTTTGGTGTATTATAAAATAAATGTTAAGCCTGTGTTAAAAAACCTGTTAAAATAATATGCTATATGCAAATTCTACAACTTTCGTTTACCAATCAATCAATGTTTTTAAGTTTGCTAACAATTATCAATTGTAAACAATGCCCACTCGTATTAACAACGGAAATTTTACCTGAAAAACCTTCCATAGGCCGCATTTTCAATGTTATTCAGTGCCGTTAAATTCAACCCACAATAAAAACGACAACAAACGGCGCGCGAAAAACGAGTTTGCCAAACGTGGCGCATTTCTAATTGAAAAACACACACAAAATTCAATGATATACTTGTCACATGTGTCTTTCTCCCCGTCTTTGTCTGTCTTTCCCAACAACTCGTTTGCTTCGAGGGCAAACCGAATTATGTTAATTGCTTGGGGGCAGCAAACAAAAAAAAACACTCAAAAAACAAAAGACTCGAGCCACGAACTCGACTCACCCATGTCGATGGCGGATTCTATGTCGTTTTGGACACCGGCATGCAGCTGGGCGCACTTCTTCAGCTCCACATCCGCTTCCGCCGGCCGCAGGGATTTGTGCTCCCGCAGCAGAGCCAACAGTTTCTCCATCGAAGCCAGAGTCTGCACATGCGATTTGGTGAACTCGTCGATGGACTGTGAATATATAGTCATTAGGTGCCGTTCGAACGGGACAGACAGACACACTGAAATTGGGGCACTTACCTTGCGCTGCTGCAGCCACAGATCGTAGTTGAACTGCAAGGTGCCGCCCAGCTCTTCGGGCAGGTTCTGCGGCTCTATGAACTTGAACAGCCTCGCCTTGGACAGCACCAGGGGCTGTATCAAAATACACAGGGAAAAATAATAAATATTGAGCCCTATTAGTTACTAGCCTCACTTAATTGGAGTGGATAGCTTTGTGTCTATTTTTTCAAGCTCTATAATCAGAGTAACCATTGCTTTTCCAAGTGTATCCATTACATTATCCCAATCTAGGTCATTAGCTTACCTCTCCCTTGACCTGGGACTTGGTGCACGGCTCCACATGCTTCTCCCAGAAGCCCTCCGCCCTGACTAGATACAGGTCCACATTGATATCGCCCCCGAAGAGGGAGTATATCTGGCGCACCTGCTGCCTCGAGATCCGCGAACTGCTCTCCTGGGCATTGACCACCACACTCACTCCGTTCTGCAAAACCGAAGCGCTGAAAGAGATTAATGCCGAGATGGTTAATCGGTTGGGTTTTGAAGAAAAAGCGCCTTTAAACGCTTCATTAGCTTGCCAGTTAAGTTTGGCTTTAATTAACCACTGTTTTTTTCTTTAGGAGGGAAAAAACTTATGTGACCCATTGCCAGTTGATTGATCACAATCAATAAATCCATAATTCATGTGGCCTTTTCTCTGTTTTCAAAAGTGTGTTTAATGGCTACCTCGTAAAATTAAACAATTTGCCTGTTGTGCCAATAAAAAAACGAAACTGAAATGGGGAAATAACAAAAGAAGGGCGTTTCTGTAGAGCCCATAGGCTGTTGTTCGACCTTTAAATAGGGTATAGGGGTATTAAATTTTCATGAATTAATTTTAGAGTGCTATTTTCATTGGAAACATTTATGGCAATGGGGTTTTATTTACATTTATATGTATTTTTAAAACTACTAACTTTCCTGTATATATTTGTATTTATATTTTTACAAATGAGGAACATTGCAATAATCTGTAAGATATATTCTCTTCATTTATTTGCATATTAACACTTTTCCTCCTTCTACCGCATGTTTAAACATTTAATTAGCTTGAGAACTCCGACACTGCTTATAAATAACCAGATTTGGTAAGGCCTACTCCACACCCAAGACCCCCTTTTCAAGACCCGTTTTCAGACCCCTCCCAGCCAAATGCCGTGTCTAATGAAAAGTGCTGCATTAAAAGACGACTGAAAAAATAAACCTTCATCATCTGCGGGCTATTTGCATATTTCGGCCATATGCTAATGAGTCGTCGGCCTTTCTGTTTCTAATGCCCCTGCATAAGACCACTTGTTTCCCGATTCTCACCTGAGCGACCGCTTCAGATAGTCCAGAGTCACCTGCAGATAGCGGCGATTCCACAGCTGCAGATCGTTGAACGCGTTGACAACGAAGATGATGCGCTTCTGGCGATCGAATCCGCCGGATAAGTAGGCACTCCGCGTCTGCAGGGCGTTCAGCACGTCCTCCTCCATCTATATAGGGATTTTAATGATGGGATCGCGATGATGATGCGGCTTTTCTAAATGCTAATTGAAGCTCTTGTCGCCGCACACATTATTTTTTCTGCTGAGACAACACGGGATTAGGATTTTCTTTTTGTTTGCAGCTTTGGAAAAGCTTGAAAATTAATACAAGTCACAGTTATGCGAGTTGTTTTCGTTGCTGCTGCTGTTTTTCTTGCCGCTGCACAATGCTGCACATTTCCAAATGCCGAGAGACTTTGTTGGGGAACACGTTTGACAAGTTGCAGCCTGAAACTTCGGTTGCCTTTACTTTACTTTACTACAATGCATTGAAAAAAATCTTTAGTTGCAAGGAACATTTTTTTATGGCCTTTTTGTTCTTTTAAAATTTAATAAGTATTGTGTCATTATTGTAAATCTCTTCTATTTTACAATACAAATTGCTTGAGAACCCCTTTCAATAATACGACACCATATACCTCATATAACTCAATATATAACCTCATATATTTTATAATTTAAAGTTCAATAATATCAAAGGTAAGATATTTTATATAATATTTATTTTATCATGTAAGCCACAATTTTTCCCAGTGCCTAGCCAGTCTCTCCACATGATTTTCACTATTTTCATGTTAGTTTAGGAGCTTTTTGTTGGTTGTTTTTCTTTATTTTTTTTCTGTTTGGGGTCTCTATCTCTGGGGCCTAATGGAAAAATTCCATTTTTGCGCATGAGTATTTTGACACAAATTGAAGTTTTAGCTCTTTTCCATGCCGGGCAGCAAGCAGCAGCCGTTTGAACTTAATTTGTCGGTTGATAAGGGGCGCGGCGAACTCAAACACTATATAGTACATAGAGGAGTAAAAAAAGAGCCAAGTAATTCTTTCACTTGCGAGCAAGAAGTACGTGCAAGAAATCCTGTTTGCTGGCAGTCTATCTTACAGTTATGCGTAAGTGGTCGATGCCTCTTTTCCTGCCTCTCACTCTTCCCATTCCTCTGGCAATCTTGCTCCGTTTTTTTCTATACTCTTTCAGGGGGTATTCAGATATTTTATAGATTTTGGAGGTCTAATTAAAGTATGTCTTATAAAACCATTTTTAATGAAATGGATATTCGAGATAGATAGTAGTTTTGATACGATCTATTATATTAACTTTTTGTTAATATTATTATCGATTTCAACAAGCCAGTGTCTGTTCCATTATAGCCCAATACAACAATCAAATATTATTATTGTTAAAACTTTTGTTCATATAACTTCTAAAAATAAAAAGATCTCTTTTATAGATCTTATATCAAGGGTATTTCACTATCTGCTTCCTAGCGTTAACTTCCTTTCCCGTTTTTTATGTTCTATGTTGGCAAAGCAATTTGCACTACTTGGCTTGATGGAGCAACCTGTTCCTTTGGCCGCTTTTGGGAAGCTGTAATAATTGTCATAGCCTAGCGGTTTCCCGCTCCCGAAAACCCCCTCTCACTGCAGTTGCCTCCTCCCCTTCCGCCTTGAATTTCAATTAATGGCAGAGGACAGGTAAAAACAACCTTGCTGCACAGCAACTTCGCGATGGAGTCTTCATATTTCTGGTTTCAAATGTCAGTACAAATATTACGTGCAAAATATGAACGAAGTTATGTCTATATTTTTATATCCCACTGAGCTCAGCGAAAATAATCACGAAAAGGGTAGCTGAAAGTTTAGAGCCCCGCGGGGGACTCGTAATGCCTCGAATCTTTGGAATCGGGCACACCTTTCGGCCTAAAAAAATCACTTCCAAAATAGACAGCAACAACCGTTGCTGTTTTGTTTTCTTTCAATTTCGGTAAACTTTCTTGAGAACTTTTTCCGTTTTTTTGTTATTTTCAACTCGGCTTGGGCTTTTATTTTGTTTTATGATAGGGCGATAAGATCTATGCCAACAACGACGACGGGCTGTTAAATTAATTGAAAAGTTCAGCAGCAACAACAAAAGTCATTAGCATTTCTCCACACAAAATTTGTTTTAACAGCTGACAAATGTTTTCAGCTGTTTCGAAATGAGTTTTCAGTTCATTTTGCGTGTTGTTTAATGTTGGGTTATTTGACTGGGTTTGATATGCAGACATACTTTCGGGAATTTCGAAATTAAAGCAGTTCTTATCGCCTTTTTCGACAGCACCGAAATGATATAACACCGATTATCGTTCATCCGCCCCGTCCGCCCGCCTGGAATTCTCGCGCTCAACTGAAAGATCTCCAAAGTTACCGATCCTAACTATGATCTTTTCATACCGGGTTTTAAGTTCGAGTTGCGGTTCGAAATGCGTTCGAGTTGCATCTGCTTGCGTGTCAGCTGTTTTTTGTAGCATTTCAATTGATTGTGGATTGTAGTATTTTTTATTCATTTTCATTTCAGGCCCTTTTTTGTGGAGCTCCAAAACCGGTTGGGCACTTTTTTCTGTCGAGTGCAAAATTAAAACAAAACATGCGTTTTGTCTGCCGATGGAGATATGGGAGATTCTGTGGGAGCACTCTCTTATTTTCTTTATTTCGACTTATTTCATTGCGTTTTTATGGGTATGATGAACCTGGCAAGATAGTTTTAAATGTGGGAATTTATTCAAATGGAATCACATTAAGAGAATTAATTAAATTACGAGCTCGAGCGGATGAAATATATAAGTAATCTTTACATTACATGATATGGACTAAAGTTTCAATGCTTTAAAGCATATTTCTCAACATTACAGCATTTCTTTTAATATCGTGTTTATTAATTGTGTTTATTCCAGGGCATCATCCATTCGATTCATTTATTTTCCTTCTACACGCACTGGTTTTGTTGTTTTATTCATGTATCGCTTGACGTGGGAACTTTTAATTGTGCGTGCCTGGGATTTCAGACAATACCAGGAATTGTTGCCCACTTCACCATCTTCCGCCTCGCAAAGGAAAAGTACTTGAAAATGCAAAAGGATATTAGTATGCTTCTCTGACAGCAAAAATATCAAAGATTTATTCTTTCGGGGTAAACAAAATAAAAGAGAGCGAGCAGTCCAGAACCATTTTAGGCTTCACTTGCTTATGAAAGGGACGAAAACAAATATATCCACCCGGAAAAGGGTCACTCCCTCGAAAATTGGGGCTAGAGCATGGGGTCTGTGGGTTACGACCCTTATAAACATGTCAATCACAAGTAAATTGTTGCAGATTTAATGGTCGTCCATGGAATGTGGGTCTGGCAATATGAATCTCCTCCTCGACAGACCGGAATCACTGAAATGCAAACGGATATTCACTGCTGCGTCAGCAGTGTCGGAAAACGTCGAGAGATACAGTATGTACTACAAAGTAGGAAATTTCCTTCATAATATATTTCTATCAATTTTTAGGTTTTTTTTTAATGAAAAATAATTATTATTAGGTATTAAAGTACATCTTATTTTTAATGGTTTGTGTGGTTGCTTGGCAGACGTTTTACTGTACCAAATATCTAGAGCCTAGAGTCCTGTCATAGATTTCGCTTTCCATTTCACTGGCTGCCATGAATTTATAGGCAATCTTCGGAGGCCTAGGCGCGATGGTTTTGTTTAATGAAACTTAAAGTGCGTGCCAGTGCGCTCGGGCACGTATCCTTGAGCCACTCGAGGGATCCTTGAGGGCTGCGGAGAGCGGAACTGGAAGCTGATGAAGTCAGGGCTGCACTCAATTGCAATGGCCGGCCGCAAAATGGCGTCGAAAGCACTTCCGCTCGGGTTAAAAACAAAAAGTCATGCAACGGAGCATCATCGGACGTGGAAAGTTGTTTTCCTTTTTCCCTTTTTTTTTTTGCTAATGCTTCTGGAGGAGTGCGGAGAAGGGGGGACCCTTACCCCCGGACAGCTTTAACGGCTATTAGAAAATTGCGAAAATTGCGCACACGTTTTTGCAGGGAAAAGCGAAGAGCGTTGCATGCGGCAGGGCAATCGAGTGCAGTTTGTGGCCTCAGATTTATTGCACCGAGCTGGGAATATTCGAGATGGCCGGCTCGCATTTTAAACAGTTTTCGTTAAGTTTGGTTTATTAAGCTGGGCCTCTGCCTCTGCCTCTGCATAATTCATTCGCGTCAGGTTTTCCCTTTTCCCACCAATTCATTTCAATCAGGCCAAGAGAATCGTGTGGCTCGTTTTAAATCATTTAATGCGGTAGTTTTGGTCATTTTATGAGCCCGACTAAAGGAGTGCCAGGTGATGTTTATTGGACGTATGCATGCCGCATCGAAAGCGCTCCAGAATCGCTTTAGAGTTTTCCCCGGAGAAATTTACCGACTTAGCCTTGAACTTTTCCCATTTGCTGTACAAGTTTATGGTGACCAAAACTTATTTAACTTCGACATGGCTGCTGTTATATTATTTTTCTATTCGGCAATCCACATAAATTTTAAGTTATTTTAATATTCCCAACGTTTTTATTTATCACGGTCGTTAGTATTTCCAAGTGGGATTTAATTTTACCCCTGAGCATAACTTTGAGTTTTCATTTAAAAGTGAGTTATAAATTCCCCCAAACATAATTCTTGAACTTTTTCCAATTAGGGCCGAGTTGATTTAAGGTTCGCTCAAGTTTCTTGACTAAATTCCCATAAATCTTTATTTCGCGGAAGTGTTCATCTACTGAAAATGATGGCTTTCTTTCACTTTCATTAAGTGCCCGCCCGCGTATTCATCAACTTTCCTGGCCATTAGCCAGGGAAACCCAAAACCAAAGAGATACATGCGTTCTCCGAACAATTTCCTTAACCTCTTTAAGGTGCTTAACCCAATATCACACCAAAAGAAATTGTTGCTGAAATCAGAGGCGGAAGGCGTTCAAGTTTCCCAGCCATTCAAAGGGAATTTAAGTGCACACGAGCCGGGAATCACCGCCCAACCCACTTTAATTTGCAAATCTAGGCATATGCCGTCAAGGCCTTATGGTTTCCACCTTCGAAATGCCAAAAAATGAATGGAGGGAAACCCTGGGGCGTCTCTGATTACAACCGAAATATGCCACGTGTACTTGGTAGCTACACACATATACGAGTGTGTAAGGAGGTTTAGCTCTCTAAAATGGCAAAATCGATAGTGGAAAAACGGAATTCTCGTGTATTTTCTTGCCTTTCCACTCGAACGTTAATTGATTGAATTAGCCAGCCGAGCGATGTGGCAAAAAGAGGAAGCTCCATCCATAAATATTAATATTGGCCAATCAAAGCGAATGACAAGAAAATTATGCGATACAAATGTTTAAAATTCAACAATTTCTTGGATAACAACAAAGTGTTTAAATTAATAAGTGTCACTCCCATTTCCACACCCACTTTTTAATCGTATTTTGCCGCTTTTCGCTGCTAGGCTTTCGCCCAAAGGTAGGCAACGAAAATTTCCCACGCTTGCGGGAAAATAAATTTTCAATGAAGCAGTCTACTTTTGCGAGGACTGAAAAGTTGGTCTGGAATTTTAGTTATTTAATTTGCATTCATTTGGTTAGCTGATTACTTTCTAAATTTCCGTTGCGGAACTATTCGCATTCTCCATTTTTGATGTGAGGAAAATACGAGCTCCCTTTCAAGGACACTCATATATTTTCCATTGGCTTGGGTCGCCTCTTAACTTTTTGCGCTCCAACGGATCGAAATCTATGGCATCGACTGCGCTAATTGTTCTAATGCGCTCAAGCTGTAAGCTGCTTAAAATTGCTTAAATTGCAAGTGGAATAGCGGTGGGGGAACAGGAAATTCTCGCACAAGGACCTGAGGCGAAGAAATATATCTATCGGCATAGCACTGCCTGCTGAGGCATTGACATCACTAAGGCAATAATCCATAATTACATATCGGCTTTGAAAATTACTAAGGGGTAGAAATATGTATGAAATGAAAGGAAGCTTTTACAAGCTTAATTTAAAAAAGACACAATTTTTAAGGATTTATTTAAATTGGATTACCTCAGGTTTTAGAACAACAATTTGTTTCATATTAAGTATCGCAGGAAATCGGATATTAAATAAATGACAAACAGATTAATATTGAGCTAGAGTTTATTATTTTATAGTTTGCTGCGTTTATCTTTACTCCTTTTGAAGAATCTCTCCTTTGAGCTCTTTCTCCTTTTGCCAGTTAGAGACTAGGAATTCAAGACTGGAGGTCGATGATGCTGATGATGGGCACATGTTCGATATTTTTGTATTTCCAAGTGGTTCCAGAATGGGAACCAAAAACTGCACTTCTAGACATCATAACTCCAGTTTTTCGAGCCCGATTTAGACGTGGGATACGTCTATGAGTTTGTGGTTGAATTCTCTAATATTCTACATTAAAATTTATGTTTAAACAGAGAGTCGAAAATTTGACCCATTTTCATGTCTGATTTTTCCGTAAATCCAATGGGTTCCAGAATGGGAACCAAAAACTGCACTTCTAGACAACATAACTCGAGTTTTTCGAGCCCGATTTAGACGAGGGATACCTCTATGAATTTGTGGTTGAATTCTCTAATATTCTGCATTAAAATTTATGTTAAAAACGAGGGTCCAAGTTTTGACCCATTTTCAAGTCTGATTTTTCCGTATTTCCCATGGCTTCCTGAATGGGTACCCAAAACTGCACTTCTAGGCATCATAACTCCAGTTTTTCGAGCCCGATTTAGACGTGGGATACCTCTATGAATTTGTGGTTGAATTCTCTAATATTCTGCATTAAAATTTATGTATAAAACGAGGGTCGCAAATTTGACCCATTTTCATGTCTGATTTTTCCATAAATCCAATAGGTTCCAGAATGGGAACCAAAAACTGCACTTCTAGACTTCATAACTCGAGTTTTTCGAGCCCGATTTAGACGTGGGATACCTCTATGAACTTGTGGTTGAATTCTCTAATATTCTGCATTAAAATATATGTTAAAAACGAGGGTCCAAATTTTGACCCATTTTCAAGTCTGATTTTTCCGTATTTCCCATGGCTTCCTGAATGGGTACCCAAAACTGCACTTCTAGACATCATAACTCGAGTTTTTCGAGCCCGATTTAGACGTGGGATACCTTTATGATATTGTGGTTTAATTCTCTAATATTGTACATTAAAATGTATCTTTAAAACGAGGGTCAAAATTTTGACCATTTTCATGTTCGATATTTCCGTATTTCCAAGTGGTTCCAGAATGAGAACCAAAAACTGCACTTCTAGACTTTATAACTTGAGTTATGGAATCCCGATTTAGACGTGGGATACCTCTATGAATTTGTGGTTAAATTCTTTTGTATTCTGCATTTAAATGTATTTTTAAAACGAGGGTTAACATTTTGACCCATTTTCATGAGCTATATATATTCGTATTGCCAATGGGTTCCAGAATGGGAACCAAAACCCGCACTTCTAGACTCTATAACTCGAGTTATTGAATCCTGATTTGTAGGTAAGGGACAGATAAATAAAGTTATTCGTCATTTATATTTTAAAATACTTTTCATGTTAATGTGAAAGTTAAAAATAAACTAATAAAGATCTATTAGTCAGTTTCTTTACAGTTTGCTGCGTTTGTTTTTGCTTCTTTCGAAGAATTTTTCTTGTTGCACTCGCTTTTCCTCAGCACTTAGTTGCTGTTCCTTTCCACTTAAAGACCAAGAAGTCAGAGTTGGAGGTCGATGATGCCTGATGAAGGGCACTATGTAACGGGCACACTCCTCGGCGGCTTGGAGATGAACGTGATGAGTACCCTCCACCTCGTAGAACTCAAAGTGTGGATTAATTTTGTGTAAAATGGCTATCGGCTTTTCCACTTTAGGTCCAATGTATGAAGACATTGAGGCTTTAATGACCAAGTAGGGCTTTCTTCCGATCCGTTTCGTCATCTCCTCGGCGAATCCAGGTTCCATTTGCGTTACGTTGTAATACTTAACCCGACCATCCCTGGAGAAAAAAAATTTATCTGGATAGAGCTGTGACCTTAACACCTGGCGGTGCAGCAGGTGCTTAGCAAACTCGGGAGTGACAGAGTTAAAGCTTCCTTTGGCGACGACTTTGGTCATCTCAGAAAGGGTGTACGATGGCGGCTCGTGAAGATTGCTCTCCACCTGACGATCCTCTTCCACAAGGTGTTTCTCCATGCTGTGGATCACATAAGCCAGTGCCTGTTTGGGAGCCAAACTCGAGGGAAGTAACATGTCCAAGGAGATAACCATATCCACTGTATGTGGCGCCAGTGCGGTGTAAATGAAGCTTACGATGCCACCCAGGGAGTGACCCATCAAGGAAACTTTTGACCAGCCGTACTCCTTCATCACTCTAGGAATGATCAGCACGTAATCGTCGACGGCGTAGTGCATCCCCGGCTGAAGCCGAGATGATCTTCCATGTCCGGGAAGATCGATGCAGAGCACCCCTATATAATCGGGGAGCAGGGGAATCAACCGATCGAAGGTTCCCAGATTGTCCAACCATCCGTGGATTGCGAGGATCGGCCGTTCGGTTCGATTACCATACCATCGTCCGGAGATGTGACCCCAAGGTGCAGCTATTCTCACCTCTTTAAACTGAAAAAGAATATATCAGCCTATTTTCTTCACAATTACACTTCTTCACAATATATAAACATTTTGGCGGTACCGGCTGATTCCGCTTATCTTTCACTTTTGCTTATGATTTAATTTGTTGCTTACTCACGTCACTCAAAGACAAAGTTCCCATCCCAATCAACGGTCTACTGAACTTTGTACGTCGGCAACTTTTAGCCAAGATCTTGAATTGGTGGCACACGTTCGGTGTTATCTTAAGTATCAAAAATGGAACCTCCTTAGGGTACAACAGCTGGTCATAGACTAACGTCCACAATTGATTTTAGCGGCTTGGGTTGGTAACAAAAGAGAAAATAAGCTGTGAGTAATAACAAAACACCGATAAGAGAGCGGCAACACTTCTAAAGAGAGGGAAATATAACACAACCATTTAGGAAGAGAATAATCAAAACATTGTTTTTTTTTAGTCAAGCTTTATTAACTTATATAATAACTATAATTAATCTTGATGCATAGATACCGATATTATTTTCTTGCCTCTTTAATCACAACTTCTTAGCGTGCAATTCTATGGTCATATAACTTTGTAAATTTCTTTACAGTTTGCTTTGATTATTTTGACTCCTCTTAAAGAATATTTCTTGAGACTTAAGTTTTTCTTCAGATCTTCGAGTCGGAGGTCGATGTCGCCGAATGAAGGGCACTATGTAACGGGCGCACTCTTCAGGGAATTTAAGATGGATGTGATGGGTACCGCCACCCACCTCGTAGAATTCAAAGTGGGGGTTGTTTTGGCTCAGGATAGATATGGCATACTCACATTGAGCTCCGACAAAGGAAGACTTTGATGCCTTAATTAACAAGAAAGGATTTTTCAGGATTCTTCTTGTCATCTCTTCGGAAAGGCCAGGTTCCAGTTTCCATAGACGGTAGAATTTTACCCGTACATCCCCGGATAAGTAGAACTTGCCTGGAAACAGTTGGGACTTTTCCTCCTGGCGATGAAGAAGGTGCTTGGCCAACTCTGGTGTCACAGAATTTAAGCTCCTCTTGACAACGATTTTCGTCAAATCAGGAAGTGTGTAAGATGGGGGTTCAAGAAGATCACCCCTCACTTGACGATCTTCTTCAACGAGGTACTTCTCCATGTTCTGAGCCTCAACGTCCACCGCTTGTTTAGGAGTCACTGACCTAGGCAGTAAGACGTCCAGGGATATAACCATATCCACGGTGTGCGGAGCCACCGAAGTATAAATAAAGCTCAAGAAGCCACCCAATGAGTGACCCATTAGGGACACCTTCGACCAGCCGTACTCTCTCATAACTCGGGGAATAATGTAGACGTAATCGTGCACGGAGTAGTGCATCCCCGGCTGAATGCTAGATGACCTTCCGTGTCCGGGAAGATCGATGCACAGTACCCCTATATAATCGGGGAGTAAGGGAAGGTGCCCAGATTGTCCAACCATCCGTGGATTGCGAGGATCGGTCGTTCCTTTGGATTGCCATACCAACGTCCTGCGATGTGACCCCAAGGAGCAGGGATTCTCACTTCTTGAAACTAGGAAAGTATACGTACATCTATTAGCAATACAATACTAAGGTTAATTGAAAAAATTAACGTGAATGGTTTAGGTCTTCAGATTTAGCACTTACACCAATTTATCTATAACAAGATTTTAATTTTGAACTTGTTAAGTTATCCAATTATGATGTTTTGATTCGAATTCTATTGGTTTTTACGTTGATTAGAAACGCTTAAGTGCAGTAGAAATCATCTTTATACATATTCCAATTAGTATAATCCATTGATATGCCAATTAATCGAATTTCACTGTGAATGTAAACGTATGAGAATTGCGCCTCTCACTTTTTGTGGCTTATGATTTTATTTGGTTGCTTACTCACATCACTGAGTGACAAGGTTCCCATCACAAAAGAAAGCCCTTTGTACTTTGACCTTTAGACTCGGTCTAGCAATTCCGTAATTGTCCACCTCCAGTATTATCTTGAGTATCTGGTTGGAAGGTCAACGTTCCGATTAGGAATCCGGAATTGCTATCGAAGAATTGTTCTTCCTACAAGTGTAACAGCTGTTCGACGACTAATTCAGATTATCACTGAGTGCACTAAACCAGAGATTGTAGAAAAAAGCTTTTTAAGAGTGTGAGAACAAACAAAACGATTACAAAGAGAACTACTATTAGTTCTCTTAAAAATATACAGATATCAAGATCGGAAAACAGAAATACCTTTATTAGTCAAGAGAATTTTACATCAATTGGCATTTAATAAATTGTTTGTGCTTTATTGTAGTTGCTTATGTATAGGTACATTATTGTTCAAATTACATGGAAAGTAATACTCGATATAAAATAAAATACAGAGCTTAAAATAAAAAAAAAAGTTTTGGTCTTTATGTCTAAAACAAAAAAAATGTTTAAAAGATAAGGAATACTTAAGTTTTACTTCTAAACGGAATTGGACTTTGTACTATCCCTATCTTACAACTTGCTCCGGTTTTTCTTGGTCCAAGCGAAGAATCCTTTTCGGTTCCTTAATCTAGGGCTATCCTCTTTTCCGGTAAGGGTCCAAGAGGTCAAGGCAGGAGGTCGGTGATGCTGGATGAAGGGCACAATATAACCGGCGCACTCCTCGGCGGCATGGAGATGAAGATGGTGGGTGCCATTCTTCACCTCGTAGAACTCAAAGTGTGGATTATCCTCGGCCAAAATGGAGATGGCCTCATTGCAACGGGATGTAATATATGGCGACAGTGAGCCCTTTATGATCAAGTATGGTTTCTTGCGAATCCGCCTCGCCATTTCTGCACCAAGATCCTGGTCGATGTCTATGTTGTGGTAGTATTTCACTCTTATATCCCTGGAGAAGTATAACCTTTCGGGATATAACTTCGACTTGATTACCTGGCGATGGATGAGGTGCTTGGCAAGTTCCGGGGATACGGAGTTAAAGCTTCCTTTTGCCAGAACTTTTCCTAGCTCAATGGGAGTGTAGGAAGGTGGCTCACTGAAATTTCCCAGCTTCTGCCGCTCAACATCCAGAAGTTGCTTTTCAATACTTAGGGCCATGTAGTCTATATTATTTCTCAACGGAAGCAAAATGTCTAAGGAGATGATCATATCCACGGTTCGAGGGGCTAGAGAGGCGTAAATAAAGCTCAGAACTCCGCCTAACGAGTGACCTATCAGAGAGACCTTTGACCATCCGTACTCCTTCATCACCAGTGGAATTATAAACACGTATTCGTAGACGCTGTAGAACATTCCCGGCTGCAGGTGCGAGGATCTACCATGTCCCGGCAGATCGATACAGAGTACTCCTATATAATCGGGTAGAAGGGGAATCAGCCGATCGAAGGTGCCCAGGTTGTCTAACCATCCGTGAATCGCCAGGATGGGTCGCTCCTTTCGATTGCCGTACCAACGACCCGAGATATAACCCCAAGGTACTGGAATCTTCACCGCCTCGTACTGGAAAATGCAGAAATGGTAATTCTGTTTTTCTCCAAGCCACTTATTAATCCCAAACTAATTTCTCATAACTGGTGAGCAAAGGTCGCTCATAAAGCCGTACTTATTTCTTAAACATTTCCAAGGATTACTTACATCACTCAATGATAATGTTCCCATATCTTTAAAATTTATGTTTTGTAACGGCGATGGATTATCATGCGAAAATTAGTTGTGTTTTCCTAAATTGTTGATCCCACTTTCCGTTTTAACATCTATGCACAAACTAATTTGTTAACTTGCAAGTCTGCGGTTTAGCAACAAACACGTACCGAAAAAGAGATTCTTATAACAATCTATTGAAGAGAGTTCCATAAGAGAGGCAGATTTGTCATAAAAAGCTTTCCTTAACAGTAAAGAGATATATATGCGATATCAGATCGCATTGCCATCAAATTTGTTCACAAATATTCACCGAAATTTACATACTTTCGCGATTAATATCATTTGTTACTTTAACTTGCTTATTCATTTGGTTTATTTTAATACACTAGCCTAATATATTTGTAAAAAATCTACAAATTTACGTGCGTTTAGTTTGACTTTTACGACAATGTGTGCGTATAGATGGCCAAACGAAAACAATAAAAAAAGCTTCTGGTGGAGGTTAAGCTTTCTTTGTTCTCGGGGCGAATGGCATTATAAATTTCGGTTAATTCAAAAATTACTTAAAGCTACAGTAAATTTAAAAAACCTTTTGTTACGTTTTCCTTGATATATTTCTATTATATAGGAAAGTTTTTTAGACATGCTCCCACCACAATTTAACAGAAATATGAGTGGCGAATGGCATAGTAGATTCTATTTAACTTAAAAATTATTTAAATACTCCACGTAGGTTAATTTTGAGGGACTGGTCTTCTAACTTTGAATGCTCCACATAAACATTTTAACATGTAAATTCAAAATTCTGAACTGGTTGATATTATGGATACTTCTTTGTATATGGGGAACATCCATTTTATGGTGTATAAAGATAATATGTGATTAAATACCCTCATCTAATCTTATCGTTGTCTGCACGAATTCACAATTTGGCTCGGGTTTTTTGGATTATATTATAACTTTCCTTTATTGGCAATGATACATTTTTCTGCATTGTAAATGGTGTCATTTTTTTTATAAATTTGAATTACATAATGAAGTGCAATAGACATATGTATATCTTCCAGCACAACCTGGTCCTATAATAATAAATAACTAATCACAGTTTGCTCCATTCAATCGATCTCAAGCTTATGTGGTCTTTACCAGGAGGATGATATCGCCTTATAAACGGCACAATATACCCCGCACATTCTTTGGCAGCTAGTATATGGAAGTGATGCTTACCCTCAATTTCGTGAAACTCAAAATCCGGATTGTTGCGACCCAGAATCGAAATAACATCGGACATCTGTGGACCAATAAAATCTGACTTGCTACCCTTTAAAATAAGATATGGCTTTGGACTAATCCTTTCTGCCATTTCTGCCGCCAATTCTTTGCTTGCGAGATACAATTTGGAAAAGTACTTCACCCGATCATCTCTGGTGGATATAAACTTATCTGGGTAAGCCTCCGACCTTTTAGCAATTCGATGCAGCAGATGATGGGCCACAGATGGCGATAATGATTTAAATGATTCCTTTTCAATCAATTTGATAAGGTCTTCCTTGGAACGTAGGGGTTTCTCCTGACCGATTAGTTCATCCAATTCGAGGTGTTTTTCCTGACTGAGCCGGATCCACCTGATGGATTCTTCGGGTTCTCTGAAGGGCGGTAGCAACAAGTCCAGGCAAATCACCATGTCCACCGTATCCGGAGCCAGAGAGGTGTAACAAAAGCCGAGGAATCCGCCCAATGAGTGGCCCATCAGCGAGACTTTCTTCCAGTTGTACTTCCTCATGATCCGAGGAATCACCTGTATGTATTCCTCGGCACTATAACGAACTCCGGACGGGTAATGCGATGATCTTCCATGGCCTGGAAGATCTATGCAGAGTATTCCTAGGTAGTCGGGGAGCAGCGGAATCAGTGGGTCAAAGGTGCCCAAGTTGTCTACCCAGCCGTGAATAGCTAGGATCGGTCTGTCTGCACGATTTCCATACCAACGACCGGAGATATAGCCCCAGGGAACTTCTATCGTCACATCCTCGTACTGCAATAAGTCTAAGTTGGAGTATCTTTGCACCACTCAAGTGAATTTCATGAATCACTTACCTGTTCCAATCTTAAAGTGCCCATGTTTTTTTCGGTACTTTCTCTTCAAACATTTCTTGGCAACTGATTAGTGAAAGAGCTTTTTCGGGTTTTTATTCTCCAATTTTTAGCTTTCATAAACATTCTAATTCTTATGCAGAGACCACTGAGAGTTGATATACACCTGTGTTCAAATCAATAGCACTATGTGATGACATAAAAACACAATAAAAAAAAGGATAGCAAAGAAGATTTTACTTTTTAAAAATTTTAGCGATATTAAAACCATGTTTTTAAATACAATTATATATTTTTAATAATTAGGCCCGGCCAAACATCCCACAAATGGAGACACGGATCCCTTGATGATCTGATAACTGCAAGACTTGTTTCGATGTCAAATAATTGATAGAACTTATCGCGTCCGTCCCTCGAGAAGAATAGTTTTTCCGGGTAAGCCGTTGTCACCTGGCGATGGAACATGTGATGGGCCAGGTTCTGCGGAACCGAGTTATTGATGCTCCTGGCAATCACCTTTCATAGATGGTTGCGGATTGCTGGGATCCTCAATCTTCCTGGACAACAGAACATCCAAAGAGATGAAAGTTAGTATTTTAAATAGTACTGTGTTTAATTTAGAACTTTTATTTATGATAGAAATATTTACAAATTTTTACAAAGAACTTAAAGAAAAAATACTATGTCTTATCTTAAGATCATAATAATTTTTTTACGGCTTGCTGCTCCTTGGAGATCTTAACTTAACACAGATCTTAAAATTTTTTTAAATGTTCCTTATAGCTTGCTGCTTTTTGGAGGTCTATGATTTTGGATAAACGGTACGATATAGCGGGCACATTCCTCGGCGGCTTGGAGATGGACATGATGTTTGGCGTCCTTCACCTCGTAGAACTCGAAGTGAGGGTTATCCTGAGACAGAATGGATATCGTTTCGTCGCATCGGGGTCCCACAAATGGAGATAGGCCTCCCTTGATCACCAGGTAGGGTTTCTTCTGAATACGCCTCGCCATCTCCGCAGCCAGTCCTTCTTCAATGTCGAATATATGGTAGAACTTTACGCGCCCGTCCCTCGTAAAGAAGATCTTTTCCGGATACATCTGTGACTTGGCCACCTGGCGGTGGAGCATGTGATCGGCCAGGTGATGCGGCACCGAATTATTACTGTTCCTGGCCAGGACCTTTCGCATTTTACTGAGGCTAAACGAGGGCGGCTCATGCTGCGTTCCATCCGCCTGTCGCTCCTCCTCCACCAAATAGCCCTCTATGTCCTTGGTCAGCTTGCTGGGATCCTCGATCCTGCGGGGCAGCAGCACATCCAGGGATATGATCATGTCAACGGTGTTTGGAGCTATTGCCGCGTACATGAAGCTCATCACTCCGCCGAGGGAGTGACCCATAAGGGAGACCTTCGACCAGCCGAACTCCTTCATCACCCTCGGAATAATGAGCACATAGTCGTACACGTTGTAGTGAACGCCAGGCGGAAGGCGCGAGGATCCTCCATGTCCGGGAAGATCGATGCAGAGCACTCCTACGTGAGCGGAGAGCAGTGGAACCAGCCGATCGAAGGTACCCAGGTTGTCCAGCCATCCGTGGATCGCCAAAATAGGCCTATCAGCTCGACTGCCATACCAACGACCTGATATGAAACCCCAAGGCGCCGGTATTTTAACCTCATCGCTCTGCAGTCGAATCTAAAAATATAAAATATTTAATTTAAGATGTTAAGCTTAATGTTTCTGTAATTAAAAAATAGCAAATAGCAATGCCTTATATATTTGTCTTAGTAAAACCGAAAAAACAATAGTGCAGTGCAACTGGTGTGTTTTGAATCTCAAGCTTGAAAATAAAATCACGTGGTTAGAGTTTTGCAGGTGTAAAAAACAGAAATTATTATTTGTGCACCATTAATGAAGTACCACTGTATAGAGTGCGTACTGATAACAGTTTATGGAGTCCATTCAACCCATGTTTGCTTAGCTAAGAAGTGTGAAGATAGAACTTGTAAAATCTTTTTTCACTTTCACCGTATCACTATTAAAATTCGGACGTTTTTCGACTAGCTAAAAAACAATACTCACATTGTTTGGTGACAAAGTTTGCATTGCGTCGGATTAAAGCTGAAGCAACGACTTGAACCGCAGAACGCACCACATCAACTGAATTGTGTTTTCGACGATCATCGCGAAAATAATGCGAAATCTGGGAAAGGAATACGGTTAATGACCAAAAAAGAGACAGAAGACAGCAGTTAGAGGGATGAAATTATAACAACAAAATTGAATTAACCCATTATCGCCCAGAACCCATAGGTGGTGTTACTGTAAACATTTAAATAATTAATAGTAGATTAATAGCTTAAGCTCAAAAATCTTTTATGGAAATTACTAAACAGTAAATGCCTATGTTTAATAAATTTTATACTTATTTTTATAAAATATACGTAAAGAATGTATTAAGAAATAGGGTAAAAGTATTTAAAATACTTTAATTTTCAACTGGTGGAAGTGGGTTAAGCTTTAAGAGCCGATGCTGAAACTCGCGAAAGGTGAAAGACGCTCTCAACGCACTTGATAATCTAAATATAAGCTTTCATGAGTAGTGGAACATTTTCGACGATTTAGGTAAACAAACAAAGATTCAAAGTTCACTTTCTTATAGGAGGAGATGATTCCCTAGTTTTTGTATCAGTTGCAAGTTAGTATCTCGGCAAGGACTGAATAAAGTCATGAAATCTTGATGGTTCAGTCAACTCATGGACGTCGGGTCTCAATAAACTGCCGTGGGATTTTGGGAATGTGTCGATTACTACGTGACCCTCTCGTGAAACCGAGTTTGCCACTTCCTGTGTCCACGTCGATGCACTCGGTTACGCTGTGCTGAACTAGAGTGGTCATATTCTTGGTCAAATTTCAGTTTTTTGACACTGACTTTTTATAAACTGCGACGAGACACGTTTTTCCCTTTTTCTGTAAAAGGTTTGGCGACGTTTACCTGCAAAAATGCATAGGTAGCAACGGCAGCAATATGGAATGCCTATTACTGGTTTGTTACTGTCTTCATCTTCTTCATATATATTATATTTCAGCTTCTTAATATAGTAATATCTTCTTTCATTTGTGTAAGGATATTAACGATGATACTGTGTGCTATCTGTTGTAACCGCTGGCTTAAAGCTCTATAAATAAAATACAGGTATTTTAGCTCTTTAGTGCCTTAATAAAATTGTATTGAATTTAGCTTGTGCTGTAAATCCTGGACTTTCCTTTTCAGGATTACTTGGGGCTTCTTCCTGCTCAACTGTCTCCCAAGTGTGACTACCTTCCGCTGTCTTTCCCCTCGACTTGGTGTGGTTTCTGTATAGTTATATCTGACCCCTGCCCAAAGCACGAATTTGCATTTCGCCCAAATTTCCTTGTGCATTTCAATCGTGTGTGCAAGAAGCTGCAGCTTATGATTTATCTTCAATTTATGTTTGAGTAATTTATCATGTCTGCTGGGGTCATGACGTCACCTCCGCCTTCCACTGTGCAATTTTCCCCAGGCAGGGCGCTATGCAAATTGTCTTGAGCTTTCCCCAAAGTGAAAGTGCCATTTCGCTGGCGAAATTTGTGCGTGTGTATTGGCCTTGAATCCATAATTTGCCTGTCAACGGCAGCAAAGCAATGTCGCTGTTGTTGTCGTCGTGGCCCCAAAAATGTTGTGCGCACATAATTGAGTTCAAGCATTTGGAAGCCAATTATGATTTCCCACTTTTCACCCAATTTTCTTTTGTCCCTCGCCGCGGCTCCTTTCACATCTCAATCAAAAGGGCCGCGCCAAGGCCTTTGTCCTTTCAGCTTTCTCCTCCGTGGCTTTAATTGCCTCTGCCACTTAACGTATGCAAATTAAATTTAATTCTTTTCTTTCAACCGGATCTCTGTCGGTTTTTTGGGTCACCTTAAGTGGGAAGGCAGCTCACCTTCGGTTTGATAAATATTTATGATACCCAATGATAGTTGTGCAGAACAAGGAAAAAGGATTGCCGGTTTCACCTTTATTTTTCTTGTTCACAAAAAGCAAATATATAAAACGTGCACTCAGAGAAGAGGGGGCTGTGTGAACTTACCCTTAAAACATATATTGTTTTTCAAAAAATATATATTTCAATATGATTTTAATGAATGCAAGATACATTTTAGTTTTTAGACACTAATAGTCAACATAGCTCCTAAGAAGATCCATAAAATGTTTTCATATACTTTTTTCCTAGTGTTCGTAAAGCACTATATATGATGCTTTCAACCTGTCAGCACAGCTCCCGAAAAAATCCTTGAGCCGGGGATCAGCTTCACAAAGACACCGCCGGAAGTCTCAAGCTGATACGCATGCAACTCCCGAAAAAGGAGAAAAACCCAGGAAAAATGGCAGGAAAAGTGGTGGGGGATGTCGGCCACCCTATGCTATTATGCTTTATGTGTTGCTATTTTCCTCTTTTTAGCCGGAATTTCTTTAGACCCAAAGTGCGAGTGAGATTTAAGCCCTAACAATGGATGGAAAAAATACGGGAGTGTGTAAGGAATTGCATTAAGAAATCATTTTCGTTTTGTGGCGGTTTCCATGGAGGTTTTCCCAGAATTTCCCTGGTTTTCCCAGCTTTTTCACGGCTCTGCGAGTCTAATTCAAATGAATTATTTGAGCCAGAAAGTTTCACCCGCTGTATTTTTCTGGGTGTGCGGTTTTAACAACATTTCTTTGGCTAATGAATTTGACTATTATATCAGCATGTACGAGCGAATGTGTTTGCATTTGCATGTGTGTATAAATAATTGTATTTCCCCTAATTATACAGCAGAGCTGGAAATTTGCATTTGAATACATTTATATGCAGTTTTCCGGGGTAAGCCCACACGGGCATACATGTTCACGTTACAATTAAAAATTCCGGAGAATTACGAATGTAAACCAGAGCTTTGTGGCATGAAATTTGATGCTGCATTTTGGAATCCCAAGGCTTGGGTCTATTAATTGAAAGGTACAGAGTTTGCAGCTAGCCAGTTGTGTAAATTTGATTAGATTGTATGGCACAATTTAGCAGAAAGTAATATACGAAATACGTATTAGTTTCCAGTGCTACATAAACTTGGCTTGTAATCTCTATTAAATTGTGGATTGAAAGGAATATCTTGCATATAGGTATGTTGTAATCTTTTAATGATATCTACCACAACTCATTAGCTTAATCAACACAAAGAACACATAAACCCCAAAAGGAAGATTAATTAATAGCAAGCCAACCAGAAAAAGTAACACATTCTCGCATTATTAGTTGAAGAACTCATTAATCCACTCGATGGCCAATGTCGCGCCTCTAAGGCTGCCATGATTTATGATTTCACCCACTTTCCCCGCCCACATTTTCCTGGCTGCTCACCTAAGTATGCAATTGTTTATGTTGATATTCAGTTAATCAAGTGTCCACAAGAGTCACAATCAAGAGTCAAATGGCACGTTTACACACTCAATCCCCAATAAATTAATTAGCCGCAAAATTTATGATTATTGCCGCAATGAGTTCGCTTTTTCTGGCGCCTTTTCTTATGGCTTTTGGCTTTGATTTACTTTCGGCCGTATTTATTTATATTTGTGGCCAAATGTTTCCACTGGCGTTTCATAAGTAATTCCCATAATTTATGCATTGTCATACACTGACTAATGGCGGTGGGGGCGTGGCACTTGACAGGCGGAATAAACCCATTGTTTACATTTCGTTCGGTTCGAAATCTCAATTGCCTGGCACTCAATTTGCAAGGGCGGCAGAAAGGAAGATTTCATAATTCAAATTCTTCGATTTATGGCCAGTTGGTGTAGTGTCCTCCGGGTTTTATCGAAGCCTCGAAGGCTACGAGTCGAAACTCGGCAAGCATTTCGCACATGAGCCAGCCCCCTGGCAATCGTAATTTACGAGGAACCAACCCAAAAACGCACTTCACTTGTGCGTAATGCCAAGACAATTGTGTGCACAAAGTGCAGAAATACTCAAAGAAAATGTTTCTATGAAACTATGGATTCATTTTACTGCTAGCTCAATTTCAAGTTGAAAAGAAAATGTTTGAGCAGTACTGATCAAAATTAAATTCTTCTAAAATCACTTATGAAGATGTCCTTAAAGACATTCATTTTACTACTTTTGGCCACTTTTTAAAGAGGTTTCTGTTCACCATTATATGCTAAAAATATTTCTTTATATATTCTTAAATATTTATAAGCTATAGATTAAATATCTATTATATTATAAGATATATGTTAATATTATTTTAGGGCTTTACTATTTACAAAGTATTTTTCCCAAGTGTGAGTGCAATCCAAAATGCAGTAGCCACCCATAATTCCTGCCTCCCACAGCGACTGCCCCCCGAAACTGTGTTGTTACCGTATATCGGATCTCGTCTGGTCATAAATTTCCGTTTTTGGTTAACTCCTGCAACTGCTGGCAGTGCTACCAACTTCCGTAGGTGGCTTTACTACCGCTCTTAACCCGGAGCGAGGAAATCCGGAGGAGAAGGGGCCCTGGAGAATTCGATTCTCCGATGGGCTTTTGAGGACGGGGCGGCACTCAAAAATTATACTGGCCTCTGCACATTTTGCTGATCCCCCGTTTGTAATTGGAGATTGCAGTTGAAAAAGTTTGCCATTCAAAGTTTACTTTTTGATGCAGTTTTCAGAGCCTGGCATTTGCCAATTTATACGTCTGCGTTTATATAGAAATATTCTGGTGTGTGGGCGATGTTTGTTGTGGGCTGTCTCCGGGCAACTTTTAACATTTTGACCAGTAATTGAACTCGACAAAATGTCACAGACACAGCTCAACTTTCCTTCTAATTACAATCTCTCATTGGTTCATTGTCTTTGCTGAATAGTGCCCAAAATGTACGGGGGTCTATTTCGGTTTTAATTGGGGTCGAATTTGTGTGTGACAAACTGGGGAAGGCATAAATCTATAGCATTTCATCTGTAAAATTGCATCAAGTCACTTAGATGTGCAAATATTTTGCCTGTACCCTTTTCATATTCATAGTCTAGCAAAGTAGCCTGAAGATCTGGCAAGTTTTCTAATTAAAAACAAATTCATGAATGCAATTTGCATGAAATTCAATTAAACTTTTTATCTCCG